TGAAATTTTGGAAAATAATTGATTTTAAATTGAAAATTTTGGAAAATAATTGAATTTCAATTAAAATTTTTCAAAATAATTGAATTTTAATTGTATTTGAAATGAAATTTTGGAAAAGAATTGAATTTTAATTAAAATTTTGGAAAATAATTAAATTTTAGATGATTTTGAATTGAAAATTTTGGAAAATAATTGAATTTTAGTTGTTTTTCAATTTGAATTTTGGAAAATAATTTAATTTTAATTGATTTTTAATTGAAATTTTGGAAAATAATTGAATTTTAGTTGAATTTAAATTGAAAATTTTAGTTTTTTTCAATTTTAAATTTTGGAAAATAATTGAATTTTTTCAATTGAAATTTTGAAAAATAATTGTATTTTAATTGATTTTTAATTGAAATTTTTGAAAATAATTGAATTTTTGTGAATTTTAAATAGAAAATTTTTTTGGAAAATAATTGAATTTTAGTAGATTTTGAATTGATATTATGGAAAATAATTGAAATTAGTTTATTTGAAATTGAAATTTTTAAAAAATAATTGAAATTCAATTAAAATTTTGGAAAATAATTGAATTTTAGTTGATTTTGAATTGAAATTTTTGAAAATAATTGAATTTTAGTTAATTTTGAATTAAAATTTTGAATAATAATAGAATTTCATTTAATTTTGGATATTAATTTTGGAAAATAATTGAATTTTATTTGATTTTGAATTGAAATTTAGGAAAATAATTGAATTTTAGTTGATTTTGAATTAAAAATTTTGTAAATAATTGAATTTTAATTGAAATATTGGATAATAATTTAATTTAAATTCATTTTTGATTGAAAATTTGGAAAATTAATTTTGAATAGAAAATTTTGGAAAATAATTGAATTTAAGTTGATTTCAAATTGAAATTTTTTAAAATAATTGAATTTCAATTGAAATTTTAGAAAATAATTGAATTTCAGTTCATTTTGAATTAAAAATTTTGGGAAATAATTGAATTTTAATTAAAATTTTGGATAATAATTTAATTTAAATTCATTTTTGATTGATTTGATTTCAAATTGCAAATTTTTGGAAAATAATTGAATTTCAATTGAACTTTTTGGAAAATAATTGAATTTTAGTTGATTTTGAATTGAAATTTTTGAAAATAATTGAATTTTATTTTTTTTAAATAATTGAATTTTTGTTGATTTTGAATTGAAATTTTGGAAAATAATTGATTTTGAATTGAAAATTTTGGGAAATAATTGAATTTTAATTGAAATTTTGGAAAATAATTGATTTTAAATTGAAAATTTTGGAAAATAATTGAATTTCAATTAAAATTTTTCAAAATAATTGAATTTTAATTGTATTTGAAATGAAATTTTGGAAAAGAATTGAATTTTAATTAAAATTTTGGAAAATAATTAAATTTTAGATGATTTTGAATTGAAAATTTTGGAAAATAATTGAATTTTAGTTGTTTTTCAATTTGAATTTTGGAAAATAATTTAATTTTAATTGATTTTTAATTGAAATTTTGGAAAATAATTGAATTTTAGTTGAATTTAAATTGAAAATTTTAGTTTTTTTCAATTTTAAATTTTGGAAAATAATTGAATTTTTTCAATTGAAATTTTGAAAAATAATTGTATTTTAATTGATTTTTAATTGAAATTTTTGAAAATAATTGAATTTTAGTTAATTTTGAATTAAAATTTTGAATAATAATAGAATTTCATTTAATTTTGGATATTAATTTTGGAAAATAATTGAATTTTATTTGATTTTGAATTGAAATTTAGGAAAATAATTGAATTTTAGTTGATTTTGAATTAAAAATTTTGTAAATAATTGAATTTTAATTGAAATATTGGATAATAATTTAATTTAAATTCATTTTTGATTGAAAATTTGGAAAATTAATTTTGAATAGAAAATTTTGGAAAATAATTGAATTTAAGTTGATTTCAAATTGAAATTTTTTAAAATAATTGAATTTCAATTGAAATTTTAGAAAATAATTGAATTTCAGTTCATTTTGAATTAAAAATTTTGGGAAATAATTGAATTTTAATTAAAATTTTGGATAATAATTTAATTTAAATTCATTTTTGATTGATTTGATTTCAAATTGCAAATTTTTGGAAAATAATTGAATTTCAATTGAACTTTTTGGAAAATAATTGAATTTTAGTTGATTTTGAATTGAAATTTTTGAAAATAATTGAATTTTATTTTTTTTAAATAATTGAATTTTTGTTGATTTTGAATTGAAATTTTGGAAAATAATTGATTTTGAATTGAAAATTTTGGGAAATAATTGAATTTTAATTGAAATTTTGGAAAATAATTGATTTTAAATTGAAAATTTTGGAAAATAATTGAATTTCAATTAAAATTTTTCAAAATAATTGAATTTTAATTGTATTTGAAATGAAATTTTGGAAAAGAATTGAATTTTAATTAAAATTTTGGAAAATAATTAAATTTTAGATGATTTTGAATTGAAAATTTTGGAAAATAATTGAATTTTAGTTGTTTTTCAATTTGAATTTTGGAAAATAATTGAATTTTAATTGAAATTTTGGAAAATAATTGAATTTTAGTTGAATTTAAATTGAAAATTTTAGTTTTTTTCAATTTTAAATTTTGGAAAATAATTGAATTTTTTCAATTGAAATTTTGAAAAATAATTGTATTTTAATTGATTTTTAATTGAAATTTTTGAAAATAATTGAATTTTTGTGAATTTTAAATAGAAAATTTTTTTGGAAAATAATTGAATTTTAGTAGATTTTGAATTGATATTATGGAAAATAATTGAAATTAGTTTATTTGAAATTGAAATTTTTAAAAAATAATTGAAATTCAATTAAAATTTTGGAAAATAATTGAATTTTAGTTGATTTTGAATTGAAATTTTTGAAAATAATTGAATTTTATTTTTTTTAAATAATTGAATTTTTGTTGATTTTGAATTGAAATTTTGGAAAATAATTGATTTTGAATTGAAAATTTTGGGAAATAATTGAATTTTAATTGAAATTTTGGAAAATAATTGATTTTAAATTGAAAATTTTGGAAAATAATTGAATTTCAATTAAAATTTTTCAAAATAATTGAATTTTAATTGTATTTGAAATGAAATTTTGGAAAAGAATTGAATTTTAATTAAAATTTTGGAAAATAATTAAATTTTAGATGATTTTGAATTGAAAATTTTGGAAAATAATTGAATTTTAGTTGTTTTTCAATTTGAATTTTGGAAAATAATTGAATTTTAATTGAAATTTTGGAAAATAATTGAATTTTAGTTGAATTTAAATTGAAAATTTTAGTTTTTTTCAATTTTAAATTTTGGAAAATAATTGAATTTTTTCAATTGAAATTTTGAAAAATAATTGTATTTTAATTGATTTTTAATTGAAATTTTTGAAAATAATTGAATTTTTGTGAATTTTAAATAGAAAATTTTTTTGGAAAATAATTGAATTTTAGTAGATTTTGAATTGATATTATGGAAAATAATTGAAATTAGTTTATTTGAAATTGAAATTTTTAAAAAATAATTGAAATTCAATTAAAATTTTGGAAAATAATTGAATTTTAGTTGATTTTGAATTGAAATTTTTGAAAATAATTGAATTTTATTTTTTTTAAATAATTGAATTTTTGTTGATTTTGAATTGAAATTTTGGAAAATAATTGATTTTGAATTGAAAATTTTGGGAAATAATTGAATTTTAATTGAAATTTTGGAAAATAATTGATTTTAAATTGAAAATTTTGGAAAATAATTGAATTTCAATTAAAATTTTTCAAAATAATTGAATTTTAATTGTATTTGAAATGAAATTTTGGAAAAGAATTGAATTTTAATTAAAATTTTGGAAAATAATTAAATTTTAGATGATTTTGAATTGAAAATTTTGGAAAATAATTGAATTTTAGTTGTTTTTCAATTTGAATTTTGGAAAATAATTGAAATTGAATTGTTTATTTGAAATTGAAATTTTTTTAAAATAATTGAAATTCAATTAAAATATTGGAAAATAATTGAACTTAAAAAAAATTTTAGATTGTAAATTTTAGAAATAATTGAATTTCAATTGTTATTAAATTCAAATTTTAAAAAATAATTTGTATTTTAATTGAAATTTTTTTAAATAATTGAATTTGTGTATTGAGTTTCATTAAAATTATTAAAAATAATAATTTAATTTCGAAAAAATTGAAAATTTTCTTAATTTTATTTTTTTTTTTTTTCCTAATAATATAAATAAAATTTCTAAATTTTAATTGAAATTTTTGAAAATAATTGAATTTTAGTTCAATTTGAAATGAATTTTTTTTTTTTTGAAAATAATTCAATAATAATTAAAAATCTTCGAAAATTTAATTTGTTTCTAAAATTTCCTATCTCAAATTTTTTTTGAAATTTAATAATTCCTATTATAACTCTCCTGAAATTCAATTTATTTTTAATTTATTCTTCCGAAAATTCAAATATCTGAAACCATTTTTCGCTTAAAAATATTTCAAATTATTGTATTTTTGTCCTCAATTTCTAATAAATTTTTTTATTGAAATCATCAAAATTTTTTAATTAAAAATCCCTTGAAATTCAATTAATTTCAAAAATCTCAGGTGTAAATCTTTGAAAATTCAATTACTTTTAAAAAATGTTATCTAAAAATATTTCATATATATATATATATATATTTTTTTTTTGAGTTCTGTAAAATTTAATTATTGTTTGAAAATTAACGAAATTTTTGGAAATTCAAATATTTCTAAAAAAAAAAAATTAACTTTAACTCTTCCAAAATTATTATTATTAAAAAAAAAATTGTATTTAAAAATCTGTAAAACTTTTTTTATTAAAATAAAAAAAATCGACTTTTTTTTTAAATATAAATCGACTAAAACGAGTTTTTTTTGTGCCGAGGCCTGTAATATTAAAAATAAAAATAAATACAAATTAATATAAAAAAAAAAAAATAAAAATTTCTTTTTAGCATTGAAGATATTGTGAGAAAAATGATTAAAGAGATGAAAAATTATTTATCAGCAATTGAAAATCTCGACAATGCCGATCGTCATTTAACAACAAATTTAAGTAGTTACGATCTTGTTCACGTAAGCGACGATTTTCGAAAAATAGTCCAAGATTATCATTCCGTCACTACTGATGTAATTTTTAATTTTTATTATATTTTTTTCTCAACATAAAATGCAAAAATAAATTCTAAAAATCAATATTGTTAGAATTTTTGATTTAAGTCGAATTTTATTTATTATTATTTTAATAATAATCAAAATTCTACGAAAAATTCTAAAAAATTAAAAAAAAAATTTTTAGAACTTATTTATTGTTTTGGATTTTATTTGAGAAAAATATCTTCTTTTCTTTTTACAGATTGGCAAAAGTGTACAAAAAATGATACCACTCTGCAAGGAAACATTTATTGAACCTTTGAAAAAATTACGCGAAGAATTTTCAATAATTGCCGGTGAATTAGCAAAACGTGAGGAATTAGTGACAAATTGGAAGGCATGTTATTTACGTTTAAAAAAAACCCAAGAGAAAAAAGATAAAACAGCAAGTTATATTGCCCGTTTAGAGAAGGATAAAGATTTAGTTGAATTTGCAGGAAAAAAATTAAAATCATTTCACAATGAATTACAAATGGAATTGAAATCATTTTTAAATAAACGTCTCAATTATATTCGTCCATCAATTCATGCATTAATAATGATACAACTTGATCATTATGGTAGTATGACAAATGCATTTAAACAACCAAATTCTATTTTAACAATGACAGAGACAAAAATTTCCAATGATGATGAATTTCAACAATTAATAACAATGCAAGTTAATCGAATAAAAGCATTGACTATCGTTAAAGATCATTAATTCTAAGAAAAATTTTTTTAAATGAAATTTAAATTTAAAATTTATATTTTAAATTGAATTTTTAATTTATTTATTGAAATAAATAAATTAGTTTAAAAAATTTTTTTTTTTTTTTTTATTACATTAGAAAAAAAAATTCTCTATTTGTACAAAAAAAAAATTAATTTTTATATTTGGATTTTCAACTGAAATTACTAGATTTCTAGAAAAAAAAATTTTTGTGCTAATTGTATACTGTTCGTGTTTGTTTGTTTGTTTGTTTTTTTTTTTTTTCTTTTTTTTTTCTTACGAGGGAATCATTCCCTGTCTTCGTTTCCATTGTGAACCAACTCGACGATTATGATTTGCTCGTGTTGATTTATTTGTATTTTTATGATCTCGATTTATAACGACATTCTTCTCTTGTCCTTGTCCCTTTGCATTCCCTAAACAAATAAAATTTTTTTATTTTATCGCCAAATAATAATTATATATTTTCAATAAAATAATAAATAAACTAAAAATAAATGCTGTTAATTTTCTTTTCTACTCAATACTTAATAATAAATAAAAAAAAAATTTGTGATTTTAATAGAAAAATTGCATAAAAAAAGAAAATGAATTATTTATAAATAAAAACTAACCAACGACATCTTTTTGTTGTGAACCACCTCTTCCGCCGCGTTTTGAAAAATATCGTTGTTCAGCTTTTGCTCGTAATTCGGCAGGATTTTGAACAAAATAATCACGACTTGTTTGCGCTTCCGTTAATTCTTCATTTTCATCATCATCATCATCATCTTCGTAAATCTCATCATCTCTTCCCTTTCTAAGTAATACCTATTTAAAAAAAAAACATTTTTTTTTTTTAATATTAAATTAAGAAAATAAATATTATTATTATTTTATTATTTAATATTAGAACAATAAACGAATAATAAATAAAAATACAAAAAAATTTCTCTAATTATAGAAAAAATAAATTAAATAATTTAAAAAAAAAAAAAAAGAAATAATAATTGAGAAAAAAAAAATACTCTTGGTGTTGTAAAAGGACGATCCATTTCTAAAGTATCATCCTGTGCTGTTTCGCCAATATCATGACTATCGTAAGTATCGTCATATTCATCGTCGTATTCATAAGAAACAAGATTATATTTACTGTAAATGTGATTGACTTTTTTTATATCATTTTTGTCATTTAACATTTCATTTACATCTTTATATTTATCTTTTCTGAAACATAAAAGAAATAAAAATTAATTCAATTTTTTTTATTTTTTTAAATCTCGTCTTTATATTTATTTTTCCTGAAAAAAAAAAGAAAAGAAATTTAAATTTAATTTATTAATTATTATTATATATAATAATAAAATGCTTGGTCTGTCCTTCTGTCCTAACTTGAAGTTGGCCTTTTCTGATTTCACGTGTTTTTTTTTTTTTTTTTTTAATTGTAATCTTATGCCGTGTCAAATTTGGACAATTCTTTTTCTCATTTTTGCCAAAGTTGTATAATTGTGTTTCCAAATTTCGGAATAAGTTTCTTTAAAATTCCAAATTCGAAAATTCAATTCACGAAGCTCAAGTACACAACGTTTACCAACGAAATTTTTTTAAAACTTGTATATTCATTCAAAAATTGTATACAAATAGAAAAAATTTATGATGAGAAAAAAGATGCGCCAGGAAATTTCGTACAAGATAGTAATTTGAAAAAAATTTATTTTTCAAAATTAATTTTTAAGGTACCAGGGGCAAACGAATATCTATTAAATATTAATTATAAAAACACAGGCCTCGAATCAACTTAAAGACACAAAAAAGTCGTTTTAGTCGATTTATATTCCCAAAAAAAAGTGGATTTTTTTTTTATTTTAACAAAAATATTTCACAGATTTTTAAATAAAAATTATTTTTTTTTAATAATTATCCATTTCGAAGGGTTAAAGTTGAAATTTTTAGAAATAATTAAATTTCAAAAGATATATTGTTAATTTTCAAACAATTATTAAATTTTACAGAACTAAAAATAATTTATCAAACAAATTTTTGGAAAACATTTTTTAAATTTAATTGAATTTTCAAAGATTTAAAATTGAGATTTTTGAAATTAATTGAAACTTTAAGTGATTTTTAATTAAAATTTTAGATGATTTCACTAAAAATTTATTAGAAAATGCGGACAAAATACAATAATTTGAAAATCATTTTTAATTGAAAAATGGTTTCAGATAGTTGAATTTTCAAAGAATATTATTAAAATACTTAAAAATAATTGAATTTCCTTAGAGTTATAATTAAAATTATTAAATTTCAAAAAAAAATTTCGATGGAAAATTTTAGAAATAATTAAATTTTAGACGCCTTTAAATTCAAATTATTGAAAATTCAATTAATTTTGAATTCAAATTTTTGAGAATAATGAAATTTTATTTGATTTCAAATTGAAAATTTTGGAAAATAATTGAATTTTAATTGAAATTTTAGAAAATAATTGAATTTTAGTTAATTTTCAATTAAAAATTTTGGAAAATAATTAAATTTTATTTCATTTTAAATTGAAAACTTGGTAAATAATTAAATTTTAAATTGAAAATTTTTGATAATTATTGGATTTTTAATTGATTTTGAATTAAAATTTCGGATAATAATTGAATTTTAGTTTATTTTGAATTGAAATTTTCAAAAAATAATTCAATTTTATTGTGATATTTTTTTTCTTTTAAATTATAAACAATTGTTAAATTTCATAAAAAATTTTAATTGAAAAATAATTTTGATATAATTGAATTTGTGATGTATTTCATTAAAATTATTAAAAATAATTAATTTAGTGAAAAATCATTTTAGTTGAAAATTTGTTAAATAATTGAATTGAAAAAGATCTGAAGAAGATATAAATTTTATACTAAAAAAATGTATTTTATTTACATTTTTTTTTCAAATGTAAAAAAAATGTCGCATTTTATTAAAATAAGTCGATAAAAGTCGTATTTTTTTTGAAAAAAGTCGGAAAAAGTCGTATAATTCGAGGCCTGTAAACATATAATTTTCATTATTATCATTTAATATGTAATAATATTCTAATAAATTAAATTATTATTGATAATATTAATCTTTAATTTCTTTATATAATAAACAATTAAATACTCAATTTGGCGCGTTTAATTTTGCTAGTTAATATATTAAAATTAATACCTCTTTCCTCTGTGAATTCTTGACATGTCGATTTTATCATTTGTCATAATATCGAATTCATCATTATCGAAAACATTCAGTCTTTGTGCTCCAAATGCTGAATCAACAGCGGCCGCGGCTTCCTAAAAATTTAATTAGAATTAGAATTTTAATTAGAAGTAATTAACGAATTTTCGAATTTTCAAATTAAAACTTAAAAGAATTAGAATTTCGATTATTTCCATAATTTCAAATTTTCTATCAAAAAATTCATTTTTTTTTTTAATTTTATTTTTAATTCAACAAAAAAATTCAATTTAGAAAATTTTTTAATGCGAATAAGTAAAAAAAAAAAGAAGGGGGAGAAATTTGTTTACGAATTTAAAGAAATAAATTAATTAAAATTATTCAAAGAAATAAATTAAATTAAATACCTCAGGATCGGGTGGAATGTAAGGTAAAGAGAAATCTAATTCTTTCAAATCCGACGGAAGTGTTTCTTCTAAAACTGCATTTATCACTCTTGTACTGTCGTAATTATAATGTTTTAAACATCTCTAAAAAAAAAACATGTACATAATTAATTTATAATAATTATATTTTGTTTTATGATATTTATAATCTAAATTTATATTATATTTTTATTTTTAATTGTTGTAATATGTTCTATTCTATTTATTTCTATTCTATTCTATTCTATTCTATTCTATTTATTTCTATTCTATTCTATTCTATTTCTATTCTATTCTATTTATGTTATAAAATTATAATTTTATATTTCCATTGGATTTAGAAATTGAAAAAAAAAAAAATTCTCACCTCAATAAAACCATCACCCAAATGACAGAGAATTTCTTTTACTTCAGACATAAGACGAACTAATTCTTCTTCGTTTGGTTTAATTTTTTCCTGTTCTCTCGAATCGAAATTTTCAATTTCCAATTGTTGTTGCTGATGTTGTTGTTGTTGTTGTGGAGGATTAATTCCCGAACAACTCGCCACAGCATCTTTATAACTATTATTTACACTTTTCTCATCGACAATTGTCGCATGAATTGAATTTAAAATAAAATCACATTTTATTGTATCTCTGAATATATAAATTTATTTAAGGAAAATAAATTTTTCGATTTCATTGTATAAATTAATAATTTATTTAAAAATTTTAATTACTAATTTATTTAAAACTTTTAATTATTAATTTATTTAAAAATTTTAATTAATAATTTATTGAAAACTTTAATTAATAATTTATTTAATAATTTAATTGATAATTTATTGAAAACTTTAATTAATAATTTATTTAATAATTTAATTGATAATTTATCAAACTAAATTCTCAAAAAAAAAAAAATTATTTCTTTCTTTTTTTCTCTTCACCAAAAAAAAAAAGGATACACTTCGGGGCAAATTTGTGAAAGAATTTCCAAATCAACATCAATTGGATAAAATCGATGATAGTCGGTTATAAATTCTTTTTCTGATATTGCATTAGTCACGTGATCCAAATAATTTTCCACACGTTTTTTCATATCAATTTCTAATTCAATTCTAATCGATACGAAAAAAAAGAGAATTATAATATAAAATTATTTCTAATAAATATACTATTTAATATTTAATTATTTTCGAATGATTGTTTTTTTTTTTTTTTTTTTTTTTTGGTAATTTTAAATAATAATAAAAAAAAATACTCACCCTGTTTCGAGAATATCGGCAATATTTTTATAAATAATTATTCGATAGAGTTTTAAAAGTTCAACTCTACTAACATCAAGCCTGTGTTTTAGTTCAATATATTTTATCATTTTATCCTCTCGCATTGCAAGTGAATCCAATTTTTCGTACATTTTTGGAATTGTATTTGAATAAACCGTTACAATTCTAAAATTAAAAGCAAAATAAAAATTATAAGAAATAGAATTTGACAATTTTTTATTTTTTAATTCTGTTTAGATTGTAAAATAAAACAAAATAAAATTCAAAATATTTCAATAATTAAGATTCTTTTTTGTCCCAAAAAAAAAAAAAAAAAAATTGCCATTAATTAGAATATTATTAAAATAATTCAAAATAATTAAGATTCTTTTTTGGCCCCCCAAAAAATTTGTTAATAGAATATTATTAAAATATTGCATTTTTTTAAATGTAAAATTTAATTTACTAATTTTTTTTTAGTAAAATTAAATTTTTTTTAACTACTAATTTTTTATTTAAATTTTTTTTTTTTTTCTTTTTTTTTACATACTTGGTCATAAAATTAGACGTTTGAAAAAGTTCCGTTGCCGGTGGATAATTTTCCAAAAAAATTGTCAAATTCGAAGAAACATCCAAAATATGAACTATCAAATCTTCGAGAATTGTTAGAGAAATTTCTTTTGATTGTTTTTTTACTCCTTCCGTCAATAAAATTACATCGTTTGGCGTTTCTTCAAATCTTCTTTCGAGATTTGAAAAAACCTGAAATATAGAAAAATAAAATATTTTCAAAAATTATTTTATTAAATTAATAAATATTTATTAATCAAAGTGTCTAAAAACTGCTAGGAAAAATATTCTCTAAATTTTCCCTGACCTAAATTACACTAAAAAAATTTTTTATTTTCATTAAATAAAATTTATTTTGATACAATTAAATCATTTACCAGTCTATTATCCATTAATTTAATATTTATTTGAAACAGATAAATAATGTTTTGTAAAAAATCAAATATTTAAGTGAAATAAATAAACAAATTTGGGAACGTACAAATATTTTCAATATTTAATTTAAAAGAATTTTTACGACGTTAAATTTTAAATTATCAAATTTTTATTTAGTAAAATTATATAAAGCAGATTTTCTAGTATATTGAATTTCAAATTAATACAATTTCAAATTTAACGGAATTTATGTCAAGAAAAATTGCATAAAGAAACAATTTTTTTTTAACAGAATTGTTATTTTTAGTAAATTTTGATTTATCAAAATATTTACTTAATAGAATTGTCATTGAATAAATCCACAATTAACAGAATTTCTATTTAACAAAATTTTTAATTAACTAAAGTTTTTATTGAAGAAAATTTTAATTCTAACTAATTCCTGTTTAACAGAATTCTCATTTAAGAAAAATTTTTTTCTCTTTTTTTTTTTGTTAATTTTTATAGACATAAATTTCGTTAAAATTGAAATTATATTAATTTAAAATTTTTAAAAAAAGGATCAGAAAAAGAGTTCAGCTTTATAATAGTTCTGCTAAATAGAAATTAAATCGAATTTTAGTTAAATGTAATTTGAAAATTTTGCAATAATACAAATTCCACTTTATACAATTTTCAAAAAATAAAAAATTCGATAATTTAATATTCGACGCCGTGAAAAATTTTTATAAATTAAATGTCGGTATTAGCATTAAATAATAAATTTCAATTCAAAATCAACTAAAATTCAATGATTTTCAAAAAAAAAAAAAATTCATTTCAAATTCAACTAAAATTCAATTATTTTCAAAACAATTTCAATTAAAATTTGTAATTTTATTTATATTATTATAAAGAAGAAAAAAAAATAAAATAAAGAAAATTTTCAATTTTTTTCGAAATTAAATTATTATTTTTAATAATTTTAATGAAACTCAATACACAAATTCAATTATTTTAAATTATTTTTCAATTAAAATTTATATGAAATTTAATAATTGTTTATAATTTAAAGAAAAATTGGCAAATAAAAATTACTATAAATTTTTAATTCAAAATCACTTGAAATTTAATTATATACAAAAAAAATTTCAATTATTTTTAATGATTTTTATAATATTCTTCGAAAATTCAATTTTCTGAAAGCAATTTTTCAATTAAAAACTTTTGGAAAACAATATTTATTTTTATTATTTTTATTTTTTTATTTTTATGTGATTTCTAATAAATTCTTTATCACTAGAAATTTTACTTATAATTACTTTTTGAAATTTAACACAATCTTTTGAAATTCAATTATTTTCAAAAAATTTCAAATTAAAATGTTTTAAAAAATTAATTATTTCTAAAACTTTTCAATATAAAATTTTTTGAAATTCAATTATTTTCGAATTTTTCTATTTTAAATTAACTAAAATTGAAATTCAATTATTTTTAAAATTTTCCATCTAAAATTTTTTGAAATTCAATTATTTTAAAATTTTTCAATTTAAAGGAAACTAAAATTCAATTATTTTCCAAATTTTTCAATTCAAAATCAACTAAAATTCAATTATTTTGCAAAACTTTGATTGAAATTCAATTATTTTCATAATTTTCAATTCCAAATTAACAAAAATTAACTTATTTTCCAAAATGTCAACTAAAATTCAAATATTTTCAAAAATTTCAATTCAAATGAAATTCAATTATTTTTCAAAATTTTCAACTAAAATTCAATTATTTTTCAAATTTTCAATCCAAAATAAACTAAAATTCAATTATTTTCCAAAATTTCAATTCAAAATCTACTAAAATTCAATTATTTTCAAAGTTTTCTATTCAAAATTAACAAAAATTCAATTATTTTAAAAAATTTCAATTCAAAATCAACTAAATTAATTTTTAAATTTTTCTATTTAAAATTAACTAAAATTCAATTATTTTCCAAAATTTTAATTAAATTTCAATTATTTTTAAAAAATTTCAATTTTAAATAAACTAATTTCAATTATTTTCCAAAATTTCAATTCAAAATCTACTAAAATTCATTTATTTTCAAAATTTTCAATTCAAAATTAACAAAAATTGAATTATTTTAAAAAATTTCAATTCAAAATCTACTAAATTAATTTTTTAATTTTTCTATTTAAAATTAACTAAAATTCAATTATTTTCTAAAATTTTAAATGAAATTCAATTATTTTCTAAAATTTCAATTGAAATTCAATAATTTTTCAAATTTTTAATTCAAAGTCAACCAAAATTCAATTATTGTCTGAAATTTAACATTATCTTTTGAAATTCAATTATTTTTAAAATTTTCCATCTAAAATTTTTTGAAATTCAATTATTTAAAAAATTATCTATTTAAAATTAACTAAAATCCAATTATTTTCCAAATTTTCAATTCAAAATCAACTAAAATTCAATTATTTTGCAAAACTTCAATTGAAATTTAATTATTTTCAAAATTTTCAATTCCAAATTAATTAATGTTAAATTATTTTCAATGTTTTAAATTCTGAATTAATTAAAGTTCAATTTTTTTCAAAAAAAATTTTAATTCAAAATAAACTGAAATTCAATTATTTTTCAAAATTTTCAAATAAAATTAAATTATTTTTCAAATTTTCAATCCAAAATCAACTAAAATTCAATTATTTTCCAAAATTTCAATTAAAAAACAACTAAAATTCAATTATTTTCCAAAATTTCAATTTAAAAATTTCTAAAATTTCCCATTTGAAATTCTTTGAAATTTATTAATTCCAATTATAACCGTCCTGAAATTCAATTATTTTTAATTTAAAAAGTACTTTATAAGAGTTCTGCTATAAATAGAAATTAAATCGAAATTTAGTTAAATGTAAATTGAAAATTTTGCAATAATATAAATTTCACTTTATACAAATTTTCAAAAATAGAAATTCAATAATTTAATATTCGACGCCGTGAAAAATTTTTATAAATTAAATGTGAATATTAGCATTAAAATAATAAATTATTTGTATTAATGAATAATTTACTTTATTTGAAGTTGAAATCGCTAAAATAAAATTGTATCAAAATAATTTTTGATTTATATTAAAAAACTAAATATTTCACTGGAAAAAAATGAATTAATTGTTAAAAAATCATTTATTCGATTCAATAAATAGTAGTAAATAATTATTTACTTAATTAATGAATAATAATTTATTAATAAATAAAATAAATAAATAAAATTATTATATATTTATTAATTTATTAAATATTAATAAAATTATTATATATTTATTAAAATAATAATAATAATATAATAACAATAATAATAATAATAATAATAATAATAATATTTGTTTAAAAATAACATTATTTAAAAGAGAAAATTTTGCTTTTTTTTTCCTCACCTGAACGAAAAATGAAATGGCTCTTTTAAAATCATCCCGATAAAGTGGTTGAAGAATAAATAAAGTTTTTAATAATTTATCAATTGTTTTTTTATTCTCTCTGCCATATTGTTGACATAAATCGAGAATAATTGGTACTGTGAATATAAAATTATCGTACAATAAATTTCCATGATACAAACGTGTCATAAATTCCTCAGAACTTTCTTTATTTGTCACAAGTCTTGCAAATATTAGCAAAACATAATGTCGCAATTTATTTAATATTTCACGAACATCATGACTATTTGGAAAATCATCTAATGCATAATAAGGTGGTGCCTCTTGAAGAAATGATATTAACATTTCCATTATTGATGTATTGTGTATAATATTTGACCAAAATCTAAATAAAAAAAATAAATAAAAAAAAATTGTATTATTTTAATTAAATTCGATTTTTTGATTATTAGAAAATAAATTTATTTTAAAAATTCAAAAAAATTGTTATTAAAAAAAAAAACGAAAAATTATTAAATTCACACGAATTTAAGAAAAATAATTAAAATAATAATATTCAGAGAGTAAAAAAAAAAAGAAATTTATTTTTTATTCGAAAAATAATTAAACTAATAATATTTAGAGAGTAAAAAAAAAAAAGAAATTTATTTTTTTATTCAAAAAATAATAATTCTTTAAAAAATTTATTTTCTATTTATTTAAAAAAATTGTTTTTTTTTTTTTTTTACTTATTTATTTAAAATTAATAAATGTACCTAAAATACGGGAGTTTGAGTAACCAAATTAAATCATCAATAATATAATTAACAATTTCCATCCAATGTTCTTTGGCGCCGACAATTTCATGATCATTGGAATCATTGAAAATTGGCGCTTCATAGTATAAAAAATAACGATCCACAACCCATCGTTTATTCTATAAAATATATATTGTATTTATTTTTTCTTTTTAAAACTGAACTTTCTAAAATAGTTTTTAGAAAATTTTTTTTTTTTTTTACCAATGCCGATACAAGTTCTGGAATTCCTTCATTTTTTAATGTAAGCTGCAAATCCTCCAGTGGTTTGCACTCAGGATTCTTAAAAATTAATAAAATAATTCGTAAAAATAGAAACAAAAAAAAAAAAAAAAAAAAAAGAAAATCTTAATTCAAATTTTGCCAGGAAAAATTAAATTTTTTGAATTAAATTTCAAAAAAAAATTTATTACAAATATTAATTACAATAAACAAATAACAATTATATATATAATTTTTAGATTTTAAAAAGGAAATTTTCGTTAATTTTTAGTTTTTTTTTTTATTTATTTAATAATTCTTTAAAAATAGTGTTTCGAAAATATATAATTTATTTAAGTAGGGAAAATATTTTAAATTACCAATAATGTACATGGAGAAATAAATAAAATATAATTTAAATATACGATATTTAGCAAAATATATATGCGAAATATGACAACCTAACCTCAATTTTTCCATATTTCGTATATTGTCAAAACGATTCAATAAATTTATTATAGAAATTAATAATTACAAAATTCCGATTCTCGAAGAGTATTTACTTAAATTATCCTTCCCCCCTCGATAAATATTTATTCCAATTGTTTATTCGAACATAACCTCAATTTTTCGAATATTGAATATCGAATTTATATATATTAAATATATACATATATATTGAATAACAGACACTTACTTGAAAAAATCCAGGGCTCATTGAATCATTTTCCATAATTATATATATTTAATAAATATCACCTGTTAATAAAAAATACGATAATTTTCCCCGCACTAAATAAAAGACCGAAAACACATTTCGATCATCTTTTTTGGCACTTTTATATATATATATATTTTCGAAATCAAAAAAAAAAAATATTTTCCTACATAATTAAATTCTTCTTAATTTGAAAAAAAAAACACCAATAATTATATATTTAAATAATATAATAATAATTCCAGTAATTATAATCAGCTGTTTATTCTAGTTGTACAATATTCCAAAAGGGGGCCGAATTTTTTAAGGTTAGGTTCGTCAGTTGTTGTTTACGTTCGCGTCAGTGAAACTTTTTTTTAATCATTTTTTGCAAACAAACTTTAATTTTAAATTAAAAAAAAAAAATTACATTTCGTTAATTTAAAAAAAAATTCTTTTTTTTCTTTCGCAATGGCCGAGGGCGGGAAATTTATTATTCGTCCGAAAGTTCGATTTTGTCAATGGGAAAACGACGACGACGATGATAATGACAATCAGGAACTTGAATCTTATTTAAATAAACCGACAATTAAAAATATTGTGACAATTGAAAAACCTTATAAAATTATTGATGATAGAAAAATAAAATCAAGGGAAAATTCACCATTAGATGATAATTATTTAAATGATAATGAAAATTATAAAAATAGTGATAATAGTGAAAATTGTGAAAATTATGAAAATAGTTCGAAAATTTCTCAAAAAAATTCCATTCATGATGAATTTAATAATTATACACCATCTTTTGATGATTCTTCTTTTTCGTCATGGTTAAAAAGTGAAATTTCCCATAATCCAAAAATAATACAAGTCGATGTTCACGCTGAGGATTTAATTGAAAATAATCCACTTAATGATGATGAGAAAAATCCATTTTTCAATAAAAAAGAACATTTATTTCGCGATAATTTAAATTTAAGTGAAACAAAAATTTTTGACGAGGAAAAAAATGAAAATTCCAAATTTGAAATGAAAAATTTATCTAAAATTGAAGAAAATTCTTTATCATTGGATAAAATTTCAAATACACAATTATTAAAAATTCCCGAGAATTTGAAAATTAATGAAAAAAAATTAAAAACAAAACTTGATAAGAAACAATTAAATTCAATAAATCGTTTAACAAAAGTAAAATCGCCAAAAAAAAAAAATTTACCCGAATTAACGAAATTTTGCACAGCAAGACCATTGGGATTTATTCAAAGAAGTTCAAAAAAACCAATAAAAGTTGCGGGTATAATGCCATGTTTAAAGGCAAAAATTATGGCTAATGGAAAAATTTCGCCAATTAAAAAAAATGTTTTACGCAATATTCAAGTGAAGGGGAAAAAAAATTTAATTTCTAATAATAATAATAATAATTTACAAATGAAAAAGGAATTGAATTTTAATTTATTAAAAAAAAATGAGGAAATAATAATGGAACAAAATATAGAGAAATTATCGAAACCAAAATATAATTCAATTATGAATACAATTAATAAATTGAAACAAGTGCAAAAGGAAAATATTGTCACTGATGTTGAACATTTGCCGCCAATTTATAAGAGTTTAGTTAATGGAAAGGTGAATAAAAATTAATTTAATTTTCTTTTTAACATGAAATTTTTGTGTATATTTTGTCATTTATAATGAAAGTTTCAATTATTATTATTATTTTTTTTATTTATTTCTATTTTAATAATAATTTTAATTATTTTTTTTTTTAATTAAAAATTGTTTAGATTTAAAAAGTTTTTAATTTTTCAACATTCAAAAAAAGAAAATTTTATAGTTTTTATTTTTTATTTTCAAATTTTAAAATTTCAAATTAGAAAAATTCAAATTTTTAATTTTTAATTTTCAAATTTCAAAATTTCAAATAAGAAAAATTCAAATTTTTAATTTTTAAGATCCAAAAGTTCAAATTAGAAAAATTCAAATTTCAAAATTTCAAATTAGAAAAATTCAAATTTTATTTTTAACTTTCAAATTTCAAATTTCAAATTAGAAAATTTCAAAATTTCAAGTTAGAAAATTTCAAATTAGAAAAATTCAAATTTTATTTTTAACTTTACAAATTCAAATTTCAAATTAGAAAAATTCAAATCTTCAATTTTTAATTTTCAAATTTCAAATTAGAAAAATTCAAATTTTAAATTTCAAATTAAAAAAATTCAAATTTTATTTTTAACTTTCAAATTTCAAATTTCAAATTAAAAAAATTCAAATTTTTAATTTTCAAATTTCCAATTTCAAAATAAAAAAATTCAAATTTTATTTTTAACTTTCAAATTTCAAATTAAAAAAATTCAAATTTTATTTTTAACTTTCAAATTTCAAAATTTCAAATTAGAAAATTTCAAAATTCAAATTTTTAATTTTCAAATTTCCAATTTCAAATTTAAAAAATTTAAATTTTATTTTTAACTTTCAAATTTCAAATTTCAAATCAGAAAATTTCAATTTTAAAATCAGAAAATTTCAAATTTTTAATTTTGAAATTTCAAATTTTTAATTTTTAATTTTCAAATTTCAAATTAAAAAAATTCAAATTTTTAATTTTCAAATTTCAAATTAAAAAATTTAAAATTTAAAATTTGTAATTTTTAATTTTCAAATTTCAAATTTCAAATTAAAAAAATTTAAATTTTTAATTTTCAAATTTCAAATTTCAAATTAAAAAAATTCAAATTTTATTTTTAACTTTCAAATTTCAAATTAGAAAATTTCAAATTTTAAATTAGAAAAATTCAAATTATATTTTTTACTTTCAAATTTTAAATTTCAAATTAGAAAATTTCAAAATTTCAAATTAGAAAAATTCAAATTTTCAATTTTTAATTTTCAAATTTCAAATTAAAAAAATTCAAATTTTAAATTTCAATTTTTTAATTTTCAAATTTCAAATTAGAAAAATTCAAATTTTATTTTTAACTTTCAAATTTCTAATTTCAAATTAGAAAATTTCAAAATTTCAAAGTTTCAAGTTAGAAAATTTCAAATTAGAAAATTTCAAAATTTCAAATTAGAAAATTTCAAAATTTCAAATTAGAACAATTCAAATTTTTAATTTTCAAATTTCAAATTTGTAATTTTTAATTTCCAAATTTAAAATTTGTAATTTTTAATTTTCAAATTTAAAATTTTTAATTAAAAAATTTCAAATTAGAAAACAGAAGTAAATTGAAAGAAATTAATTTAAAAAAAAGGAGGAAATGAAAAAAAAATTTATTTTATAGGTCGCAAGTTCCTTGGATTTTCCGCCGGATGAGGCAATTTTCAAAAATTTAATAAATCTCTCAATAGACGAAACACAATTGCCAATGAGAATAACAAGAAGCAAAGATCCTGAACCACGACAACGTGATGCTGTGCCAAAATTATCCGATTTTTTTCAACCAAAATATGCCGATGAATATTGCACGGCAGTTTGTGCAAAACCAAGAAATCCCGAGCAATTTGAAAATTGGAATGCATTTCGTATTAGTGACAAAATTCGCAGTTGGAAATGGAATATGGACTTTGTTCATTAATGAAAAAAAAAAAAAAAAAAACATAAACAAAAAAATTAGCTCAACAAAAATTATCAAAGAAGAAAAAGTATTTTTTTTTTTTAAATAATCTCCTTTTTTTTTGCTAAATAATGTGTAAATTAAATTTTTTAAGATACTTTTCTTTTTTTTCTATAACTGTACAATTTTTTATAGTAAATTTTTCTAGAAAAAAAATAAATTGCGTTACTTTCTTTTTTGAAAAATAGATTTAGATATAATTATTTTTTTTTTTTAAGAAGAATTTTTAGATTTTGAATTCAAATTTAATAGATTTTCCGTTTTTTTTTTTTTTTTTTTTTTTTGAAGAATTTTTACTAAACGAAAATTTTGGCTATATCGAATTTTTAATTTAGTAAATTTTTAGCTAAGGAATTTTTGTTTCGCACAATTTTTGAAATTGACGAATCTCGATTTATTTATTTTTTTTTTTGATAATTGTATTTTATTATTATTTCTGAAATTTTTAATTTAAAACTCTTTCTAAACATTTAATAATTTCAATTATATTATTAAATCTATTAAAAATCAACTAAAATTCAATTATTTTCTAAAATATCAACTAAAATTAACTTATTTTCCAAATTTTCAATTGAAAATCAACTAAAATTAAATTATTTTCCAAAATTACAATTGAAATTCACTTATTTATTCAAATTTTCAATTCAAAATCAACTAAAATTCAATTTTTTTGCAAAACTTCAATTGAAATTTAATTATTTTCAAAATTTTCAATTCCAAATTAATAAAAATTAAATTATTTTAAAAGTTTTAAAATCTGAATTAATTAAAGTTCAATTTTTTTCAAAAATTTAAATTCAAAATAAACTGAAATTCAATTATTTTTCACAATTTTCAACTAAAATTCAATTATTTTCAAAATTTCAATTAAAAAGGTTTAAAAAATTAATTATTTCTAAAATTTTCCATCCACAATTTTTTAAAAATTTAATTATTTTCAAATTTTTCTATTTTAAATTAACTAAAATTAAAATTCAATTATTTTTAAAATTTTCCATTTAAAATTTTTTGAAATTCAATTTTTTAAAAATTTTTCTATTTAAAATTAACTAAAATTTAATTATTATCAAAATTTTCAATTGAAAATCAACTAAAATTCAATTATTGTCAAAAATTTAAATTCACAATAAACTACAATTCAATTATTTTAATTGTAGATGATTTTGAATAGAAATTTGGAAAAATAATTGAATTTTAGTTGATTTTGAATAGAAAATTTTTTAAATAATTGAATTTCAATTGTAACTTCGAAAATAATTGAATTCTAGTTTATTATAAATTGAATTTTTTGCAAATAATATAATTTTGGATGAGTTTAAATGGAAAATTTTTAAAATAATTGAATTTTTTGAATTGAAAATTTGGAAATAAATTGAATTTTAGTTAATTTTGATTTGAAATTTTGGAAAATAATTGATTTTGAATTAAAAATTTTGGAAATTAATTGAATTTCAATTAAAATTTTTCAAAATAATTGAATTTCAGTTTATTTTGAATTGAAAATTTTTGGAAATAATTGAATTTTAATTAAAATTTTGGATAATAATTTAATGTAAGTTCATTTACGATTGAAAATTTAAATAATTAATTTTGAATCGAAATTTTAGAAAATAATCGAATTTTATATCATTTTAAATTGAAAACTTGGTAAATAATTAAATTTTAAATTGAAAATTTTGGATAATTATTGGATTTTTAATTGATTTTGAATTGAAATTTTGGAAAATAATTGAATTTCAATTAATATTAAATTGAAACTTTGGAAAGTAATTGAATTTTAGTTGATTTTAAATTGCAAATTTTGGAAAATAATTGAATTTCAATTGAAATTTTTGGAAAATAATTGAATTTTAGTTGATTTTGAATTGAAATTTTGGAAAATAAATAAATTTTAGTTGATTTTCAATTGAAATTTTAGGAAAATAATTGATTTTAAATCGAAAATTTGGAAAATAATTTAATTTTAGTTGACTTTAAATTGAAAATTTAGGAAAATATTTGAATTTTAGTTGATTTTGAATTTCTATTAAAATACTTCAAAAAAAAATGAATTCTAATAAATAATAATAATAATTTAAAAATTCTAAAAAAGAAAATACTAAATTCATAATTTTTTTTTATAAGCTTTATACAATATTTCATATACATATTATTCATTAAAATATTTACAAATTAAAAAATATTTTTTTTTTAAAAGCTAAATACTAACCTATTAATAATAGTAATATATTACTATATATAGTATTTAAAAAAAAAAATCCCCTTAACTGGCAAATGGATTTAAATTTTTATCATAATCATCATCAATATCGTTTTTAAATGGATTTTTATCATCGCCATCATCTTCAGCGAAGGGATTTTTTGCCTCATCATAATCGTCATCTTTAAATGGATTATTTGATGGTATAAGCGGTGTTTTTGGTGGTATAAAATTTTTTTGAACTGGCGACAATTTTGGCGATGTACTATTCATTATTTTTGCCTCACGTATTTGTATTGGCGATGCTTTTAATGATGACGACATTCCACCACTTCCACTTATATTTGCCTCCAATGACGATGAATAAATATCCGGTTTTGTCATTGCACGTAAATAATCATTATTATCGACAATTCGTCGATTTTCTGATTTTACTGTTCAAGAAAAAAAAATCTTTTTATTTTCCCAAAAAAAAAAAAATTAAACAAGAATTTTTCATTTAAAAAAAAAAAGATTTCACACACATACCAAGTGTTGAATTTTTTCCCTCATTTAAACGTATTTTAGCCTCGGCTCCAGGTCCATAAATATCATAGGGATTTATTTTTTCTTCAACTAATTGAAAATTTGTTTTCTCATCTGCCGTAATGACGGTTAATTTTTTAAAAACACCACGTCCAAAATAATCGGCAACCAATGAAAATGGATCCTCAGCACGATCCAATAGACTGTGAAATGTCTCATGAAGATCGCGTGATTGCTCCTGAGCTTTTATTATATCCAACCATTTTTTATTGTCCGGCAAACAAGCTGGACATTCATTTTCATTCTCGGAGAAGCTTTGAAAGCAACTGTTTTTCAAAAAAAAAAAAAGAATTTTTTAATTAGAAATTTAAAGAATTTTATTAAAAATATTTTTTTTCAATTCTTATTAAATAAAATAAATTTGTGGCAAAAATTTGGTAAAAATTTAAATAAAAAAAGGAATTTTTAAAATTGACGAATCTCGATTCTTTTTTTTTTTTTGATAATTGTTTTTTATTGTTATTTCTGAAATTTTTAATTTAAAACTCTTGTTAAAAATTTAATAATTTCAATTATATTATTATATCTATTCAAAATCAACTAAAATTCAATTATTTTGAAATAATTCAATTGAAATTGAATTATTTTCCAAATTTCAATTGAAATTCAATTATTTAAAAAAAAAGTTAAATATCCAAAATTAACTAAAATTAAATTATTTTAAAAATTTTCAATTCAAAATAAACTTTAAATTCAATTATTTTCCAAAATTTCAATTCAAAATCAACTAAAATTTAATTATTTTCCAAAATTTTCAATTAAAATTCAATTATATTTAAATCATTTCTATTAAAAATTAATAATTTTACAAAAATTTTTTATGTTTTCAATTCAAAATCAACTTCGATTTAAATTCAATTATATTCAAATTTTCCATTCAAAATCATCTAAAATTTAATTATTTTCCAAAATTGTAATTTGAAATTCAATTACTTTCAAAATTTTCAATTTAAAATCAACTAATTTCAATTATTTTCAAAATATTCTATCCAAAATTAACAAAAATTCATTTATTTTCCAAAATTTCAATTCAAAATCAACTAAAATTCACTTATTTTCCAAATTTTCAATTCCAACTCAACTAAAATTCAATTATTTTCAAAATTTTCAATTCAAAATCAACTAAAATGTAATTATTTTCCAAAATTTTCAATTAAAATTCAATTATATTTAAATCATTTCTATTGAAATTTAATTAATTCAATTATTATTTAAATTTTCAATTCAAAATCAACTAAAATTCACTTATTTTCCAAATTTTCAATTCCAAATCAACTAAAATTCAATTATTTTCCAAATTTTCAATTCAAAATCAACTAAAATTCAATTATTTTCAAAAATTACAATTGAAATTCACTTATTTTTCCAATTTTTCAATTCAAAAACAACTAAAATTCAATTATTTTTCAAAATTTCCAACTAAAATTCAATTATTTTCAAAATTTTCGATTCCAAATTAATTAAAATTAAATTATTTTGAAAGTTTTAAATTCTGAATTAATTAAAGTTCAATTTTTTTCAAAAATTTCAATTAAAATTCAATTATTTTAAAAATTTTCAATTCAAAATCAACTAAAATTCATTTATTTTCCTAAATTTCAATTCAAAATCAACTAAAATTTAATTTTTTTCCAAAATTTAAATTGAAAATCAACTAAAATTCAATTATTTTCCAAAAATTTCAATTTAAAAGGTTTTAAAAATTAATTATTTTTAAAATTTTCCATCTAAAATTTTTTGAAATTCAATTATTTTAAAATTTTTCTATTTAGAATTAACTAAAATTCAATTATTTTCAAAATTTTTAATTCAAAATCAACTAAAATTCAATTATTGTCAAAAATTTCCATTCACAATAAACAATTTTGAATAGAAAATATTTTAAATAATTGAATTTAAATTGTAATTTCGAAAATAATTGAATTGTAGTTTATTATGAATTGAAATTTTTGTAAATAATAGAATTTTGGTTGAGTTTGAACTGAAAATTTATAAAATAATTGATTTCGAATTAAAATTTTTGATAATAATTTAATTTTAGTTGATTTTGAATTGAAATTTTGGAAAATAATTGAATTTTAGTTGAATTGAAAATTTTAAAAATAATTGAATTTTAGTTGTTTTTTAATTTGAATTTTGGAAAATAATTATATTTTAATTGATTTTTAATTGAAATTTTCGAAAATAATTGAATTTCAGTTTATTTTGAATTGAAATTTTAGAAAATAATTTATTTTGAATTGGAAATTTTGTTAAATAGTTGATTTTAAATTGAAGATTTTGGAAAATAATTGAATTATAGTTAATTTTCAATTAAAAATTTTGAAAATTATTAAATTTTAATTGAAAATAATTGAATTTTATTTAGTTTTAAATATAAATATTTGAAAATAATTGGATTTATAATTAAAAATTTTGAGAATAAATCAATTTTAGTCGATTTTGGATTTAAAATTTTGTAAATAATTGAACTTTAGTTGATTTTGGATTGAAAATTTTGAAAATAATTGAATTTTTTTTGATTTTCAATTGAAATTTTGAAAAATTGTTGAATTTTGGTTGAGTTTGAATTGAAAATTTTGGAAAATAATTGAATTTCAAATGAAATTCTGGAAAATAATTGAAATTTAGTTGAATTTCAATTGAAATTTTAGAAAATAATTGAATTTTAGTAGATTTTGAATTGAAAATTTTGTGAAATAATTGAATTTCAATTAAAACATTTTAAAATAATTGAATTTCAGTTAATTTTGAATTAAAAATTTGGGGAAATAATTGAATTTTAATTAAAATTTTGGAAAATAATTGAATTTTAATTGATTTTTAATTGAAATTTTGGAAAATAATTGAATTTTAGTTGAATTTGTATTGAAAATTTTAGTTTTTTTAAATTTAAAATTTTGTAATATAATTGAATTTTTTCAATTGAAATTTTGAATAATAATTGAATTTTAATTGATTTTTTAATGAAATTTTTGACAATAATTGAATTTGAATTGAATTTTAATTGAAAATTTTTAAATTTAATTTTAGTTTTTTCAATTTTAAATTTTGGAAAATAATTGAATTTTTTTCAATTGAAATTTTGAAAAATTGAATTTTAATTGATTTTTAATTGAAATTTTTGACAATAATTGAAGTTTAATTGATTTTGCATTGAAAATAATTGAATTTCAATTGTCATTTTGAAAAATAATTGAATTTTTGTTAATTTTGGATTGAAAATTTAGAAAATAATTGAATTTTAGTTTGAAATTATAATGAATTTTTTTTGAAAATAATTGAATTTTAGTTGAATTTGAATTGAAAATTTTGAAATTTAATTTTAGGTTTTTTCAATTTTAAATTTTGGAAAATAATTGAAATTTGTGGCAAAAATTTGGTAAAAATTCAAAAATTCAAAAAAAAAGGAAGGAAAATTTGATATTGATAAAATACAAACTGTTGATGATACGAATGCTGGCACATAAAATGAACGGATGGCAATTCAAGATCTTGATTACATGCGCTGCATCTTGAACTTTGAAATATAATTGTACTGCTTTTAATTTTGTCAATTTCCTGTTTTAATTCCTCAGTGTCGAGTCGATATTTTTCCGTTAATTTTGTATCGGCTTGAGTTTGTTCATGTTCAGTACGTAAAACACTGCTTAAATATGGACGAACATCGCCCAATGAACATGTCAACGATGTTGAAAGTGCATCGATAACCATCAATGGTGACATTAATTTTTCTTCAGCTAGAATAAATTTTAATTCAATTATTCAATTATTATTTAAAAATTAATTAACCCTCTTTCTTTTTTTTTTTTTTTTTTTTTTTGCATTGTCAATTATTTTTAGAAAAATAAAATATATTTTTAAAAAATAATATTCGATTTTTACTTTCAATATTTTTTTCATTTAAAAAAATTGATATTCAATTTTTATTTTCGATAAAATCGAAGAAAAGGTAATTAATCTTTTTTTTTAAACATAGCTATGGTTTTGGAAAAAACGAATATTTATTTTAAAAAAACATTTTAATTAAGAAAGAAAACAATTTTTAAATAATAATTTTTCTTTTATTTAACTTACCAATGTGTTCGAGAATATCGGCCAGTAATTTTGGAGGAGCTTTTTTATTTCTCGCCACACTCCATAAGGCTTGTACCCATAAATTTGGATCCTGACGACCAAATCTATTACAAGTTGATAAAACTTGTTCACTGTCACCTTCTCTCAAATGATATTGAAGCACTTCTTGATATCTAAGAATAATAATTATTTCAAACAAAAAAAAAAAGAAAAGAGGAAAATTCTTATTTATACGAATAATAATTCAAAAATAATTTCTTTTTTTTAAAATTGAATTCGTTAAAATAAAAATTAAAAATTAAAATTGTCTTCAATATAATAATAATAATAATATTTATAATAGTAATAATAATAATAATATTTATAATAGTAATAATAATAATAATAATAATAATAATAATAATAATAGTAATTTCAAAAACTTACAATTTTCGTTCCTCGTAGAGATAAAGTATTCCTCGTCGAAAATTATGTTGATGACAAAGAATTAAAATTTGATCCTTATCGTAGCAGGCATTTGAATTTTGCAATAAACGAACGACTTTTTGTTCATATTGTAATTTTGAAATTTCATCATTTAACGCTGACCATACGTGTAAATAATGTTCCACTAATGTATTATAAACAAGTGTGCTCCATCTATAATTTTTTTTTTTTTTTTTTTTTAGAAAATTAAATAATAAAATTTTTTTTTTTATTTTTTCGTAACTAAATTATCAAAATTTGCGAATAGTAAAATTTTTTCTATTTTTTCGTAACTAAATTATCATTATTATAATTTCTATTTTTATTTTTGTAACTTAATTATCAATTTACGAATAGTGAAAATTTCTCAATTTATTTTTTTGGTATTACAATTAACAATTTTCTAATAATGAAAATTTTACAATTTTTTTTTCTTTTCTTTTTTTTTTTGGTACTAAATTAATAATTTTTGAATAATAAAAATTTTCCAACTTTTTTCTTCTGTACTAAATTATCAATTTACGAATAATAATAATAATAATAATAATAATAATAATAATTATAAAAATTTTTTTGACACCAACTTGCCATCATTCTTGACCAAATGCTCCAAAAATTCAACAAGACGCTCGGAATTATTTAGAAAAAGATGAATAAAATCCTCTGGATTTGCTCTATCAACATGCTCCATGGAATCTATACTAATCTGAATAAAAAGAAAGAAAAAAAAACAGTATTTTTTAAAAAGAATTTTTTTTTTCTATTTTCAAAAAAAAATTTTCTCAAAATTAATAATACCTTGTCCTGAATTTTATTTGATGATTTATAATTAGTACAAAGGGATTTTAAAAATTGTGTCGCCTCATTTGGAACGTTATCAATTAAAATATTTCCATATTTTTTCATATTTAATTCGGCCTAAAATAGTAAATTTCAAAATTAATAATAAATAATAATAAAATATTAAAAATAATAAAAAAAAATATATAATTCTTCGGTATTCTTTGGTAAAAATAAAATAAAAACAATAATAATAACTAGCAAAATTAAAAGCGCGCCAAATTGAGTATTTAATTGTTTGTTATAAAGAAATTAAAGATTAATATTATCAAATAATAATTTAATTTATTAGAATATGAATAATAATAATTTATTAGAATAATTTATTAGAATATTATGATAATAATGAAAATTATATGTTTACAAGCCTCAAATTATACGACTTTTTCCGACTTTTTTCAAAAAAATACGACTTTTATCGACTTATTTTAATAAAATGCGACATTTTTTTTTGACATTTGAAAAAAAATGTAAATAAAATACATTTTTTTAGTATAAAATGTAGATCTTCTTCAGATCTTTTTCAAATTCAATTATTTAACACATTTTCAACTAAAATAATTCTTCACTAAATTAATTATTTTTTATAATTTTAATGAAATACATCACAAATTTAATTATATCAAAATTAATTTTCAATTAAAATTTTTTATGAAATTTAACAATTGTTTATAATTTAAAAACAAAAAAAAATATCACAATAAAATTGAATTATTTTTTGAAAAATTTCAATTCAAAATAAACTAAAATTCAATAATTACCCAAAATTTTAATTCAAAATCGATTAAAAATCCAATAATTATCCAAAATTTTCAATTTTACAATTTAATTATTTACCAAGTTTTCAATTTAAAATGAAATAAAATTCAATTATTTTCTAAAATTTCTATTCAAAATTAATTATCCAAAGTTTCAATCAAAAATGAACTTAAATTTAATTATTATCCAAAATTTTAATTAAAATTCAATTATTTCCCCAAATTTTTAATTCAAAATTAACTGAAATTCAATTATTTTAAAATGTTTTAATTGAAATTCAATTATTTTCCTAAATTTTTAATTCAAATAAAATTTCATTATTCTCAAAAATTTGAATTCAAAATTAATTGAATTTTCAATAATTTGAATTTAAAAGCATCTAAAATTTAATTAATTTCCATAATTTTCAATTAAAATTCAATTATTTTCAAATTTTTTCTATTTAAAATTAATTAAAATTGAATTATTTTTTAATAATTCAATTGAAAATTAACTTCAATTAAAATTCAATTCCAAATATACTAAAATTCAATTATTTTCCAAAATTATCAATTAAATTTAAATTATTTTCAAAATTTCAATTAAAATTCAATTAAATTTGCAATTTAAAATCAACTAAAATTGAATTATTTTCAAAATTATCAATTTAAAATCAATTATTTTCCTAAATTTTCAATCAAAAATGAACTTAAATTATTATCCAAAATTTCAATTAAAATTCAATTATTTCCAAAAATTTTCAATTCAACATGAACTGAAATTCAATTATTTTGTAAAATTTTAATTGAAATTCAATTATTTTCCAAAATATTTTATTCAAAATTAACTGAAATTCAATTATTTTAAAAAGTTTTAATTAAAATTGAAATAATTTTGCAAAATTTTTAATTTAAAATCATTTATTTTAAAAATTTTCAATTTAAAATCAACTAAAATTCAACTATTTTCCTAAATTTCAATTCAAAATAAAATAAAATTCAATTATTTTCCAAAATTTCAATTCAAAATCAATTAAAAATCCAATAATTATCCAAAATTTTTAATTTAAAATTTAATTATATACCAAGTTTTCAATTTAAAATGAAATAAAACTCGATTATTATCTAAAATTTCGATTTAAAATTAATTATTTAAATTTTCAATCAAAAATGAACTTAAATTTAATTATTATCCAAAATTTTAATTAAAATTCAATTATTTCCCCAAATTTTTAATTCAAAATTAACTGAAATTCAATTATTTTAAAATGTTTTAATTGAAATTCAATTATTTTCCTAAATTTTTAATTCAAAATCAATTATTTTCCAAAATTTCAATTCAAAATTAACTAAAATTCAATTATTTTCTAAAATTTCAATTAAAATTCAATTATTTTAAAAATTTTCAATTCAAAATCAACTAAAATTCATTTATTTTCCTAAATTTCAATTCAAAATCAACTAAAATTTAATTTTTTTCCAAAATTTAAATTGAAAATCAACTAAAATTCAATTATTTTCCAAAAATTTCAATTGAAATTAAATTATTTTCCTAAATTTGCAATTTAAAATCAACTAAAATTCAATTACTTTCCAAAGTTTCAATTTAATATTAATTGAAATTCATTTATTTTCCAAAATTTCAATTCAAAATCAATTAAAATTCAATTATTTTCAAAATTATCAATTTAAAATCAATTATTTTCCTAAATTTTCAATCAAAAATGAACTTAAATTATTATCCAAAATTTCAATTAAAATTCAATTATTTCCAAAAATTTTCAATTCAACATGAACTGAAATTCAATTATTTTGTAAAATTTTAATTGAAATTCAATTATTTTCCAAAATATTTTATTCAAAATTAACTGAAATTCAATTATTTTAAAAAGTTTTAATTAAAATTGAAATAATTTTGCAAAATTTTTAATTTAAAATCATTTATTTTAAAAATTTTCAATTTAAAATCAACTAAAATTCAACTATTTTCCTAAATTTCAATTCAAAATAAAATAAAATTCAATTATTTTCCAAAATTTCAATTCAAAATCAATTAAAAATCCAATAATTATCCAAAATTTTTAATTTCAAATTTAATTATATACCAAGTTTGCAATTTAAAATGAAATAAAATTCGATTATTTTCTAAAATTTCGATTTAAAATTAATTATTTAAATTTTCAATCAAAAATGAACTTAAATTTAATTATTATCCAAAATTTTAATTAAAATTCAATTATTTCCCTAAATTTTTAATTCAAAATTAACTGAAATTCAATTATTTTAAAATGTTTTAATTGAAATTCAATTATTTTCCTAAATTTTTAATTCAAAATCAATTATTTTCCAAAATTTCAATTCAAAATTAACTAAAATTCAATTTTTTTCTAAAATTTCAATTAAAATTCAATTATTTTAAAAATTTTCAATTCAAAATCAACTAAAATTCATTTATTTTCCTAAATTTCAATTCAAAATCAACTAAAATTTAATTTTTTTCCAAAATTTAAATTGAAAATCAACTAAAATTCAATTATTTTCCAAAAATTTCAATTGAAATTAAATTATTTTCCAAAATTTGCAATTTAAAATCAACTAAAATTCAATTACTTTCCAAAGTTTCAATTTAATATTAATTGAAATTCATTTATTTTCCAAAATTTCAATTCAAAATCAATTAAAATTCAATTATTTTGATAAATTTTAATTGAAATTCAATTATTTTCTAAAATTTCTATTCAAAATTAATTATCCAAATTTTCAATAAAAAATGAACTTCAATTAAATTATTATCCAAAATTTTAATTAAAATTCAATTAATTCCCAAAAATTTTCAATTTGAAATCAAATAAAATTTCATTATTCTCAAAAATTTGAATTCAAAATTAATTGAGTTTTCAATAATTTGAAATTAAAAGCATCTAAAATTTAATTATTTCTAAAATTTTCCATGGAAATTTTTTTTTTTGAAATTTAATAATTTCAATTATAACTCTAAGAAAATTCAATTATTTTTAACTATTTTAATAATATTATTTGAAAATTCAACTATCTGAAACCATTTTTCAATTAAAAATGATTTTCAAAATTATTGTATTTTGTCCGCATTTTCTAATAAATTTTTAGTGAAATCATCTAAAATTTTAATTAAAAATCACTTAAAGTTTCAATTAATTTCAAAAATCTCAATTTTAAATCTTTAAAAATTCAATTAAATTTAAAAAATGTTTTCCAAAAATTGTTTGATGAATTATTTTTAGTTCTGTAAAATTTAATAATTGTTTGAAAATTAACAATGTCTTTTGAAATTTAATTATTTCTAAAAATTTCAACTTTAACCCTTCGAAAAGGATTATTATTAAAAAAAAAATAATTTTTATTTAAAAATCTGTAAAATATTTTTGTTAAAATAAAAAACAAATCCACTGTTTTTTGGAATATAAATCGACTAAAACGACTTTTTGTGTCTTTAAATTGATTCGAGGCCTGTGTTTTTATAATTAATATTTAATAGATATTCGTTGGCCCCTGGTACCTTAAAAATTAATTTTGAAAAATAAATTTTTTTCAAATTACTATCTTGTACGAAATTTCCTGGCGCATCTTTTTTGCTCATCATAAATTTTTTCTATTTGTATACAATTTTTGCATCAATATACAACTTTAAAAAAAATTTCGTCGGTAAACTTTGTGTACTTCAGCTTTGTGAATTGAATTTTCAAATTTGGAATTTTAAAGAAACTTATTTCGAAATTTGAAAACACAATTATACAACTTTGTCAAAAATGAGAAAAAGAATTAAATTACTAATATTTTTATGCAATAAAAAAGAAATTCTCGAATAAATTTTGATTTACCTCATCAAAGTTTAATGTTGACATATATTCTAATGCTTTTTTATATTCAGCCTTGTCCTCTATTTGAATTCTCAAATACCATTCGTGTTTCAAGTGTTTTTGCGCCAATAATAAAGCATCTTCCGACGATGCTTGACGACAAACTTTTATTGCAATTTCAACATCGAAATCAACTTCACGATCTTTTGTCTGCAAAGAAGAAGAAAATGGGAATTTAAGACAAAAAAAAAACAAAAAAAAAAAAAAAAAAAATCAACAAAAACGAAATAAACAAAAAACTAATTTCTACGAAAATTTCTTTAAAATAATTTGAGTTTAATTTATTTTGAAAAATTTTGCAACAAATAATTATGTTTTAATAAAAAAAATTTTTAAATGGTAAATAAATATGTTTTAGTAAATAATTTTAAATGGTAAATAAATATGTTTTAGTAAATAATTTTAAATGGTAAATAAATATGTTTTAGTAAATATTTTAAAAAATGTAAATATTAAATTCTCACCATAATAAATTCCTTTAATTTATCGGTATGATTGAGTTTTGTATAACAATTCAACAATAATGTTGTATGATCCTCAGTTGCTTGTCCTTGTTTATGAAGGGCTTGCAAATATGTCGTTAAATTATCAATATGCTGTGAATCTAAAAATTTTCTTATCACATACGATGGCTCAAGACGGCCAATTGTTTTTATATATTGTTCAATTGCTCCATTATGATCGCCTTTTGAATAAAGATGATCGCCATATTGACGGAATATGTCCACCAATCCTTCAGCGTCGTAATGTTGATTTTTCGCTATTCTATTTGATAATTATTGAAATTCATTTCATTTCCATAAATAATTAAATAAATTCCAATAATGAAAATAATTTTCAAAAATTCCAATAATTGCAATAATTTAAAAAATTCAAATAATTGCAATAATTAACTAAATTTAATAATGGAAATAAAAATAAATTCCAATAATGGAAATAATTAAATAAATTCCAATAATGAAAATAATTAAACAATTTCCAATAATGGAAATAATTAAATAAATTCCAATAATGAAAATAATTAAATAAATTCCAATAAAAAAGAAAAAAAAATGTATTACCGTATGGAAACATCGTAAAGATTTTTTTTAAAAAGAAGCGAAAGTTTTGATTGTAAATCCTTTTCGTCTAAATGATAAAGTTTATTGTCACCGCTGAGAATAAAAAATCCTCCCCATTCGGATAAAACTGCCTGAACCGAGAGCATTGACGCCGAAAATACAATAAATTTATTTTGTATATCAAGAACAGTTATCATGTGTTTATCAGCTCCAGGTGGAATTGGTTCTATTGTACTTCAAAAAAATTAAAAATTATTATATTAAAAAATAATTTTCAATTCAATAATTAGTAGAAATAATAGAAATAATAAATATAAATTCTTAAAACCAAAAAAAAAGGGGCAATTTTTACCTTGGCTTTGCAGAAATTGTCGTCGATGTTCTTGGAACATTTGCCGCTTCTTTTGCAATAATTACCAAATAACTTCGAAACCATTCCAACATTATTTTTTGTCCCTCAACGGCATAACAAGGTCCACGACCATCGGGCGTATAACAATAAATTGCCTTAGAAAATTTGGGAAAAAAAAAAACAAAAACAAAAAATAGTTGATTAATTTTCGTTTTTTTTTCTGCTAATTTAAAACAAAAATTGTTATTTATATTAAAAACAAAAATTGGTTTTTATATTAAAAAAAATTATTTTTTATATTAAAAAAAAAAATGTTTTTTATATTTAAAAAAAAAATGTTTTCTATATTTAAAAAAAAATGTTTTTTATATTTAAAAATATATATTTTTTTTAAATTACCAAAAACATTTGTTTCTCTAAATTAAAAAAAAAAAAAAAGAAATTTTATTTTAAATTTAAAAAACATTTTTTTCGAATATATCATATTTTTTTTTTCTACCTCGGTTCGTCCAATCATAAAATGACTGTCCTGCTTTGATTCAGCGAGAATACTACATTTTCTCGCGCAGCCCATACTGTCCAATGTTGATTTAATTTCTTTATCTTTAATAGTGATATTATAAAGAAAAACACTGCTCGTTGTAACGACAAATAAATAATTTTGTTTTCCCATTAATTTTATTGCTAATCCCGTTATCGATGTGTTTGTATCTTTCAAAACGCGTATTTTATTTTTACGCTCACGCGTTAAATCACCTCTGGAAAAAAAAAAATGAAAATTTTCAAAATTAAAAAAAAAAAAAAAAACATTCATTTCATATAGATATTACAAAATTTTTAATTTTTAAATTCAAAATTACAATTCAAATTGAATTTCTAAATAAAAATTTTCCTATATAATTAAAAGTAAAATTCGTAAATTAAAAATTACTATAATTATAAAAGTAAATTTTTAACTTAAAAATTATTATATTTAAAAATAAATTTCTAAATTAAAAACTACTATAATTAAAAGTAAATTTCTAAATTATAAATTACTACAATTAAAAAGAGGCCTTGGATAGATATTATGGCTGAAGAAAAGTAGTTTAAATCGATTTATATTCGAAAAAAATTCGATTTTTTCAATTTTAAGAAAATTTAATTTGTTAATAAATATTTTACTTTAAATAACAAATGTTATTAGATATTAAATGCATTTTATTAATTCTGTAATAAGAATAATTCTATAAGAACATTATTCAGAATTATTAGAAATAATTGAATTTTAGTAGATTTTGAATTGAATTTTAATCGAAGTTGATTTTGAATTGAAATATTAAAAAATAATTCAATTTTAATTAATTTTAAACAGAAATAATTTGAAAATAATTGAATTTTAATTGAAAATTTTGGAAAATAATTAAATATCAGTTGATTTTAAATTGAAATTTTGGAAAATTAATGAATTTTTGTTAATTTTGGATAGAAAATTTTGAAAAAAATTGAAATTAGTTGATTTTAAATTGAAAATTTTAAAAATATTTTAATTTCAATTAAAATTTTAAAAAATAATTGTATTTTAGTTAAACTTTAGTTGATTTTGAATTTAAATTTTGGAAAATAATTGAATTTCCATCGAAGTTTTGAAAAATAATTGAATTTTAGTTGATTTTGAATGGAAAAGTTGGAAAATAATTGAATTTTAGTTAATTAAAAATAGAAAAATTTTGAAAGTAATTGAATTTCAATTACAATTTTGGAAAATAATTAAATTTTAAATTGAAAATTTTGGATAATTATTGGATTTTTAATTGATTTTGAATTGAAATTTTGGAAAATAATTGAATTTCAATTAATATTAAATTGAAACTTTGGAAAGTAATTGAATTTTAGTTGATTTTAAATTGCAAATTTTGGAAAATAATTGAATTTCAATTGAAATTTTTGGAAAATAATTGAATTTTAGTTGATTTTCAATTGAAATTTAGGAAAATAATTGAATTTTATTTGATTTTGAATTGAAATTTAGGAAAATAATTGAATTTTAGTTGATTTTGAATTAAAGTTTTGGAAAATAATTGATATTGAATTGAAAATTTTAGAAAATAATTCAATTTCAATTGAATTTTTAAATTCAAATTATTGAAAATTGAATAATGAAATTTTATTTGATTATAAATTTAGAAAATAATTGAATTTCAATTCATTTTGAATTGAAAATTTTGGGAAATAATTGAATTTTAATTGAAATTTTAGATAATAATTTAATTTAAGTTCATTTTTGATTGAAAATTTGGATAATTAATTTTGAATAGAAATTTTATAGAAAATAATTGAATTTTATTTCATTTTAAATTGAAAACTTGGTAAATAATTAAATTTTTAATTGAAAATTTTTGATAATTATTGGATTTTTAATTGATTTTGAATTAAAATTTCGGGTAATAATTGAATTTTAGTTTATTTTGAATGGAAAATTTTGAAAATAATTGAAATTTAATTAATAATTTTGGAAAATAATTGAATTTTAGTAGATTTAGAATTGAATTTCAATCGAAGTTGATTTTGAATTGAATTATTAAAAAATAATTGAATTTTAATTAATTTTAAATAGAAAAAAATTTGAAAATAATTGAATTTTAGTTGATTTTAAATTAACATGTTTAGAGATAATTTAATTTTAAATTATTTAAGATGGAAAATTTTCAAATTAAATTTCAAGGGATATTGAATTAAAAATTTTTTGGAAAATAATTGAAGTTAATTGATTTTAAATTGAAAGTTTTTATAATATGTGAATTTCTATTAAAATTTTGGAAAATAATTTTCATTTAGTTAAATTTTTGTTTGATTTTGAATTTAAATTTTAGTAGAATAATTGAAATTTAATTTGATTTTGAATTAAAATTTTTAGAGATAATTGAATTTCAAAAAAATTTTATATGAAAAATTTTAGAAACAATTATTGTTTAGAATCTTTTAAATTGAAATTTTTCGAAAATAATTAAATTTCAAATGATTGTGTTAAATTTTAGACAATAATTATAATATGTGAAATTTCTAGTGATTTCTGTTGATGAAGAATTTATTAGAAATCACTTTAAAAAAAATTGAATTCCAAAATTTTTTTTTTTTATTGAAAATTGCTTTCAGATAATTGAATTTTCAAAGAATATTATAAAAATCATTAAAAATAATTGAAATTTTTTGGCAAATAATTAAATTTTAAGTGATTTTGAATTAAAAATTTACGGTAATTTTGATTTGCTAATTTTTCTTTAAATTATAAACAATTATTAAATTTCATATAAAAATTTTTAATTGCAAAATAGTTTAAAATAATTGAATTTGTGATGAATTTTATTAAAAAGTAATTAATTTAGTGAAGAAATTTAGTTAAATTAAATAATAAATAAAAAAAAAAAATAATTAAATTTTTTTTTCTCCACCTGTAAAGCATAATTGATCCATCTTCAAATCCAACGGCCATAAATGTGAGACTTGAATGAACGCACAATGAACTCACTGGAACGGCACGATAACTTGGAATTGCACGGCTTATTCTCACACAAGTTGGAAAACCTTGTTTATCTTTTTTTGCTAAATTCCATACTTTTATTGTTGGATTACAACCTGGTTCATCTTCCTAAAAAAAAAAAAAACAAAAATTCGTAGAAAATAAAATAGAAAATAAATTTTATTCAATTAAAATATATTAATTATTTTTTGTGAATAAAAATAATATTTAATATTTGCAAAAATTAAATTATGCTAATTATGCAAATTAAAATTAAAATAAATTGTATTTATTTATATTATTTTATTTTGTATTTATTTTTTTATTTTATTTTGTATTTATTTTTTTATTTTCAATTCATTTTATTTTATTTACTATTTCTATATTTATTTATTTAGAATAATTAATATTTATTTAATAAAATTTAATAAATATATTTAGATATTTAAAGTGTATTTATTTATTTAGATTAATTGGTATTTATTTTTTATTTTTTGTATTTATTTATTGAGAATAGAACTAATACTAATTTTTATTAAAATAATGTTTTTTTTACTAACGCCAATTGTAAAGAGAAATGTGGAATGTTGAACTTGTTGAGCAAGAGATAAAGTTGTTTCATAGGCACGAAAAGTCAAAATTTCAAATGATCTATTAACTAAATGGACATTTCCAAAATTATCTCCAAAAACTAAATTTCCATTTCCACTTGTTGCGGCTGTTATTCGAGAACCCTGAAATATTTAAAAATTGTTATAATTTAGAAAAAAATAAGGACACAAAAAAAAAACGAAAAATACGAAAAAAAAATTCCTGACTCTGATAAATATAGAATTAAATAAATAATTTACATTTCCAAAAATTTTGAATAAAATAAATAATTTATTTCCAAAAATTTAGAATAAAATAAATAATTTACATTTCCAAAAATTTTGAATAAAATAAATAATTTATTTCCAAAAATTTAGAATAAAATAAATAATTTACATTTACAAAAATTTGGAATAATCCAAAAATTTAGAATAAAATAAATAATTTACATTTCCAAAAATTTAGAATAAAATAAATAATTTACATTTACAAAAATTTGGAATAATCCAAAAATTTAGAATAAAATAAATAATTTACATTTCCAAAAAATTTTGAATAAAATAAATAATTTATTTCCCAAATTTATTTCCAAAAATTTAGAATAAAATAAATAATTTACATTTCCAAAAATTTAGAATAAAATAAATAATTTACATTTACAAAAATTTGGAATAATATAATCCAAAAATTTAGAATAAAATAAATAATTTATTTCCAAAAATTTAGAAAAAAATATTTATTTCCAAAATTTATTTCCAAAAATTTAGAATAAAATAAATAATTTACATTTCCAAAAATTTTGAATAAAATAAATAATTTATTTCCAAAAATTTAGAATAAAATAAATAATTTATTTCCAAAAATTTAGAATAAAATAAATAATTTACATTTCCAAAAATTTTGAATAAAATAAATAATTTATTTCCAAAAATTTAGAATAAAATAAATAATTTACATTTACAAAAATTTGGAATAATCCAAAAATTTAGAATAAAATAAATAATTTACATTTCCAAAAATTTAGAATAAAATAAATAATTTACATTTACAAAAATTTGGAATAATCCAAAAATTTAGAATAAAATAAATAATTTACATTTCCAAAAAATTTTGAATAAAATAAATAATTTATTTCCCAAATTTATTTCCAAAAATTTAGAATAAAATAAATAATTTACATTTCCAAAAATTTAGAATAAAATAAATAATTTACATTTACAAAAATTTGGAATAATATAATCCAAAAATTTAGAATAAAATAAATAATTTACATTTCCAAAAAATTTTGAATAAAATAAATAATTTATTTCCAAAAATTTAGAAAAAAATATTTATTTCCAAAATTTATTTCCAAAAATTTAGAATAAAATAAATAATTTACATTTACAAAAATTTGGAATAATATAATCCAAAAATTTAGAATAAAATAAATAATTTACATTTCCAAAAAATTTTGAATAAAATAAATAATTTATTTCCAAAAATTTAGAAAAAAATATTTATTTCCAAAATTTATTTCCAAAAATTTAGAATAAAATAAATAATTTACATTTCCAAAAATTTTGAATAAAATAAATAATTTATTTCCAAAAATTTAGAATAAAATAAATAATTTATTTCCAAAAATTTAGAATAAAATAAATAATTTACATTTACAAAAATTTGGAATAATCCAAAAATTTAGAATAAAATAAATAATTTACATTTCCAAAAATTTTGAATAAAATAAATAATTTATTTCCAAAAATTTACATTTTGGAATAATCCAAAAATTTACAATAAAAAAATAAATTAATTTACTAATTATAGAATAAAATAATTTTTTTCAATAGAAAATAAAGCCAATAACAAAAATAGTACAAAAGAAAAAACCAAAAAATACGAAAAAAAATTCCTCTCTCTAATAATTATTGAATTAAATAAATAATTTACTTCCCAAAAATATAGAATAAAATAATTTTTTTGCATTAAAAAATAAAGCAAAGAACAAAAATAGGGCAAAAAAAAATTAAAAAATAGTTTAAAACGTTTAAAATTACGAGCAAAAAAAAAAAAAAAACAAAAAGAAAATTATAATCCATTAAACACAACAGATAAATCGGAAAAAGAATAAATAATTTAATTATTAAATACTCACTGCGAGAACCTGCGCTATTTTCCCTGAATCAACTTCTTTTTTCAGATCGAAAAAATTAAATCGGCGCCACTAATAAATAAATAAATTAAAAAAAAAAAGAAAAAAACAAAGAAAATATTTATAGGTTAGAATTCATTTAATTAATTATAAAAATTGTTTTTAATTTCTTTAATACAATAATATAGTAATTAAATTTATTAACCTCTAAGAACGCCATTGTTTAGAATTATTTCACTGTTTTTTCATTTGTAAATTATTAATAACAATAATAATAATAATAACAATAAAAGACACACTATTTTTGACGTTGGGCGAGACGAGCTTTTTTTCCGAGCTGTCATTTGTCGACGATTGTGAAGTTGGCAGCGGGTAAATGGAGCTTTTTTTGGAGTAACGTGAAGTTGGTACAACTTCTCAAATGTGACGCGCATTCAAAATTTATTTCATTTTACAATAATTTCTCTACAAGCGGTAATTTTGAAAATTTATAAATTCAAAAAAAAAAAATATATAAATAAGATAATAATTTAGTTATCAAAATAAAAAAATTAAGTAAAACAAATTAATTAATAAAGTAAATTCACAAAAATAGAAACTAAAATTCCAAATCAAAAATTTTTTTTTACAAAAAAAAAAACAAAAATTAGTTTTTTCTAAATTTTTATTTGGAAAATAAAACGAAATTCAAAATAAAAAAATTAATTAAAAAAGTAAATTCACAAAATTAGAAACTAAAATTCCAAATAAAAATTTAAAAATAAAAAAAATATTTTGTAATTTTATTTATTTATTTATAATTTACCTTTAATTTTTGAAATAAATAGAAATTAATTTTAACAAAAATTTAATTAATTAAATACTTTAAAGACAAAAAATAGTTTTTTTTAAAAATTTTTATTTGGAAAATAAAACGAAATTCAAAATAAAAAAATTAATTAAAAAAGTAAATTCACAAAAATAGAAACTAAAATTCCAAATCAAAATTTTTTTTTACAAAAAAAAATATTTTGTAATTTTATTTATTTATTTGTAATTTACCGTTAATTTTTGAAATAAATAGCAATTAATTTTAACAAAAATTTAATTAATTAAATACTTTAAAGACAAAAATTTAATTATAATTAAATACTTTAAAGACAAAAAATAGTTCTTTTTTTTAAATTTTTATTTGAAAAATAAAACGAAATTCAAAATTTAATGTCAAGATATTTATTTACGATAGAATATGATTTTTCGTTTCAAAAAAAAAAAAAAAAAAAGGAATTCTTTCTCAATCCACTTTAAATACATATTTTCATACTAAATAATATTCTGGCACAAAATTTAACAATACTATATTAGAAAAAGTACAATTTTATTTATTTTTTTTTTTTTTTTTTGTTAACGAAAACTATTTACAATTTGAAAAATGTTAGACTTATTATAATTATTAAAATAATATAATATATAAATATTTGACATATCAAATAAAAGTGCACTTTGAATTTTTCAACAATTTTTCTTTTTTTTCCTACGCGTGTGTACAAAAAGCATTTTTAATTTACAAATTTTTATTTTTTTTACGTTTTAATTTTTTTTTTTTTTTTAATTTCACTATTTTATTATTATTATAATATTAATAACATCTTCTGTTACTGATTTTTTTTTTGTTTTTTTTTTTTTACGAGGGAAGTGGAAAATCTGCATAACCCTGGAGGCCTTCTTCCAAATCAGATACCTGGAGTTTATTTTCATTAAAAAAAATTTTTTTATCCGAAACATTTTTTTTTTCCAAATCTATATGAAAAATAAGAAAATAAGTATTTTTTGTATTTTTTTATTTAATGAAAATAAAGGAAGTTATGATTTTTTTTTTTTGAAATTTAACGTCAACGAAGAAAGTGTTTTTTTTTTGGAACATTTTTTTAATCTATTGTAATTATAAATTAAAAATTATGCTATATATATATGAAATTTATTCATTTTTTCTCAAATTTTTCAAATATATGCTCAAAAATAACGTCCCTATAACAGAAGCAACAAAAAAAAAAAAAAAAAAAAAAATTGAAATTAAACTTATAAAGTGAGTTTTCTAAAAAGGAGACACTTTCGATTTTTAATTCCCTTCTTGGTGTAGCAGATTTTTTTACATCCTACGAAAAAAAAAAAAAAAAAAAAAAAAATTTCAATTTTACATTTCAAGTAACGAGGGTTTTCTAAAACTTATTTCTATTTTTCGAATAAGCGAATATTATTATTATTATTATTAACAATATTAGTTAATTATTAATAATTTTTAACAATTAATAATTTATTAACAATTATATTTAATATTAATTAATTATTAATCATAATAATAAATTATTATTATTTAATAAAAATTAATAATTATTAATAAAAAATTTTTTAAACAATTTTGGGAAATTTGCTTAAAGAAATTTTGGAACAATTATTATTATTATTTAATAAAAATTAATAATTATTAATAAAAAATTTTTAAAAAAATTTTGGGAAATTTGCTTAAAGAAAATTTGGAACAATTATTATTATTATTATTATTATTTAGATATTAATTATTAATAATTAACAATAATTGTTGATAATATTTTTAATAATAAAAATTTTAAATATTATATAGTAATACTTTTTAAAAAAGAAAAACTTTATACAATATTGCTCTAAAGAATTTCATTATTTTTATGAATCTCATCGATTCAAAAAATTGTGGAAGACCAATGGACAATCGTCAAATATTTAAAAAAAAAAAAAAAAAAACAATTTACCTTAAAATCTAAGAATTTTAAAAATATTTTTAAATTATTATTATTGCTTTCTCTGTAGAGAAAGTATTTTAATATATAGTTTTAAAAAAAAAAAAATTGTAATACTAGTTAACAAATTACAAGTAACTTGAGTCGTCTTCCAAAAATTAATCAGCGGAGCCTTTTCTTTTCCAGTCTTTAATAATCTAGGAATTATCTATTATTATTAATCGCAGTCTTTATCGATTACAACTATTTTGTTTTTGTTTTTTTTTTTTTCAAATCCGTAAAATTGAATTTTGAAAAAAAAATTTTTAATTTATAATTTTGAGCACGGAATTCATTATCACAATTTTTTATTTTTTTTTTTTTTAATATTTCTTTCTTTTTTTTCTTTTTTTTTTTTTTTTTAAAGAAAAAAATGAGAATTCCGCTTTCTTAATTCCCAAGGAAACTCGGTATGAAAGCTTCTTCTTATCTAACCCTGTAAATTGCTCCTAGTATTAAATTGGACTCGATTTTTACATCCCAAAAAGCACAATTTTCTTTGCACTTATATATAAAATTTTATATATATATATATATCAAAATAATAATTGCCAAAAAAAATTTGTGAATATTTCAGCAAATATTAATAATTATTAAATTAATAATAGAGTAGTATTATAATTATTATTAAATATAAGATTGTAACTGGCCTAAATATTAAAGAAAAAAATTGTGCTTTTATGGAGTAATGATTGTACATTGCCTATTTATAAGGAATAAATATCATCATTTGGTTAATAACACGATTCTTAAAATGAAATCAAAGGAAAAATGTCTATTCCTTCTTTTTTTTACTTTTTTTTTTCTTTCTTTCTTTTTTTTTTGTACAGGCACAGATTGGACGGTCGTCTAAAAAAACGCGCTTTGCCTCTACGCGATTGGCAAAAAAAAAGAAAAAAAAAAGTGAATCTCGTGATTCCTTATATTTCTAAATTAACTAAATTGTTATTTAGTTAATTGTTATCATTTTCAAGAAATAATTAATTATTATTTATTTATTTAATTAATAGTCGTGTGTGTAAAGCTTTTTTCAAATTCATGTGTAAAACTTTCAAAATTTAACCATTATTTATATATAATTTAACTAATTTTCTTTTTTTTACCTTTTTTTTTTTAATTCTTTTCTTTTTACATTCTCTTCTCATCTCGTTTTTTTTTGTTTTTGTAAAAATTTAACTATTTTTGTTATTACGATTTCGTAGAATTGATGAAGCGTCCGATAGTGAATATGTACCGGGCTCAAAAACTGGTGGATATTCAAGGCCAGGATAATCTGGCGGCGGAGAAGTTGGAGGCGGAATATAAGGCAGTGTCGGTGGTGATGTGAAATTTCTCGAGTTTGTTGAACGTTTCTGACATCCAGGATGATTGGTTGGACACTGTGGAGTAAATTTATTTATTTATTTATTTTTAAATCAAGGTAAATAATTAACTGTATTCTTTTAATTATTACTAGCAAAATTTAACGCGCGCCAAATTTTGTATTTAATTGTTAGTTATAAAGAAATTAAAGATTAATATTATCAAATAATAATTTAATTTATTAGAATATTATTACATATTAAATGATAATAATGAAAATTATATGTTTACAGGTCTCGGATTATATACGAATTTTTCCGACTTTTTATCAAAAATACGACTTTTATCGATTTATTTTAATAAAATGCGACATTTTTTTTTTTTTACATTTCAAAAGAAAATGTAAATAAAATACATTTTTTTTTTAGTATAAAATGTAGATCTTCTTCAGATCTTCTTCAATTCAATTAATTAACAAATTTTCAACTAAAATGATTCTTCACTAAATTAATTTATTTTTAATAATTTTAATGAAATACATCACAAATTCAAATTCTATCAAAATTATTTTTCAATTAAAATTTTTTATAAAATTAAACAATTGTTTATAATTTAAAACAAAAAAAATATCACAAATAAAATTGAATTATTTTTTGAAAAATTTCAATTCAAAATAAATTAAAATTCAATTATTATCCGAAATTTTAATTCAAAATCAATTAAAAATCCAATAATTATCAAAAATTTTCAATTTAAAATTTAATTATTTACCAAGTTTTCAATTTAAAATGAAATAAAATTTAATTATTTTCTAAAATTTCTATTCAAAATTAATTATTTAAATTTTCAATCAAAAATAAACTTTAATTAAATTATTATCCAAAATTTCAATTAAAATTCAATTATTTACCAAAATTTTCAATTAAAATTCAATTATTTACCAAAATTTTCAATTCAATATGAACTGAAATTCAATTATTTTCCAAATTTAAAATCAAATAAAATTTCATTATTCTCAAAAATTTGAATTCAAAATTAATTGAATTTTCAATTATTTTGAAAAATTTTAATTGAAATTGAATTATTATCTAAAATTTTCAATTCAAAATCAATTATTTTCCAAAATTTCGATTCAAAATCAACTAAAATTCAATTATTTTCTAAAATTTTCAATTCAAAATGAACAAAAATTCAATTATTTTCCAAAATTTCAATTGAAAATTAACTAAAATTCAATTATTTTCTAAAATTTCAATTATTTCCCAAAATTTTCAATTCAAAATGAACTAAAATTCAATTATTTTCTAAATTTAAAATTAAAATTAATTTATTTTGAAAATTTTCCATTAAAATTCAATTATTTTCAAATTTTCTATTCAAAATCATCTAAAATTTAATTATTTTCCAAAATTGTAATTGAAATTCAATTATTTTCAAAATTTTCAACTTAAAATCAACTAAAATTAAATAATTTTCTAAATTTTCAATTAAAATTCAATTATTTTCAAAATTTTTAATCCAAAATAAACTAAAATTTAATTATTTCCAAAATTTCAATTCAAAATCAACTAAAATTCAATTATTTTTAAAAATTCCAATTATTTCCCAAAATTTTCAATTAAAAATGAACTGAAATTCAATTATTTTCTAAATTTAAAATTAAAATTAATTTATTTTGAAAATTTTCCATTAAAATTCAATTATTTTCAAATTTTCTATTCAAAATCATCTAAAATTTAATTATTTTCCAAAATTGTAATTGAAATTCAATTATTTTCAAAATTTTCAACTTAAAATCAACTAAAATTAAATAATTTTCTAAATTTTCAATTAAAATTCAATTATTTTCAAAATTTTTAATCCAAAATAAACTAAAATTTAATTATTTCCAAAATTTCAATTCAAAATCAACTAAAATTCAATTATTTTTAAAAATTCCAATTATTTCCCAAAATTTTCAATTAAAAATGAACTGAAATTCAATTATTTTCTAAATTTAAAATTAAAATTAATTTTTTTTCTATATTTGAAATTAAAATTAATTTATTTTGAAAATTTTCAAAAAAATTCAATTCTTTTCAAACTCGTGTATTCAAAATCAACTAAAATTCAATTATTTTAAAAAATTTCAATTCGAACTAAACTGAAATTGAAATATTTTCAAAAATTTTAATTGAAATTCATTTATTTTGAAAATTTTCCATTACAATTTAATTATTTTCAATTTTTCCATTCAAAATCATCTAAAATTTAATTATTTTCCAAATTTGTAATTGATATTCAATTATTTTCCAAAATTTTCAATTTAAAATCAACTAAAATTCAATTATTTTCAAAATTTTTAATCCAAAATAAATTAAAATTTAATTATTTCCAAAATTTCAATTCAAAATCAACTAAAATTCAATTATTTTTAAAAATTCCAATTATTTCCCAAAATTTTCAATTAAAATGAACTGAAATTCAATTATTTTCTAAATTTAAAATTAAAATTAATTTATTTAATTGAAATTTTAATTTTAATTTTAATTGAAATTCATTAATTTTGAAAATTTTCCATTAAAATTCAATTATTTTCAAATTTTCCATTCAAAATCATCTAAAATTTAATTATTTTCCAAAATTGTAATTGAAATTCAATTATTTTCAAAATTTTCAATTTAAAATCAACTAAAATTCAATAATTTTCTAAATTTTCAATTAAAATTCAATTATTTTCCAAAATATTCAATTCAAAATCAACTAAAATTCAATTATTTTCAAAATTTTTAATCCAAAATAAACTAAAATTTAATTATTTCCAAAATTTCAATTTAAAATTAACTAAAATTCAATTATTTTTCAAAACTTCGATTGAAATTCAATTATTTTCCAAAATTTAAATTCAAAATCCACGAAAATTTAATTAAAATACAATTATTTTTCAAAATTTTTAATTGAAATTCAATTATTTTCAAAATTTTCTATTTAAAATTAACTAAAATTTCAATTATTTTTCAAAATTTAAGTTCAATTCAATGAAAAATATAATTTTTAAAAATTTTAATATGAATTTGTAAAAAACGGACAAAAATTTTATTTATTTTCAAAGATTTTTGAGCAAATTTCTCATAAATTCTATTATTTCTAAAAAATATTTTATTATCATTCAAAAATACCTTTATCTTCTAAAAATTCAATAAAATATCAAAGATTTAATTATTTTCCAATATTTTGATTATAATTTGTGAAAAACTTATTTTTTAAAATAATTTCAGTAAAAAATAGGCAAAAATTTAATAATTTTCCAAAATTTCAATAAAAATCACAAAAATTTAATTATTTTGAATTATTTTCAATTTAAATATCTATTAAAAATTCAATTATTTGAAATTGAAAAAAAATAATATTAAATACTTATTTTAATAATATTCTTTGAAAATTCAACTATCTGAAACCATTTTCCAATCAAAAATGATTTTCAAATTATTGTATTTTGTCTGGATTTTCTAATAAATTTTTAGTGAAATCATGTAAAATTTTAATTAAAAATCACTTAAAGTTTCAATTAATTTCAAAAATCTCAATTTTAAATCTTTGAAAATTCAATTAAATTTTTAAAAATGTTTTCCAAAAATTGTTTGATAAATTATTTTTAGTTCTGTAAAATTTAATAATTGTTTGAAAATTAACAATATATCTTTTGAAATTTAATTATTTCTAAAAATTTCAACTTTAACCCTTCGAAAAGGATTATTATTAAAAAAAAAATAATTTTTATTTAAAAATCTGTAAAATATTTTTGTTAAAATAAAAAACAAATCCACTTTTTTTTGGAATATAAATCGACTAAAACGACTTTTTTGTGTCTTTAAGTTGATTCGAGGCCTGTGTTTTTATAATTAATATTTAATAGGTATTCGTTGGCCCCTGGTACATTAAAAATTAATTTTGAAAAATAAATTTTTTTCAAATTACTATCTTGTACGAAATTTCCTCGCCCATCTTTTTTCTCATCATAAATTTTTTCTATTTGTATACAATTTTTGAATCAATATACAAGTTTAAAAAAAATTTCGTTGGTAAACGTTTTGTACTTGAGCTTCGTGAATTGAATTTTCGAATTTGGAATTTTAAAGAAACTTATTCCGAAATTTTGAAACACAATTATACAAGTTTGGCAAAAATGAGAAAAAGAATTGTCCAAATTTGACACGGCATAAGATTACTATTAAAAAAAAAAAAAAAAAACACGTGAAATCAGAAAAGGCCAACTTCAAGTTAGGACAGAAGGACAGACCAAGCATTTTATTATTATATAATAATTATATTATAATATTATTTGAAAATAAGTCGGAAAAAAATTGTATTTTCGAAAAAAATGTCGTATAATCCGATTTTTTTAAAATTAAATTAAATAAATATTCATACCTTGGATCCGTGAGCAGCTGGAGCATCGGGACTCCAATCGCTAACAGAACTAACGGAACTGTAACTTTGACTTAAAGTTTGTGATTGGCTTGCACTTCCAGAGCTCAACGATTGACTAATTCCAGAATCTCCGGGACTTTGGCTTCCCGATCTTTTAATTTTTGGTTGCGTTGACGATTTATCTCGAAACAATGCTCGATGAAGTCGTGGCGATCCTAGAAACAGATTTTTTAATTAAATTTATCAATTCTTTTTAATTTTTTTTTTTACAATTTTTTTTTTTTTTTTTGAGAAAAATACAAAAAACTTTGGTGCAAATAGAATAAAGAAATAATAATAATAAAAAAAAAAAAAGTACAGAATAATAAAATAAAAAAAATATAAAATACAAAAATATGAAATAAAAAAAAAATACAGAAATACAAATTAAAAAAATACAAAATGAAATTAATTTTAATTATTGAAAAAAAAAAAAAAAAACAAAAGATTATTTGTTATTATTTTTCTCACCCTCATTAGGAAGTGTTTTTTTCATTTTTTTCAAATTTTATTCTTTCTTTATGAAAAATAAAAAAAAAAAAAAAATAGTAAAAACAAAAAATAATTTATAATAAAAAAAAAGAGAGAGAAATAAAAAATGTTTATAATTAATTTTATCACAAATTTTGAAGAAAAATCCACATTCACGGAAATTTTTCACATCCAAACAGTTAAAAGTTTTCGAAAATAGTAAACAACAACAATGAAATTAATAGACATTCAGGAGCGTATTTTGAAAATTTTTTCTAAGATGGTTTAAATATTTAAAATCAATAAATTAATAATAAAGATAAAACAAAAAATTGTAATATTAATAGAATTTTAATTGATTTGGAATTAAAATTTTCGACAATAATTGAATTTTAGTTGATTTTGAAATGAAATTTTGGAAAATAATTGAATTTTAGTTGAATTTCAATTGAAAATTTTGAAAATAACAATTTTTGTTGATTTTGGATTGAAAATTTTGTAAAATATTTGAATTTTAATGGAAATTTTTTATAATAATTGAATTTTTATTTATTTTAAATAGAAAAATTTGAAAATAATTGAATTTTAATTAAGTTTGAATTGAAATTTTGGAAAATAATTGAATTTTAGTTAATTTTATGATTAAAATTTTTTAAAATAATTGAATTTCAATTGAAATTTCTGAAAATAATTGAAATTTAATTGATTTTGGATTTAAAATTTTGTAAATAATTGAATTTTAGTTGACATCGAATTGAAAATTTTTTTAAAATAATTGAATTTTAATTGAAATTTTTGAAATTAATTGAAATTTAATAGATTTTGAATTTCAAATGTAGAAAATGCAGATAATAGAATTTTAGTTGATTTTCAATTGAAAATGTTAAAAATAACTGAATTTTAATTGATTTTAAATTGAAAATCCTGATTATAATTGAATTTAAATTGATGTAGAATTCAAGTTTTGGAAAAGAATTGCGTTTATAATTAAAAAAAAAAAAAAAAAAAAAAAAAAAAAAAAAAAAAAAAAATTAATAATAAAGATAAAAAGAAAAAAAAAATTGTAATTTAAATTTTTTTCTAAAATTAAATTAAATGAAAAAAAAAAAAAAAATTGAAAAAACAAACCAAGAATTGTTTTTTGCGTTTCCTTTGGAATTTCAAGTGCAATTGGCTTCTGTGGACTTTTATTGGTGAAAAAATTTTTCAATTTATTTTTCTTTTGTACATCATCATTTTTATCAAGATGCATTTCAAATGCAGCTCTCATTCCCTCTTGTTCAAATGGTGTATTAAAAATTGGCGGCGGTTGATATTGTCCAACGTGTTTTAATTTATTTTTATCAAATTTCATTAATTTTTTCTCATTATTTTTTTCACGTCGACAATCGGCCAAATTGAAACTTCCATTTCGGCTCACTGATATTGTTTTTTGCATTTTAAATGTATCTGATGTTGAATTTAATGATGCTAAATCTCCACTCGATCCAGAATAAACTGTGTGAAAAAGTAAATTACAAATTTAGAAAAAAAAAAAAAGTTTTTTTTTTTAATAATTTATTAAAATATATATATATATATTACCGTCATTTTTTGCAATTCTTCGTGAAAAATCCAAATCCATAGAATTATTTCTCTCGGCACGAAATTCATTGCCAATAAATTCACAACCATAATTCGCTGGATTTATTTGTCCATGAGCTCCTGTTCTTGGTGAATTTGTTGTTGTTGTTGTTGTTGTTAATCTATTTTGTTGTTCATTGATACGATTATCTTGTCTACTATCGTAATATGGATCCTCAATTATTTTTTTCTTTCTCATACAATTTAATGTTCTTGGCGTTGAATTTTTTGCTTCGCATGAATCACGTGTTTTTTCACTAGAACGACGTTCAAATGTATAATTTTGTGTTTGCATTAAATATGAATTGCCGCCATTTGTCAATGAATTTTCATCATAATTTTTTGGAAATCCATAAATAACGCCATTATTATTTGGAATATCGCGTACAAAATTCATTCTTCCATTTTCAAAATTGTCAAATGTACGATGTTGAATGTGTACATGATCGCTTGTTAATGGAGTAAAACGTGGCGATGGTGTGCCACGTTGATGATCTTCATCTTGACGCGAGAGCATAAATTCCTCGAGTGTTATAAATCCTTGGAGTTCATCATTTCGTCTTGATCTTGGAAATCTGTTTATTTATTTATTATATTATTTACTTATTTATTTATTTACAATAAATTCCCCTACGATGATTATAAATTTTTAATTTTATTAATTGGAAAAAAAAAAATTTATTTCATTCAAATACTCAATTATTTGACTATAATTATCAAATAAATATATTTAATTGAATAAAAATAATTTTTATTTAAATTAAATAAATTTTATTTAAATAAAAAAAATTTTTTCTATTTATAAACAAATATAATTTAATTGATGCGAATAATAATTACTTTAATAGAAATAAATAGAAAAAATGGAAAAAAAAAAAATATTTGCTAATAGTCAAGTAATCGAGTATTTGAATAAAAAATAAATTTTTTTTTTTGTAATGTAAAATATGTAAAAATTTTTTAACGTTAATTTGCAAATAAATAAAAATAAATAAAATAATAATTTTACCTGTCTGAAGTGCGTCGATAATCGCCCATATCTTGACTGCTACTTGGAACATCATTTGCACTTCGTGATGCGTTTAATCCATAAAATGTACTTCCCGACACTGTTACTGGCAATTCTGGTGAATGTGAAACCAAATCTTGTTTTCTAAAATGAATCAAATTTTCAATTATTAAAATTTGGAATTTAATACAAAAGAAAAAAAAACAAAAATAAATAAAATAATAATAATTTTTATTAATATTAATTAACTTTTGCCAGATATAAAAATATTTTTCTTTTTCATTAATCAAAAAAATAACAAAAAAATTAACAGCAGTAATTTTTTTTTGTTCAAAGTAATTTTTATTAATTGTATTTTGTACACAATTTTTTGTGTAAGTTATTTTTTCTTTTTAATATAATTTTTATTTAAAATAATTTTTCGCTCAAAGTACTAATTTTGAATTGTAATTTTTTTTTAAAATAATTTTTTGCTCAAAGTAATAATTTTAATTGTAATTTTTTTTTTAAATAATTTTTATTCAAAATAATTCTTTTTCTAGATACTTAACGATAAATTACAAATAAATAAAAAACAATTTTATTTCAAGTTTCTTTTTTTTTCTATGTAATTTTTTTTTTTTTTTTTTTGTAAATTTCAAGCCTTCGATTGACATTAAAGCATAAAAAAAGTCGTTTTCGTCGATTTATATTAAAAAAAAAAGTCAATTTATTTTATTTTAATAAATTAAATTTTCGAATTAAAAATTTTGTCACAGTTTTATTGTTTTTGATGGTCAACAAAATTTTAGGCAATATTCAATCAAGTTTTAAAGATTTTTAAATAATATTTTTTTTTTAAAATATTAATAATTTTGGAAGATGTTAATGCTGAAATTTTTAAAAAATAATTGAATTTCAAAAAAATTTTATTAATTTTCAGACAATAATTAAATTTTACAGAACTAAAAATAATATTTCAAATAATTTTTGGATAACATTTTTGAAAAGTAATTGAAATTTCAAAGATTTACAAATTTTAATATATGAAAATAATTGAATTTAAATTGAAATTTTTTAATATAATTGAATTTTAATTGAATTTGAATTGAAATTTTGAAAAATAATTGAATTTTAATTGATTTTGAATTGAAATTTTGGAAAATAATTGAATTTTCATTGATTTGGAATTGAAATTTTGGAAAATAATTGAATGTATGTTGATTTAAAATTAAAATTTTTTAAAATAATTGAATTTAAATTCATTTGGAATTATAATTCTGGAAAATAATTTGTATTTTGATTTATTTTGAATTAAAATTTTCAAATATACTTGAATTTTGGTTGATTCTGAATAGAAAATCTTGAAAATAATTCAATTTCAATTTCAATATTTCAAAACAATTAAATTTTTGTCCGTGTTTTACTAATTTAAATTAAATTTTAAATAATTAAATTTTTGATAAATTTATATTGTAATTTTGAAAAAATAATTGAATTTTAGTTAATTTTGAATTGATATATTGAAAATAACAGAATTTTAAATTATTTTAAATTGAAAATTTGACAAATAACTGAATTTTAAGTTAATTTTGAAATGATTTATTTTTAAATAATAAAATATTTATTAATTTTGAATTGAAAATTTAAAAAAAAATTGAATTTCATTTTATTTTGAATTGACAATAATTAAATTTCAATTGAATTATGGTTGATTTTGAATTAAAAATAATTAAATTTCAATTAAACTTTTGTAATTAATTGAATTTTAATTAATTTGGAATTGAAATTTTTGAAAATAATTGAATTTCAATGGATTTTGAATTAAAATTTTTGAAAATAATTAAATTTTAGTTGATTTTGAATTGAAATACTTTAAAATAATTAAATTTTATTTTATTTTATTTTGAATGGAAAATAATTAAATTTTATTTGATTTCGAATTAAAATAATTAAATTTCAATTGAAATTTTGGATAATTGAATTTTAAATGATTTGGAAATGAATATTTTAAAAATAATAGAATTGCAATTAAAATTTTAGAAAATAATTGAATTTTAGTTGATTTTGAATTGAAAATTTTGAAAATAATTGAACTTAAATTGAAATTTTAAAAATTAATTGAATTTTAGTTGAATTTCAATTGAAATTTTGGAAAATAATTGAATTTTTTGTTAATTTTGTATTGAAAATTTTGAAAATAATTGAATTTTAATTGAAAATTTAGAAAATAATTGAATTTTAGTTGATTTTGAATTGAAAATTTTGAAAATAATTGAACTTAAATTGAAATTTTAAAAATTAATTGAATTTTAGTTGAATTTCAATTGAAATTTTGGAAAATAATTGAATTTTTTGTTAATTTTGTATTGAAAATTTTGAAAATAATTTAATTTTGGTTGATTCTGGATTGAAAATTATGAAAATAATTGAATTTTAGTTGATCTTCAATTGAAAATTTTAAAAATTAATTGAATTTTAGTTGAATTTCAATTGAAATTTTGGAAAATAATTGAATTTTTTGTTAATTTTGTATTGAAAATTTTGAAAATAATTTAATTTTGGTTTATTCTGGATTGAAAATTATGAAAATAATTGAATTTTAGTTGATCTTCAATTGAAAATTTTGAAAATAATTGAATTTTAGTTGATTTTGAATTGAAAATTTTGGAAAATAATTGAATTTTAATTGAAAATTTAGAAAATAGTTGAATTTTAATGGATTTTGAATTAAAATTTTTGAAAATAATTGAATTTTAGTTGATTTTGATTTGAAATACTTGAAAATAATTGAGTTTTATTTTATTTTGAATGGAAAAAAATTAAATTTTAAATGATTTGGAAATGAATATTTTAAAAATAATAGAATTTCAATTAAAATTTTGGAATATAATTGAATTTTAATTGATTTTGAATTGAAATTTTGGAAATAATTAAATTTTAGTTTATTTTGGATTAAAAATTTTGAAAATAATTGAATTTTAGTTGATTTTGAATTGAAAATTTTGAAAATAATTGATTTTTAATTGAAAATTTTGAAAATAATTTAATTTTGGTTGATTCTGGATTGAAAATTATGAAAATAATTGAATTTCAGTTGATTTTGGATTGAAATTTTGGAAAAGTAATTGAATTTTAGCAGATTTTGTATTGAAATTTTGGAAAATACATAATAGAATTTTAGTTGTTTTTGAATTTAAAATGTTAAAAATAACTGAATTTTGGTTGATTTTGAATTGAGATTTTGTAATTAATTGAATTTTAATTGATTTGGAAATGAATATTTTAAAAATAATAGAATTTCAATTAAAATTTTGGAAAATAATTGGATTTTAATTGAATTTGAATATAAAATTTTGAAAATAATTGTATTTTAGTTGATTATGAATTGAAATTTTTTGCAAATAATTGAAATTCATTGGATACTGAATTGAAATTTTTAGAAAATAATTGAATTTTTTAATTAAAATTTTGATTTATTTTGTAGTTATTTTTTCCAAAATTAATTATTATTATTTTTTTTTTTGGGGGGGGGGAATTATTATTTGAAAATAATATTCTCATTATCCTTACCTTGGTGTTGAACTCGGTAGTACTCGTCGATAACTTCTAAATTGTGCTGTTGGTACCGGTACATTTTGACTTTTGCCCAAAAATTTCAAATACTTTCTATCTAAACTTGCTCCAGTTGGTAAATTTTGTTCCTTATAATTATCACCTTTTTTGCCAATTTTTTTCAACGAACCAAAACCCTTATTGCCACTGCTGCTGCTGCTGCTGTTGTTACTACTACTATTACTATTCTCCTTACTCTCATTTGTTGCCTTCAATAATTTTCTATTCATTTCCCCATCGCTCTCATCAGTTTCACTAAACAATCCACTTGATCTATCCATAGGATCAGCGCCAATTGTTGTTTTACTAACAGCATCCAACCAAATTAATAGCGAATCCTCAGTGTCAGCGGCAAAATAAAAAACTGTACCCGTATGATAAATTTTAAATGCATATTTTCTTGATTTCACCTCTTGTGCTTGCGATGCAGTAAAACCAGCCAATGCAATTAAACAATCGGCTTTTATTGAATCTTGTAATTTAAAACGAAATAAAGATGCACCCTTTAATACAAACCATGCTTTTGCCCATGCACCGCCAGCGCCACGCGAACGATAAATTAACCAACCCTCTAAATCAACAGGTGATAATTCTTTAACACTAATATTACGCCTCTTAGCAAGTGCAATATTACGTTTACGTGAATTTTTTGGACTTGTTAAAATTTTACTTGCCGATGCATTAAATCCAATACTACGTGCAGCAACCATCATTGCACGATTCATAACACCGCGATCTTTTTCCAATGTACGCGGTTTTTCTGTGATAAATTTCGAACAACATGCACCATCAGTGGAATCAATTTGTAAATCTCTTGTGTCCATTAAACGCGAATCCAATGTTCTTGATTCAAAATATTTTCCATCAAACTGTCCCATTCGTGATATTGTTCTTGATTCATTGCTTAATCGCGAATCTAATGTTCGTGATTCGCCAAAAATTCGTGAATCATAATTTTTTCCATCATGAGAAATTCGCGAATCATTCATTGAATTTCGTGAATCATTTGAGGCACGTGATTCATTACTAATTCGTGAATCAATTGTTCGCGATTCATTGCTAATTCGTGAATCAATTGTTCGCGATTCATTGCTAATTCGTGAATCAATTGTTCGCGATTCATTGCTAATTCGTGAATCAATTGTTCGCGATTCGTTGAAAATTCGCGAATTGGAATTTTTCAATTCATTGGAAATTCGTAAATCATAATTTCTCGATTCGTTAGAAATTCGCGAATCAATTGTTCTCGATTCATTGCTAATTCGTGATTCCAAATTTCTCGAATCGTTGCTAATTCGTGATTCCAAATTCCTCGATTCATTGCCAATTCGTGATTCTAAATTCCTCGATTCGTTGCTAATTCGTGATTCCAAATTCCTCGATTCGTTGCTAATTCGTGATTCCAAATTTCGCGATTCATTGCCAATTCGTGATTCCAAATTTCGCGATTCATTGCCAATTCGTGATTCCAAATTTCGCGATTCGTTGCCAATTCGTGATTCCAAATTTCGCGATTCATTGCCAATTCGTGATTCCAAATTCTTCGATTCGTTGGAAAATCGCGAATTAGAATTTTTCAATTCGTTAGAAATTCGCGAATTAAAATTTCGAGATTCATTGCTAATTCGCGAATCAATTGTTCTTGATTCATTGCTAATTCGTGATTCCAAATTTTTCGATTCATTGCTAATTCGTGATTCGTTGCCAATTCGTGATTCGAAATTTCTTGATTCGTTGCTAATTCGCGAATTAGAATTTTGTGAATCATTAAAAATTTGCAAATCAAAATTTGTCAATTCATTGGAAATTTGTGAATCATATAATAATTTTGAATCAATTGTTGATGAATTAGAAAATTTATCAGTAAATAATTGATATTTTTCATCATATTTTTCATCTGAATTAAAATCATAAATTTCTGAATAACCATAAGAATCGATTGTTGAATTTTTTAAATCCAATGAATTATCATGAAATTCCATTGTTCTTTTTTTCTCATTATTATGAAAATATTCTTCATTTTCCTTTAATTTTTGTTGTTGTTGTTGTTCTTCTTCTTCCTCTTCTTCTTCTTTTTTTGTTGATTCTAATTCGTCAAATTCATTTTTTCTTCTATCGGGTATTTTTGGTTTTTCTTGATTATTTTTTATTAAATTCAATGATTTTGAAAAATATTTACGTGGCGGTGGTTCAGGTGGACAAAGTTTTTTTTGTTTTACAATAAAAGAATTTTTTTTTAATGGAAAATTATCAATTTTTTCCTGATTTTTTATTTCTTTTTCAATTATTTTCAATTTTTGTTCTTTATTATTTGTTAATAATTCAATTTTTTTTTTACTATTATCATCGAAATTTTCAATTTTATTTTCATCTAAATTTTCAATTTTATTTTCATGAATATTTTCAATTTCAATTTTTTTTTTACTATTTTCTTCAAAATTTTCAATTCGATTTTCCATAGTAATTTCAATTTTTCTTTTACTATTTTCAATTTTATTATCTTTGTAAATTTCAATTTGATTTTTATTATTTTCAAAAAAATTTTCAATTTGATTTTCTCTATTTTCTTCAAAAATTTCAATTTGATTTTTATTATTTTCCTGAATATTGTCAATTTTTTTAGGGTTATTTTCCATTTTTATTTCTTTATTATCAATTCTTTTTACATTAATTTCTGTCGTGTTTTCATTTTTATTTAAAATAATAAAATCATCTTTTTGAATAATTACTTTTGGCGGTGAATATTTTTCATTTTTTATCACCTCATTTTTTGCACAACAAGAAGAAGAAGAAGAAGAAGAAGAAGAAGTAGAAGATTTTTCACATTTTGGTGAAAATATTTTTTCACTTGATTTCATTAAATGTTTTTCAATATCATTAATTTTTTTCACAACACTACCAACAATTATTTTCACTTCCTCCTGAATGGGAAAATTATCATTGGCTTTTTTTCCAAAATTTTCCTCTATTTCAAAATTAAAATCATAGGCCGGAGTACTGTGACTTTTTTCCAATTCACCACGACGTGGTTCTTCTTTTTCATTTTTCATTTTGTTTCTTTCTTTTTCATTTTCCGTTTTGTTTCTTTCTTTTTCATTTTCCATTTTGTTTTTTTCTTTTTCATTTTCCATTTCGTTTTTTTCTTTTAGTTTTAGTTTTTGTTTTTCATTTTCTATTTCTTTTTCATTATTATCATCTCCTTTAAAATTCGAATCCAATGAATTTCTTTCAAAAGGCACATTATTATCACAATTATTATCAATAACTTTGTCATTATGCTCATTAAATTGAACTCGTCTCTCGTCAATTTTTCCATGCCTCTTTATTTCAATACCAAGACATGTTTGCGGTCTTAAATTATTATTATTACTATTATTACTATTATTACTATTACTATTATTATTATTACTATTATTACTATTCGATTGAACATTATTTAATCCATGTGCGCATGATGCTGCCTTATCGCGCAATTGAAACGTTGAATTGTGCTCATTTTTTAATTCACGCCAAAAACGTTCAATATCAATACTATGTTTTGTCGTTGGACTTGCGCCCGTTATTGTTGCACGTCGTTGTACTAAATTACGTGGTTTTGCCAAATAAAGACGTGACGATAATGTGGGTTCAATTTCCAAATCAGAATCACCACTACTATCATCGGTTGTCATTATCATCATATCAACAGTGTCAATAATTGTTGGCTGTAATTTATGTTCAAGATTAATTTCTTTTGGAATTTCTTTTTCTTGTTGATATTGTTGATGTTGTTGATGTTGTTGTTGTTGTTGTTGTTTTGGTAATGGCATTGTAAAATCAGGAATTGTTAATAATTCAGGACGTGGCGATGGTAAATTATGATGCCAACGTGATGCGTATGGTGTTTTTTTATTACTTGGTAAACGATAGGGTTTTATGTAAATTTGTCCATAAACTTTTGTATGACGTGGTCGTCGTTTTAATGTTAATAAAACTTCAGCTGGACTCTCGCGAAATAATTCAAGAACATTTTTTCTCTCCCATCCTACAACTGTTTGATAATTGACCTGTAAAAAGAGTTTTTTTTTTTTAATTTGTTTGTTCCTTCTTTTTGTATTTTTTTTTTTGCAATTTATTGAATAAAAAAAAAACAGTAAAAACCTATTTTATATGTTATTAAATTATTATTAATTAATTTTATAATTAAATTAAAAATAAATAATTAATTATTAAATTACAAAAATATAATAATAATAATAGTAATATTAATTATTATTATAATAATAAGTGATAATAATAATTATAATAATTATAACAATAATAATAATAATAATATTAATAGCAGGCCTCGGATCGACTTTAAGACACAAGAAATAAAGTCGTTTTATATATTTTACGTTATTTATTTTTTTTATTTTTATTTTAAATAACGTAAAATATATAAATATATTAAGAGGAAATATTTGGCCTAATAACTTACAAAATTTAATTCCTCAATTATAAATATTACTATTAAAGTCATTTTAGTCGATTTATATTCGAAAAAAAGGCAAAAAAAAGTCGATTTTTTCAATTTTAACAAAATTTAATTGGTTAATAAATATTTTACTTTAAATAACTAATGTTATTTGATATTAAATTCATTTTTATTAATTCTATAATAAGAATAATTATAAAAGAACAATATTAAAGAATTATTAGAAATAATTGAATTTCAAAAAGATTTTGTTGATTTTTAGAGAATAATTAAATTTTACAGAATTAAACAAGTTGTAAATTCAGATGTTCATTACATGAACATTTTGCTTCCTCTTTACGATCAGTAAAAAAATTTGCTTCCTCGTGGAGAAAGCAAAGTTTTATTGCTAAAATGTGAATTTCTGATTTTTTAACTTTCATTAATTCTTTAAATTTACCTCAAATGTATACTTTATATATATCGATCGATTCGTCTTGACGTAAGAAATACGATTTTATTATATATAACCTTAAATTTTTCCATTTAAAAATTTTTTCTATTAAAAAAAAATTTTTGGAAAAAAGACGATAAAAATTTTTTTTGAGGTATTTTTAAAAATCCTTTGTTCAGATTTGAGATATTAATATGATAAATGAGCCTACCAAATTTTATCTAAATCCATTAAAACCTGTTAAAGTTATCTTCTAAACAAAAAAGGGATCCACACACACACACACATACATACAACCGGACAATTGATCAGAATCTCATATAACACGTTTCTATAAAGAAAAAAATTTGTTTTCGCCACTTTGAAAAGTTTTATAAACGAAAGGACTACAAAGTTTCCTCCACGAGGAAGCAAAAATAGTCAAAAAGTTTCGAACAAAAAATGTATAGCGCACTTTTTGATTGGTCCAGCGGAGGCTGAGCTACACTCAGATAAATTTTTTAAAAAATTTTGAAAAATTAAATTTGCGAGATAATTAATCGGGAATAACGCCAAAGTCTTAACCCGGGAGTCTCGAACAAAAAATGTATTGCGCACTTTTTGATTGGTCCAGCGGATGCTGAGCTACACTCAAAAATAATTTGGAAAAATTTTCAAAAAATTAAATTCGCTAGATAATCTTTCGGGAATACCGCCATAGTGATTAGAAGAAAGTTCTGAACAAAAAATGTATGGCGCACTTTTTGATTGGTCCTGCGGATGCTGAGCTACGCTCAAAAATATTTTGGAAAAATTTTCGAAAAATTAAATTCGCGAGATAATCGCTCCCGAATACCAGCAATAAAATAGGGAAAAAGTTTCGAACAAAAAATGAATGGCGGACTTTTTGATTGGTCCAGTGGAGGATGAGCTACACTCAGATAAATTTTTTAAAAAATTTTGAAAAATTAAATTTGCGAGATAATTAATCGGGAATACCGCCAAAGTCTTAACCCGGGAGTCTCGAACAAAAAATGTATGGCGCACTTTTTGATTGGTCCAGCGGATGCTGAGCTACACTCAGATAAATTTTTTAAAAAATTTTGAAAAATTAAACTTGCGAGATAATTAATCGGGAATAACGCCAAAGTCTTAATCCGGGAGTCTCGAACAAAAAATGTATTGCGCACTTTTTGATTGGTCCAGCGGATGCTGAGGTACGCTCAAAAATATTTTGGAAAAATTTTCGAAAAATTAAATTCGCGAGATAATCGTTGGGTAATACCACCAATAAATTAGGGAAAAAGTTTCGAACAAAAAATGTATGGCGGACTTTTTGATTGGTCCAGAGGAGGCTGAGCTACACTCAGATAAATTTTTTAAAAAATTTTGAAAAATTAAATTTGAGAGATAATTAATCGGGAATAACGCCAAAGCCTTAACCCGGGAGTTTCGAACAAAAAATGTATTGCGCACTATTTGATTGGTCCAGCGGATGCTGAGCTACGCTCAAAAATATTTTGGAAAAATTTTCGAAAAATTAAATTTGCGAGATAATTAATCGGGAATACCGCCAAAGTCTTAACCCGGGAGTCTCGAACAAAAAATGTATGGCGCACTTTTTGATTGGTCCAGCGGAGGCTGAGCTACACTCAGATAAATTTTTTAAAAAATTTTGAAAAATTAAATTTGAGAGATAATTAATCGGGAATAACGCCAAAGCCTTAACCCGGGAGTTTCGAACAAAAAATGTATGGCGCACTTTTTGATTGGTCCAGCGGATGCTGAGCTACACTCAGATAAATTTTTTAAAAAATTTTGAAAAATTAAATTTGCGAGATAATTAATCGGGAATAACGCCAAAGTCTTAATCCGGGAGTCTCGAACAAAAAATGTATTGCGCACTTTTTGATTGGTCCAGCGGATGCTGAGGTACGCTCAAAAATATTTTGGAAAAATTTTCGAAAAATTAAATTCGCGAGATAATCGTTGGGTAATACCACCAATAAATTAGGGAAAAAGTTTCGAACAAAAAATGTATGGCGGACTATTTGATTGGTCCAGCGGATGCTGAGCTACACTCAAAAATAATTTGGAAAAATTTTCAAAAAATTAAATTCGCTAGATAATCTTTCGGGAATACCGCCATAGTGATTAGAAGAAAGTTCTGAACAAAAAATGTATGGCGCACTTTTTGATTGGTCCTGCGGATGCTGAGCTACGCTCAAAAATATTTTGGAAAAATTTTCGAAAAATTAAATTCGCGAGATAATCGCTCCCGAATACCAGCAATAAAATAGGGAAAAAGTCTCGAACAAAAAATGTATGGCGCACTTTTTGATTGGTCCAGCGGATGCTGAGCTACACTCAGATAAATTTTTTAAAAAATTTTGAAAAATTAAATTTGCGAGATAATTAATCGGGAATAACGCCAAAGTCTTAATCCGGGAGTCTCGAACAAAAAATGTATTGCGCACTTTTTGATTGGTCCAGCGGATGCTGAGGTACGCTCAAAAATATTTTGGAAAAATTTTCGAAAAATTAAATTCGCGAGATAATCGTTGGGTAATACCACCAATAAATTAGGGAAAAAGTTTCGAACAAAAAATGTATGGCGGACTTTTTGATTGGTCCAGAGGAGGCTGAGCTACACTCAGATAAATTTTTTAAAAAATTTTGAAAAATTAAATTTGAGAGATAATTAATCGGGAATAACGCCAAAGCCTTAACCCGGGAGTTTCGAACAAAAAATGTATTGCGCACTATTTGATTGGTCCAGCGGATGCTGAGCTACGCTCAAAAATATTTTGGAAAAATTTTCGAAAAATTAAATTTGCGAGATAATTAATCGGGAATACCGCGAAAGTCTTAACCCGGGAGTCTCGAACAAAAAATGTATAGCGCACTTTTCGATTGGTCCAGCGGATGCTGAGCTACACTCAGATAAATTTTTTAAAAAATTTTGAAAAATTAAATTTGCGAGATAATTAATCGAGAATACCGCAAAAGTCTTAACCCGGGAGTCTCAAACAAAAAATGTATGGCTTACTTTTTGATTGGTCCAGCGGAGGCTGAGCTACACTCAGATAAATTTTTTAAAAAATTTTGAAAAATTAAATTTGAGAGATAATTAATCGGGAATAACGCCAAAGCCTTAACCCGGGAGTTTCGAACAAAAAATGTATTGCGCACTATTTGATTGGTCCAGCGGATGCTGAGCTACGCTCAAAAATATTTTGGAAAAATTTTCGAAAAATTAAATTCGCTAGATAATCTTTCGGGAATACCGCCATAGTGATTAGAAGAAAGTTCTGAACAAAAAATGTATGGCCCACTTTTTGATTGGTCCAGCGGAGGCTGAGCTACACTCAGATAAATTTTTTAAAAAATTTTTAAAAAATTACATTTGCGAGATAATTAATCGGGAATAACGCCAAAGTCTTAACCCGGGAGTTTCGAACAAAAAATGTATTGCGCACTTTTTGATTGGTCCAGCGGAGGCTGAGCTACAATCAGATAAATTTTTTAAAAAATTTTGAAAAATTAAATTTGAGAGATAATTAATCGGGAATAACGCCAAAGCCTTAACCCGGGAGTTTCGAACAAAAAATGTATTGCGCACTATTTGATTGGTCCAGCGGATGCTGAGCTACGCTCAAAAATATTTTGGAAAAATTTTCGAAAAATTAAATTCGCTAGATAATCTTTCGGGAATACCGCCATAGTGATTAGAAGAAAGTTCTGAACAAAAAATGTATGGCCCACTTTTTTATTGGTCCAGCGGAGGCTGAGCTACACTCAGATAAATTTTTTAAAAAATTTTTAAAAAATTACATTTGCGAGATAATTAATCGGGAATAACGCCAAAGTCTTAACCCGGGAGTTTCGAACAAAAAATATATTGCGCACTTTTTGATTGGTCCAGCGGATGCTGAGCTACGCTCAAAAATATTTTGGAAAAATTTTCGAAAAATTAAATTCGCGAGATAATCTTTCGGGAATACCGCCATAGTAATAAGAAGAAAGTTCTGAACAAAAAATGTATGGCGCACTTTTTGATTAGTCCAGCGGATGCTGAGCTACACTCAAAAATAGTTTGGAAAAATTTTCGAAAAATTAAATTTGCGAGATAATTAATCGGGAATACCGCCAAAGTCTTAACCCGGGAGTCTCGAACAAAAAATGTATGGCGCACTTTTTGATTGGTCCAGCGGATGCTGAGCTACACTCAGATAAATTTTTTAAAAAATTTTGAAAAATTAAATTTGCGAGATAATTAATCGAGAATACCGCCAAAGTCTTAACCCGGGAGTTTCGAACAAAAAATGTATTGCGCACTTTTTGATTGGTCCAGCGGATGCTGAGCTACGATCAAAAATATTTTGGAAAAATTTTCGAAAAATTAAATTCGCGGGATAATCGTTCGGGAATACCACCAATAATTTAGGGAAAAAGTTTCGAACAAAAAATGTATGGCGCACTTTTTGATTGGTCCAGCGGATGCTGAGCTACGCTCAAAAATATTTTGGAAAAATTTTCGAAAAATTAAATTCGCGAGATAATCGCTCCCGAATACCAGCAATAAAATAGGGAAAAAGTTTCGAACAAAAAATGAATGGCGGACTTTTTGATTGGTCCAGTGGAGGATGAGCTACACTCAGATAAATTTTTTAAAAAATTTTGAAAAATTAAATTTGCGAGATAATTAATCGAGAATACCGCCAAAGTCTTAACCCGGGAGTCTCAAACAAAAAATGTATGGCTTACTTTTTGATTGGTCCAGCGGAGGCTGAGCTACACTCAGATAAATTTTTTAAAAAATTTTGAAAAATTAAATTTGCGAGATAATTAATCGGGAATAACGCCAAAGTCTTAATCCGGGAGTCTCGAACAAAAAATGTATGGCGGACTTTTTAATTGGTCCAGCGGAGGCTGAGCTACACTCAGATAAATTTTTTAAAAAATTTTGAAAAATTAAATTTGCGAGATAATTAATCGGGAATAACGCCAAAGTCTTAACCCGGGAGTCTCGAACAAAAAATGTATTGCGCACTTTTTGATTGGTCCAGCGGATGCTGAGCTACACTCAGAAAAATTTTTTAAAAAATTTTGAAAAATTAAATTTGCGAGATAATTAATCGGGAATACCGCCAAAGTCTTAACCCGGGATTCTCGAACAAAAAATGTATGGCGCACTTTTTGATTGGTCCAGCGGATGCTGAGCTACACTCAGATAAATTTTTTAAAAAATTTTGAGAAATTAAATTTGCGAGATAATTAATCGAGAATACCGCCAAAGTCTTAACCCGGGAGTCTCAAACAAAAAATGTATGGCTTACTTTTTGATTGGTCCAGCGGAGGCTGAGCTACACTCAGATAAATTTTTTAAAAAATTTTGAAAAATTAAATTTGCGAGATAATTAATCGGGAATAACGCCAAAGTCTTAATCCGGGAGTCTCGAACAAAAAATGTATTGCGCACTTTTTGATTGGTCCAGCGGATGCTGAGGTACGCTCAAAAATATTTTGGAAAAATTTTCGAAAAATTAAATTCGCGAGATAATCGTTGGGTAATACCACCAATAAATTAGGGAAAAAGTTTCGAACAAAAAATGTATGGCGGACTTTTTAATTGGTCCAGCGGAGGCTGAGCTACACTCAGATAAATTTTTTAAAAAATTTTGAAAAATTAAATTTGCGAGATAATTAATCGGGAATAACGCCAAAGTCTTAACCCGGGAGTCTCGAACAAAAAATGTATTGCGCACTTTTTGATTGGTCCAGCGGATGCTGAGCTACACTCAGAAAAATTTTTTAAAAAATTTTGAAAAATTAAATTTGCGAGATAGTTAATCGGGAATACCGCCATAGTGATTAGAAGAAAGTTCTGAACAAAAAATGTATGGCGCACTTTTTGATTGGTCCAGCGGATGCTGAGCTACACTCAAAAATAATTTGGAAAAATTTTCAAAAAATTAAATTCGCTAGATAATCTTTCGGGAATACCGCCATAGTGATTAGAAGAAAGTTCTGAACAAAAAATGTATGGCGCACTTTTTGATTGGTCCTGCGGATGCTGAGCTACGCTCAAAAATATTTTGGAAAAATTTTCGAAAAATTAAATTCGCGAGATAATCGCTCCCGAATACCAGCAATAAAATAGGGAAAAAGTTTCGAACAAAAAATGAATGGCGGACTTTTTGATTGGTCCAGTGGAGGATGAGCTACACTCAGATAAATTTTTTAAAAAATTTTGAAAAATTAAATTTGCGAGATAATTAATCGGGAATACCGCCAAAGTCTTAACCCGGGAGTCTCGAACAAAAAATGTATGGCGCACTTTTTGATTGGTCCAGCGGATGCTGAGCTACACTCAGATAAATTTTTTAAAAAATTTTGAGAAATTAAATTTGCGAGATAATTAATCGAGAATACCGCCAAAGTCTTAACCCGGGAGTCTCAAACAAAAAATGTATGGCTTACTTTTTGATTGGTCCAGCGGAGGCTGAGCTACACTCAGATAAATTTTTTAAAAAATTTTGAAAAATTAAATTTGCGAGTTAATTAATCGGGAATAACGCCAAAGTCTTAATCCGGGAGTCTCGAACAAAAAATGTATTGCGCACTTTTTGATTGGTCCAGCGGATGCTGAGGTACGCTCAAAAATATTTTGGAAAAATTTTCGAAAAATTAAATTCGCGAGATAATCGTTGGGTAATACCACCAATAAATTAGGGAAAAAGTTTCGAACAAAAAATGTATGGCGGACTTTTTGATTGGTCCAGCGGAGGCTGAGCTACACTCAGATAAATTTTTTAAAAAATTTTGAAAAATTAAATTTGCGAGATAATTAATCGAGAATACCGCCAAAGTCTTAACCCGGGAGTTTCGAACAAAAAATGTATTGCGCACTTTTTGATTGGTCCAGCGGATGCTGAGCTACGATCAAAAATATTTTGGAAAAATTTTCGAAAAATTAAATTCGCTAGATAATCTTTCGGGAATACCGCCATAGTGATTAGAAGAAAGTTCTGAACAAAAAATGTATGGCGCACTTTTTGATTAGTCCAGCGGATGCTGAGCTACACTCAAAAATAGTTTGGAAAAATTTTCGAAAAATTAAAGAATTTTAGTTAAAAATTTGTTAAATAATTGAAATAAAGAAGATCGGAAGAAGATCTGCATTGTATACTAAAAAAAAAATGTATTTTGTTTAAAATTTTTTTTTAAATGTAAAGAAAAGACGAAAAAATAGCATTTTATTACAATAAGTTGAAAAATATCGTATTTTTGAAAAAAAAAGTCAAAAAAAGCCAAAAATTCATATAATCCGAGGCCTGTAATAGTAATAATAATAATAATTATTATTATTATTATATTAATAATAATTATTATAATTATTATAATTATTATAATAATTATAATTATTATAATTATTATAATTATTATAATAATTATAATAGTAATAATTAATAAAAATTAATTTCCAAGCAAAAAATATTTTCCTGAGAGAAAAAATTTTGATTACAAATTAAAATTATTGTTTTTTAAACAGTAATTAGAACAAAAAAATGTATTTTTTTTTTTTTTAAATACCTGAACGATTTCGTCGCCCTCTTCCATTTTGCCACATTGATGTGCGGCTGATCCGAATTTAATCTCAGCAATTTGATGTGCTCCATGAAAAGACGGAAGAATACAAAAACCCTTTAAAAGAGAATGAGAATTTTATTTAGAGAAAAATTTTTCAAGTGAACTGAATATAGAAATGACAATTATTGTCGAGAGTAGTTATCTCTCTTTCGTTTTTTTTTTCTCTCACTCTCTCCCGAGAGAATGTTATCGAAAACGGAAATTGCAATCACGTTCCATGTATTTTAATTTTTAAGATTTAGAATTTTTTTTTTTTTTCTTTTAAATTAATGAAAAAAATTAAATAAGTCCATAGAAAAAAAAAAATTGATATACATAATTTTTATATTATAAATAAAAAATAAAAAATAATTAAAATACAAAAAATAAAATAAATAAATAATAAATAATAATAAAAAAAATTGAATATATATACTTAAACTAAAAAGAAATTATTTTTAAAAAAAAGTAAATCATCCATTCTTTCTTAAAATTAAATTAATCACAACATAAATAAATTATTAATAAATAAATTGCAAAATTAGTTGTAGTAATATTTCAATAAAATAAAAATTAAAAAGTCAGAACAATTATTAATATTTTATAATTATATAATTGACTCAAAAAATTAATTAACAATGGAATAAACTTTTCACGCGCGCGTATAGTTTGCTAATGACATCAATTATTACTTTGGGTTTAATTTTTTTTTTCGAAATGTCAAAGGTTGTTTTTAAAAATATCTCGAGAAAAATTGATTTTCTCATTTTTTTTTTTTTTTTTTTTTTTTACCAAAAGGTCAGTAATATCGATTCTTTAATGGATATAAATTTTATTAAAACTAATTTTAAATAAAGAAAAAAAAAATACATTTCAAATCAAACAGGCAAATCATCGTCAAAATTTGAAAATCAATTGTAAGAATTTTTCGACTTTTTTTTTATTCAAAATTTATTTTAATGAAATGTGAATTTTTGTTTCGACTTTTACAAAAAATTTTTTTTAATAAAATACAAAATTAAAAAATACTTTTAGATAATTGAATTTTCAAAGGATATTATAAATAATGTAAAAATAATTCAATTTCAAGAGTTATAGTAGAAAATTAGTTGTATTTTTGAAAAAAAAAAAAAAAGTATTAAAATCCAAGACCTGGAAATAAAATCAATAAAAAAAATTTTTTTTTTTAACAAATCAACGCCGGGTCTTTTTTTCAATGTCGCTAAATCCAAATTTGCCGATTGAAAATAATTGAATTTTAGTTGATTTTGAATTGAAATTTTTGAAAAAAATTAAATTTTTATTAATTAAGAATTGAAAATTTTTAAAATAATTGAATTTTAGTTGATATTGAATTGAAAATTTTCAAAATAATTCAATTTTTAGAAAATAATTGAATTTCAATTGATAATTTGTATTGAAAATTTTAAAAATAATTGAAATTAGTTGATATAAATTGAAATTTTTTTAAATAATTGAATTTCATTTAAAGATTTGGAAAATAATTGAATTTTAGTTGAAATTTTGGGAAATAATTTAATTTTAATTGAAATTTTAAATTGAAAATTTTAAAAATAATTGAAATTAGTTGATTTTAAATTGAAAATTTTGAAAATAGTTGAATTTTAGTTGATTTTTAGATGTAAATTTTGAAAATAATTGAAAATTAGATGATTTTAAATTGAAATTTTTCAATATATTGAATTTTAATTGAAAATTTTGGAAAATAATTAAATATCAGTTGATTTTAAATTGAAATTTTGGAAAATAAATGAATTTTTGTTAATTTTGGATAGAAAATTTTGAAAATAATTGAAATTAGTTGATTTTAAATTGAAAACTTTGAAAATATTTTAATTTCAATTAAAATTTTAAAAAATAATTGTATTTTAGTTAAATTTTAGTTGATTTTGAATTTAAATTTTGGAAAATAATTGAATTTCCATCGAAGTTTTGAAAAATAATTGAATTTTAGTTGATTTTGAATGGAAAATTTGGAAAATAATTGAATTTTAGTTAATTAAAAATAGAAAAATTTTGAAAGTAATTGAATTTCAATTACAATTTTGGAAAATAAATGAATTTTAGTTGATTTTCAATTGAAATTTAGGAAAATAATTGATTTTAAATCGAAAATTTGGAAAATAATGGAATTTTAGTTGACTTTAAATTAAAAATTTTTGAAAATAATTGAATTTTAGTTGATTTTCAATTGAAATTTTGGAAAATAATTGAATTTTTATTGGTTTTTAATTGAAATTTTGGAAAATAATTGAAATTAGTTGATTTTTAATTAAAAATAATTGAATTTAGATTGACATTTTTGTAAATAATTTAATTTTTGTTGATTTTGAATTAAATTGAAAATTTTGAAAATATTGAATTTTTAGAAAATAATTGAATTTCATTTAAAAGTTTGGAAAATAATTGTATTTTAGTTAAATTTAATTGATTTTGAATTTAAATTTGGAAAATAATTGAATTTTAGTTGATTTTGAATTCAAAAGTTAGAAAATAATTGAATTTTGGTTGATATTGATTTGAAAATTTTGAAAATACTTGAATTTTTAGAAAACAATTGAATTCTAATTGAAATTTTGGATTGAGAATTTTTAAAAATAATTGAAATTTGTTGATATTAAATTGAAAATTTTCTAAATAATTGAATTTCATTTAATGTTTTGGAAAATAATTGAATTTTAGTTGAAATTTTGGGAAATAATTGAATTTTAATTGAAATTTTAAATTGGAAGTTTTGAAAATAATTGAAAATAATTGATTTTAAATCGAAAATTTTTAAAATAAATTAATTACATTTAAAATTTTGTGAAATAATTGAATTTTAGTTAATTTTTAGTTGATTTTGAATTTAAATTTTGGAAAATAACTGAATTTTAGTTGATTTTGAATTGAAAATCTTGAATATAATTGAATTTTAATTGATGTGGAATTTAAGTTTTGGAAAAGAATTGAGTTTTAATTGATTTTGAATTGAAATTTTGGAAAATAATTAAATTTTAGATAATTTTGAATTAAAATTTTTCAAAATAATTGCATTTTAGTTGATTTTGAATTGAAAATTTTGAAAATACTTGAATTTTTAGAAAACAATTGAATTTTAATTGAAATTTTAAAAATAATTCAATTTTAAGTTGATTTTGAAATGATTTATTTGTAAATAATAAAATATTTATTAATTTTGAATTGAAAATTTTGAAAAAAATTGAATTTCATTTTATTTTAAATTGAAAATAATTAAATTTCAATTGAATTTTAGTTGATTTTGAATTAAAAATTATTAAATTTTAATTGAAATTTTGTAATTAATTGAATTTTAATAGATTTTGATTTGAAATTTTGGAAAATAATTCAATTTTAGTTGATGTTGAATTGAAATTTTTAAAAATAAGTGAATTTTAATTGATTTTGAAATTAAATTTTGGAAAATAACTGAATTTTAGTTGATTTTGAATTGAAAATCTTGAATATAATTGAATTTTAATTGATGTGGAATTTAAGTTTTGGAAAAGAATTGAGTTTTAATTGATTTTGTATTGAAATTTTGGAAAATAATTAAATTTTAGATAATTTTGAATTAAAATTTTTCAAAATAATTGCATTTTAGTTGATTTTGAATTGAAAATTTTGAAAATACTTGAATTTTTAGAAAACAATTGAATTTTAATTGAAATTTTAAAAATAATTCAATTTTAAGTTGATTTTGAAATGATTTATTTGTAAATAATAAAATATTTATTAATTTTGAATTGAAAATTTTGAAAAAAATTGAATTTCATTTTATTTTAAATTGAAAATAATTAAATTTCAATTGAATTTTAGTTGATTTTGAATTAAAAATTATTAAATTTTAATTGAAATTTTGTAATTAATTGAATTTTAATAGATTTTGATTTGAAATTTTGGAAAATAATTCAATTTTAGTTGATGTTGAATTGAAAATTTTGAAATAATTGAATTTTTAGGATATAATTGAATTTTAATTGAAAATTTGAATTGAAAAATGTTGAAAATAACTGAAATAAGTTTCTTTATAAATTTGAGAAATTTTTAAATAATTAAATTTCATTTAAAAATTTTGGAATATAATAATTGTATAAAAAAAATTTTTTTTTTTTTTACCAAATCATCGCCGGGTCTTTTTTTCAATGTCGCCAAATCCAAACTCGCCGGTTGTAATATCATTGGATCGGCAATATCCTGTACAATATAATCGGCCAATTTTGCCATTTGTCCGCATGTTGTGCGTATTTCTTCAATTGGCTTCTCAGCAAAACGATCACGTTGTGCGCACGTTGCCATTTCCAATGAAAGTTTGAGCAATTCACCTTTTTTATCATTGTACTCAAGTTGTCCGCTAAATGGCGGACGATCTAACCAACAAACAAGTGGTTTAACTGCTGAGACAATTGTCGCAACATCGGCCAATGTTTGCGTTGAAACTGGTTGTAAATCAGTTTGTCTTGATAATTCATTAAATAATGAATGAGTGAGACATGAGAGACGTAATGAAAGTAATTGTAAATTTTCACGATCCAATTCATAATGAAAATTTCTTAAATATTCAACAGCCTCGAGTATTGTTTCTTGATGACCAAGTTTTATTACTCCAAGATGATCAAGATCCTCGGGCCTCAAATTGAGCAATTGTTGGCCATTTACGTTGTGATTTGAAAAACTGTGCACATAAGGCAATACAGAATTGTCCAAACCTAAAAAAAAGAGAAAGAGAGAGAGAGAGAGAGATAAATTTTTTATTACAAGATTTTTTTTTTATTTTTCATTTACATGATTTTGAAATTTTTTTTTTTAGAACGCATTATTTCATAAAAAAATTATTAGAATTTTAATTTTTTAACAATTTTAATAAAACTGAAATTATTTTTTACACGAATTTTTATTTTTCTAATTTAAAAAATTGTGAGAAATTCTATTTTTTTTTTTAAGAATTTTTTATTCTAGTTCGGCTAATGTCCAATTTCGGACAAATAAAAATTCGATGCTTTTGAATATTCTATCAAATAAAAATTCGGTGGATAAAAATTGTGCTCAACTTCAATTATTTAATTAAAAAGTTTTGTAATTTTCAATATTATTGTTTAATTTTTGAAATTTATCAAATTTCTCAGAAGATTTTTAAATAGAAAATTTTGTAAATTTAAAATAATGTAAATTTTTGTCAATAAATTGAATTTTAGAGAATTAAAAATTAATTCAAATATTTCCTCAAAAAGACTGTAATTGCAATGAAATTTAAAAAGAAATTAATTTTTAGAAGTTTTAAAATTGAAAACTTTCGAAAATAATTTGAATTTTAGTTGATTTCGAAATGAAATTTTTGAAAAAAATTGAATTTTAGATGATTTTGAATTGCAAATTTGATAAATAATTGAATTTTAGTTGAAATTTTGTAAAATAATGAAATTTTAGATAATTTTGAATTAAAATTTTTCGAAATAAATGAATTTTAATTGATTTTTAATTGAAATTTTGAAAATAATTAAATTTTAGATGACTTTGGATTAAAAATTTTCAAAATAATTGAATTTGAATTGAAATTTCTGAAAATAATTGAAATTCAAGTTGATTTTGGATTTTAAATTTTGTAAATAATTGAAATTTAGTTGATTTTGGATTTTAAATTTTGTAAATAATTGAATTTTAGTTGATTTTGGATTAAAAATTTTGAAAATAATTGAATTTCAATTGAAATTTTGGAAATAATTGAATTTTAGTTGATTTTGGATTGAAAAATTTTAAAATAATTGAATTTTATTTAAAATTTTGGAAAATAATTGAATTTTAGTTAAATTTAATTGATTTTGAATTTAATTTTCGAAAATAATTGAATTTTATTTAATTCTGAATTCAAAATTTAGAAAATAATTGAATTTTGGTTGATTTTGATTTGAAAATTTAAAAAATAATTGAATTTTAAGAAAATAATTGAATTTTTATTGAAAATTTTGGAAGTAATTAAAATTAGTTGATTTTAAATTGAAAATTTTTAAAATAATTAAATTTCATTTAAAATTTTGGAAAATAATTGTATTTTAGTTAAATTTAATTAAATTTTAATTGAAATTTTTTCTTGAAAAATTTGAAAATAATTGAATTTTAGAAGATTTTGTTAATTTTTAGACAATAATTTAATTTTACAAAAGTAAAAATAATATATCAAATAATTTTAGACAACATTTTTTAAAATATAATTGAATTTCATAAGATTTATAATTGAAATTGTTAAATTTCAAAAAAATGTTAGATAGGAAATTTTAGAAATAATTAAATTTTATAAGCATTCATATTGAAATTTTTGCAAATAATTTAATTTTACTTTATTTTTGTATGTAAATTTTGAAGATAATTGAATATTAGATGATTTTGAATTAAAATTTTCAAAATAATTGAATTTTAATTGAAATTTTGAAAAATAATTGAAATTAGTTGATTTTAAAATTAAAATTTTGGAAAATAATTGAATTTTAATTAAAATATTGGAAAAAAAATTAAATTTTAGATGATTTTGAATTAAAATTTTGAAAAATAATTGAATTTTAATTGAAATTTTGGGATATAATTGAATTTTAATTAAAATTTTGAAAAATTACTGAATTTTATTTTATTTTGGATACAAATTTAGAAAATAATTGAATTTTATTTTTATGTTAAATTAAAATTTTTAAAAGTAATTGAATTTCAATTGATTTTGAATTGAAATTTTGGAAAATAATTGAATTTCAATTAATGTTAAATTGAAATTTTGGAATGTAATTGAATTTTACTTGATTTTGAATTAAAATTTTAGAAAATAATTTAATTTCAATTGAAATTTTTGGAAAATAATTGAATTTTAGTTGATTTTCAATTGAAATTTTTGAAAATAATTGAATTTTCATTAATTTTGAATTGAAAATTTTGGAAAATAATTGAATTTTGGTTTAGTTTGTTGAATTTTCCGAAGAATAAATTAAAAATAATTGATGTTCAAGAGAGTTAAAATTGGAATTATTAAATTTTAAAAAATTTCAGATGGGAAATGTTAGAAATAATGAAATTTTAGAAGTAATTAAATTTTAGATGTATGTAAATTTAAATTTTGTAAAATAATTGAATTTTAGTTGATTTTGGATTGAAAATTTAAATAATAATTGAATTTTAGTGGAGTTTGTAATTTTCAATTATTGTCTAAATTGTAGTTCTAATTTTTTGAATTAATCAAATTTCCTGAGATTTTTAATCAAAAAAATTTTTTTGTAAATTTAAATTACCGAAAATTTTTTTTTCTCAATAAATTTGATTTTTTTTTTTTTTTGAGAAAAATTAATTTTTAATATTATTCCTTAAAAAAACCATTGTAATTTGCATATACGAAATTTTTTCAAGAAATTTTATTTTCTCAAATATATTTTAAAATTGAAAAAAAAATTTCTAAGAAATTATTTATAAAAAAAATATTTTCTATAGAAACGTAAACGAAAACGATTTTCAAGTTTAAGGTTAGAATAGTAAAAAGCAAGTTTTGAAAAAAAAAAAATAGTTCAAGGTCACATTTAAAAACTCATCGTAAAAAAATGCAAAAAATTAGGTTATGTTTGTCAAAAATCAAATATACCAAATTACGAATATATTTTTTTTTTTTTTTTACTTCTTTTCAGAAAAAATAATTTTCAAAGAATTCTTTTTAGAAATTTTGAATTTAATTTCACTGCATCAATCATGAATTAAATGCAAAATTATTAATTATTGAAAATTATCTTCAAAGAAAACACTTTCACTTTTCGTTAAGTAAAAAAAAAAAAAGTACACGAGAAAAAAAACAAAAGAATGCAATGTTGAATGGTTATTTTATGAATGATTTGAAATTTATGAATCACACATCCACTTGAAATTGATCTATGCGTAGTATATGATGATTAAAAAGGGTGGGGGCGTATATCACAGGAAATGAATTTTTCCCACGGAGAAAAACACTGTGAAGTTATTTTGAGATTGTTTTGTTTTTTTTTTTACAGGGCGTTTAAATAAACGTATACACTCATTATACATACGATCAATGAAAACGTAAAAAAAATAGAGAGAATAAAATTTTTTTTTTTTCCCCACCTTTCAACCATTCACAAACTTGATCTGTTTTCCATTCGGCCACATTAACATACGCCATGACCCGCGTTTCAAGTCATGACTCCACTATTACTGAGGCTTCTGCAGAGAAGAGAAAATTCATGAACACATATATATAAGAGAGAGAAGATCTTTTGTGATCGCCAACCTATTATTTTACTTTTTCAACCGATAAAATAGCGTCTTTATTCTCAGCCGATAATGTATAGATATGACTCGCAAGTAGGAAATCTACATTACCAACTGAAGAAAAATCACGACCTTGATATGTCAGTATTTTTTTTTTTTAATTAATTTTTGAATGTAAATATTTTTAAAATATGAAATTTATATTCAAGTATGTTTCTCTTGATACTCGATCAAGTTTTATCGTCAGTTTATCGTGATATTTTATTATTTATCATTATTTATTATCTATATTACCAACAGTTACAATATTTCACTGAGAAATAAATATTTATTTATTTTTTTTTTTTTTAACGCATAAAAATTAATTTTTAAATATGGACACATTTTTTAATGGTCCTTTGGGACAAATTGCCGGTATTGCTTTGGAGAAATTAAGAAATAATAATAATTCTCCACGACGACCATCGGAATTGGAAACAATTCAATCAAAATATGAGACACTTGAAGCACATTTTTTAGGTGTAACACGTGTTTTGAAACCGGCAATTAATTTATTAATTGAAAGTAAATCAGCAGATCGTGTAAATAAATCTGGTAAGTAATTTTATATATATATATATATTTTTTTTAATTTTTAATCAATTATTTATAAAATTCAAATCGATTTTATTATTCATTGTATTTTTAAGTTTTTCGATTAATTTTCCCTTTTATTTTTTTTTTTTTTTAATTTAAATTTTAATAATATTTTAATTTAATTTTCAAAAATTAATTTATTTAAATTCTACACAAATAGAATCGCAAAATTTGTCATCGTCAATTAATTATTATACACCACAAAAACAAAATAATTGTTGTCCTTGTAAAGGAAGATTCAATAATAATAATAATAATAATAATACTTTGCGAAAAGAGAAACAGTTTTCTAATCAGGTATGTAATTTTATTTATATTTATTTATTACAAAAAATTTGAAAAATCTGTTATATAATTTGCATTAAATTTAACATAAAAAATGAAAATTAATTAATTTAAATGAAAGTGTACATATATATATATAACATAACCTTAAAATGAATGTTTTAAAAATAAATTAACATACCTTGAAATTAAATAAATTTATTAATGTAGTTTAACAGAAAATATTTAAACATTAATTTTTTATAATATAGATTATTTTGTTTAATTTAATTAAATTTAAGTGTAAAATATCGAAAGAAAAAAAAACATTTTTGTAACATTGGCACATAGGAACATAGTAACACAAGAACACAGTAAGTCCATTGTATAGGGTAACTGGGTGAGTTTCTATGTTTCAAAATGCTAAAAAACCGACTGAAAATCACTCGAGTACTAGCTTGTTCCTTTGTGATAACAGATGGCGCATAGAAACTTCCGTAATTTTGTATATATTATTTTTTTAATATTTAACAAAAAAAAATAAATAAATTCTTATTTCTAAAATAGAAAATAATTAATTTAGGTTAATTTTTTTTTATTTGGTATTTTATTAAACAAATAAATTAGAAAATTGAAATAGAATTTTTTTCCACTATTTTAATTAATTAATTTCTATTTTTTAAAAAGAAATTTAAATTTAATTTCAATTTAAATTTAAAGAAACTAATTTCAAAAATAAATTTAAAAAAAATTAAATTATTAAATACCACAAATATTAATAATAATAATAATAATAATAATAATTGTTAATTTAACTTTTGCCAGAAATTTTCTGGAATTGAAAAAAAATCATTTTTTAATTAAATAAATAAATTAGAAAATTAAAATAATATCGAAAAATTTTTTTTTACTAGTTTTTACAAAATTAATTAAAAGTAATTAATTTAAAAAATTTGTTTAATAAATTATTAATTAAAAAATTAATTTTAGAAATTAATTAAAAAATTAATTTTAGAAATTAATTAAAAAATTAATTGTAGAAATTAATTTGACGAATTAATTTTTTAGCAAATTATAGTAAAAAATTTGTTTAATAAATTATTAAAAAAAAAAAAATAATAAATAAATTTTAAAAATTTATGTGACAAATTAATTTTAAAAATTTAATTTTAGAAATTTATTTGACAAATTAATTTTAGAAATTATTTTAAAAAATTTATTTTACAAATTAATTTCACAAATTATCCACTTTTAGAAATTATTTGAAAAAATTAGTTTAAGAAAATTATTTGAGAAAAAATTAGTTTTGATAAATTATAAAAAAAAAAAACAATTAAAAAAAAACAATTTTAGAAAATGTTTGAAAAAATTAGTTTAAGAAATTATTCGAATAAGTTAATTTAAAAAAAAAAAAATTTCACTAGTTTTAACAAAATTAATTAAAGTAATTAATTTAAAAAATTAATTTCAGAAATGAATTTTTAACAAAATTAATTTTAAAAATTAATTCAAAAAAATTTGTTTAATAAATTATTAATTAAAAAATTAATTTTATTAAATTAATTTAACAAATTATATTTTTTAGAAATTATTGTAAAAAATTTGTTTAATAAATTATTATTCAAAAAAAAAAAAATTAATTTTAGAAATTTATGTGAAAAATTAATTTTTGAAATTAATTTTAGAAATTTATGTGACAAATTAATTTTAGAAATTATTTTTAAAAATTTGTTTAATAAATTATTTTAAAAAATTTATTTTACAAATTAACTTCACAAATTACCCACTTTTGGAAATAATTTGAAAAAATTAGTTTAAAAAAATTATTTGAGAAAAAATTAGTTTTGATAAATTATTTAAAAAAAAAAACAATTAATTTTAGAAAATGTTTGAGAAAATTAGTTTAAAAAATTATTTGAAAAAAGTTAATTTAAAAAATTAATTAAGGAAACTAATTTCAGAAATAAATTAAAAAAAAATTAACTTATTAAATACCACAAATAATAATAATTATAATAATTGCTAATTTAACTTTTGTCATGAATTTTCTGGAATTGAAAAAAAAAAATTTTTATTAAATAAATAAATTAGAAAATTGAAATAATGTAGAAAATATTTTTTACTAGTTTTTACAAAATTAATTGAAAGTAATTAAATTAAAAAATTAATTTAAAAAAATTTGTTTAATAAATTATTAATTAAAAAATTAATTTTATAAATTAATTTGACAAATTATATTTTTTAGAAATTATTGTAAAAAATTTGTTTAATAAATTAAAAAGAAAAAAATTAATTTTAATTAATTAATTTTTAATATTAGAAATTTATGTGACAAATTAATTTTTGAAATTAATTTTAGAAATTTATGTGACAAATTAATTTTTGAAATTAATTTTAGAAAATATTTGAAAAAAAAATTAGTTTAAGAAATTATTCGAAAAAAATTAATTAAAAAAAAAAAAAAATTAGTTGAATAAATTATAAAAAATTAATTTTAGAAATTTTCCAAATTTTTTCTCCCCGCAGGAATTTTCAGAAGTAACAAATAATAATCCATGGAAAATGTGTGACGCTTGTTATGTGGTTTCAAAATTTTTAATACCCACAAGTTGTGATCATGAGATTTGTCAAAAATGTGTAAAAAATGGCAAAGATTGTCAAAAATGTTTAAAATCAGTGAAAAATATTAAGCGCGAAAAATAATTAAAAAATTTACTTATTGTTTTATTTTTACTTTTTAAAAATGTTACGAATTTTTTTTTCTGTTATTATTTTTTTTTTTGTTTTAGATTTTTATATAACTATAATTATTAGGATTTAAATTTTTTTTTTTAATTAAAAATTACGTTTATTAAATATGTGTAAATTTAAAATACAAATTTTTATAATTTATTTATTATTTTTGTTTTTTTTTTTGTATATTTTATTACTATTTTTTGTAAATCATTCCTATTTTTTATGTTTTCGAAAAAAAAAATATATATTAATTCAAATTTTTGTATTAATTTGTTATATTTTTAGTTTTTTTTTAAATTATTTATTTGTTATATTTATTATTAATATAATTTTTATAATTTTAATTAATTTTTGTTATTAATTTTCATTTATTAAAAAAATTATTTATAATAATAATTTATTTAAATTTATTATTATTTTTTATTTTTTATTTTTATTTCTATTATTTATTTATTTAATTTATTTAATTATTTTTTTATTAATTTATTTTTTTTATTTATTTTTTTGTTATTATTAGTTAATTTTTTTTTTATTATTATTATTAATTAAAAATGGGAAAATTAAATTTTTTTGCCAAATATTTATTATTCATCGATCTGTTACCATGGAAATAAACATAGTTACGAAACTAAAAAAAAAATAATAATAAAACCGTATAAGAAAGAATTTTATTCAAAACGTGGTACTATTGAATTTTTGACAATTAAAGAGTAAAAAAAAAAGAATTGTAATAATTAATTTGCAAAAAAGAAAAAAAAATTTTTGTAATATGTGGTGGGGAATTAGTCCTCCTTTGGATCTTCAAGAAGAAATAAAAAAAACGGATTCTAATGATTTATTGGAATTTTTAATTGTTGGTGAATCTGACGCAAGACACGTAATTAAAACAATATCCTCATTATATAAACATCCAAGAAGAAAATTGAAATTTCATATTATTGAAGCTACAATCGAACAAATCAATAGATCAATTCTTTTTTTGAGCACTTGTTTAGAAACAAATTTAGGTAAATTTTTTAGTTATTTTTATTTTTCTATTAGTTCATATAAAATTTTTTTCTAATGTTTATTATTATGTTTTATTTTACTTTATATATATTTTATTTTATTTTTTATAATTTATTTTATTTTGTTTTATTTTTTATAATTTATTTCATTTTGTTTTATTTTTTTAAATTTATTTTATTTTATATATTTTTTGTAATTATAATTTTATTTTGTTTTATTTTATTTTACTTATTTTTTGTATTTTATTTTTTTTTTAAATTTTATTTATTTTATAAAAATAATTTATTTTATTTTGTTTTATTTTTTGTAATTTATTTTATTTTATATATTTTTTGTAATTAATTTTATTTTGTTTTATTTTACTTATTTTTTGTATTTTATTTTTTTTTTAAATTCTTATTTATTTATAAAAATAATTTATTTTATTTTGTTTTATTTTTTGTAATTAATTTTATTTTACTTATATTTTTTGTAATTAATTTTATTTTACTTATTTTTTGTATTTTATTTTATTTTATATTATTTTTATTTATATTTTTTCTATTCTATTTTGTTTTATTTTAACTTTGATTTATTTTTAGATTAATTTAATTTTATTTTTATTTATTTTTAAATGTTTTTAATTATTTATTGCAAAAAAAAAAAAATTAACAAAAATTGAAATTGGAGAAAAATTAAAATTTTTTTAAAAAAAAAAAAAAAGAAAATAATAAAAAAAATTGATTTTTTTTTACAGGTTTACAAGAAGCGACTTGTTATTATTTAGATATTTTGGGAAATACACTATTGAGATCAGCAACGGCAAAATTTTTAATTCAACGTGCAAAAAAATTGTCTCAAATACCAACAAAAAATATTCAATGTCCTTGGTTGAATTTAGAATTTTTGAGACATCGCGACAAAGATCAAATTGAATCCATTTTTAGGTGAGACAAAAAAAAAGAAAAAAAAAAATTTTTTTCCCTATCAATTTATGTTAAAAATTATATTCTAATTTAAATTCTTTTTTTGAAATTCAATTATTTAAAATATTTTTCAATTAATAATAATAATTATAATAGTAATAATAATAATTATAATAGTACCCGTGTGGAAAAAGCCACGATCTTGCCCTCAAGAGTTCGGGGCCCCCGGCGGGGGCCCATGAGGGCTGATCCATATGGCGAATCCATGAGGGGCACCGTAGGGGCCCCGCATGGATCGCCCTCATGATCGATTAGCAAAATTTTCTAAGTCCAAAATTCAAATATTTTTTATCACCAAAAAATTAATGTTTATAATGATTCAGAACCACGAAAAACGCGTTTTTAATAAAAATATATTTACACTTTTTTGAAAATAACACTCACACTTATGGCAAAATAGATGAGGGCCACCGTAGGGGCCCGCATGGATCGCCCTCATGATCGATTAGCAAAATTTTCTAAGTCCAAAAATCAAATATTTTTTTATCAACAAAAAATGAATGTTTCCAATGATTCAAAACAACGAAAAACGCGTTTTTAATAAAAATATATTTACACTTTTTTGAAAATTCGCCTGAGATGATTCATGATAATAATCATAAAGCATATAATTAATTATATTTTATAAATTGCATTTGATTGGAAAATATAATTTAATATCTTAACTTTAACTAAATGATGTTAAGCACTTTTCTTTGTTAGGTATTTTTCAAGTTTAAATAGCATCAAGAAGTTAGCATTCGTTTTGAAGTAGCGTGCGTAGCGTAGTTGGTAAAGCGTTAGACTCATAGTCCGTAGGTCGTAGGTTCGATTCCCCCCATGCGTTAGATTTATTTATTTCTCAGGTTTGCGTTTAATCATTAATTCTATGTATGAATTAATTGAAAAATGAAAATATCGGTTAATAGTATGCATAAATTACATATTTTTTAATTTTTTAATTAATTAATTTATTATTACTTTTAATTATATCCGACAGTTAATTAATTAGAACGTTAATTAATAAATTCAATTTGAGTAAGAATTTAATTTAAAATTGAATAATTATTAAATAAATATGTTATTTATTCATAACTTAAGCTTATTTATTATTAATTAACTTTTATTATTAATATTATTGATTAAAAAACATTATGGCAAACTTGAGGGCAAGATGAGGGCAAACGTGAGGGCCCATAAGGGCGCCCGTAGGGGCACCCTCATGGATCGCCCATGCGGGCGCCCTCATCGATGAGCATGTCGTTTCCATGAGGGGCCCCTATGGATCATCCATATGCGCCCCTCATGGCATGAGGGCGATCCATAAGGGCCCCCGCTGGGGGCCCACATCACTTTTCCACACGGGTAATAATAATTATTATAATAGTAATAATAATTATAATTATAGTAATAATAATAATAATAATAATAATAATAATAATAATAATAAAAATTTGGAATAATTATTTTTTCTTTATTGAATGAAAAAAAAAGAAAATATATATTTTTTTTTTTTACAAGATTTTGGGAACGAGCAACACGCGAAGTTCTTCCAATCACTCAATATTGGGACAAAAGATTGAGAAAATCACTTGAATCACGATACGATTATCGTGATGGTCTCTTCGATTGGGATTTTCATATGATTTTAAAAAATAGAAATACTCCAAATTTAACACATCAAGAATATCGGTTATTATTATATATATATACATATATTATATATTTTCTGTTTATTATTTTTTTTTTTAAATTCTAATATTAAATTTCTTCATTTATTTTACCATTTTTTTTTTTATAATTATTATTATATTGATTAAACATAATTTAAATGGAAAATATATTTTTTTTTTCTACAAAAAAAATTACGAAAATATATTTTTTTTCTACAAAAAAAAAAAAAAAAAAAATGACAAAATAACAAAAAAATATATTTTTTTCTATAAAAAAAATTACAAAATTACAAAAAGATATTTTGTTCTAATAAATAAAAAATGACAAAATAACAAAAAAATATATTTTTTTCTAAAAAAAAAAAAATTACAAAATAAAAAAATACTTTTTTTTTTACAAAAACAATTACAAAATTACAAAAAAAAATTAATAAATTAGAAAAAAATTACAAAAAAATTACAAAAAAATGACAAAATTACAAAAAAAAAAAATATTTTGGATGAAAATAAAAATAACAAAAAAGTGTTATTTTATTTTGTAATTGTTTTTATAGAAAAAAATATATTTTTTTTGTTATTTTGTAATTTTTTATTTATCAGAAAAAAATATTATTTTTTGTTATTTTGTAATTTTTTATTTATTAGAAAAAAATATTTTTTTGTTATTTTGTAATTTTTTATTTATAGAACAAAATATTTTTTTGTAATTTTGTAATTTTTTTTACAGTAAAAAAAATATTTTTTTTTTACAAAAACAATTACAAAATTACAAAAAAAAAATTAATAAATTAGAAAAAAATTACAAAAAAAAAATATTTTGGATGAAAATAAAAATAACAAAAAAATATTTTTTTTTCTATAAAAAAAAATTACAAAATTACAAAAAAATATTTTATTCTATAAATAAAAAATTACAAAATAACAAAAAAATATTTTTTTTTCTAATAAATAAAAAGTAACAAAAAAATAACAAAAAAATATATTTTTTTCTATAAAAAAAATTACAAAATAAAAAAAATCCTTTTTTTTTCCACAAAAACAATTACAAAATTTAAAAAAAAAATTATTAAATTAGAAAAAAAATTAGAAAAAAAATTACAAAATTACAAAAAAAAAATTTTGTGTATGAAAATAAAAATAACAAAAAAATATTTTTTTTTCTATAAAAAAAAATTACAAAATTACAAAAAAATATTTTATTCTATAAATAAAAAGTTACAAAATAACAAAAAAATATTTTTTTTTCTAATAAATAAAAAGTAATAAAAAAATAACAAAAAAATATATTTTTTTCTATAAAAAAAATTACAAAATAAAAAAAATCCTTTTTTTTCCACAAAAACAATTACAAAATTAAAAAAAAAAATTATTAAATTAGAAAAAAAATTACAAAATTACAAAAAAAAAATTTTGTGTATGAAAATAAAAATAAAAAAAAAAATGTAGATTTTGGAGAGAAAATGGAATAGCCTTCACTTGGATTGAAGGCGAACCATCAAGAAGTAATCCAACATTAATTAGCAACATTATTCCCGAAGGAAAAGGATTTCTTCATTTCGCCTATTTAGGTGATATCAAAAATGGACCATTTTTTACATGGGCCCTTAACGAGGATTATACAAACAAGTATTTATTGTTAATTTTTCGTTATTTAATTAACAATTATTATTAATAATAATAATAATAATAATAATAACTATTATTAATAATTATCATAATAAATAATTACAATTTATTCAATAATTATTATATTATTAATAATATTTATAATTATTATTAAAATTAAAATAATAATTATAATAATAATAATAATAAAAATTATTATATTCTTATTCTTATTATTAATTATTATATTATATTTATTATTTCGATTCCAATAAATCGAAAAATGAAAACTAAAAAAAAACTATTACCTGAAATTTAAAAAGAAAAATTAGTTTTTTTCTTTTTTTTTGTAAATGAAGAAATTTCCATTTTTTTCATTTTTTTTTTTTTAGAAAATTGAGATCCACAGACGTCGCTGAAAAAGAAGTGATGAGATCAATTTACGAAATTAGAGAAAAGGCGCCAATGTGTGAAGAAATATTTTCAGCACACAGAGATTCGACAATTTTAACTGGAACAATTGTCACTGAAATGCCATCCAATGAAATAGAACAAGAATCATGGAGCAATGATAAATTTAAAATTGAAACAATCAATTTAGAATGGATCGCAATTCCTGAAATCGAAGTAAGTGAACAAAAAACAAAAAAAAAAAAAATTATATTATATTATTCAAAAAACAAATTATAAAATAAAATAACAATAATAATAATACTGATAATAAATAATATTTTATAATAATTAATAATATAATAATAATAATAAAATAATAAGAATGGTATTCCTACGACTATATTCATTGGTACAAATAAAAAAAAATAATAATAATTAAGTATATAATAATTGGAAAAATATTAACATTTTCTTGTTTTTTTTTTTTTTTCATTTGCAGATTATTTTTCATCCAATTGAAAAATTGAATCGTTTCATGGAAAAAGAAGAATTTCATGAAAAATTTTCATTAATTTTTCTCGCTCACAATATGACGAAACAAATATCAAATCTTGTTCCTTTATTAAAAAGAAATTGTCCATTTATTGTTGAATCGAGAAAATTTTTAATTGAATTAAAAAATGAAAATTTAACAGAATTTTCTGCTGAATTGCAAAATATTGCCAATGAAAATGGCTTGAGAAATGTGAATAATTTTGATTCACAAAAACAAATGTTTGCTCGATTTTTGAAGACTTGATCAAAGAAAAAAAAAAAAGGAAAAAAAGAGAAAAGTTTTTTTCTATAAATTTTTATTTTTTTTTTTTTTTTACTTGTACCAAAAAATTTTAGAAAATTAGAATAAAAATTTATTTCAATTATTTTTATCCAAATTATATATATATATATATTTTTTTTTTTAGAATTGTTTGTGTAAATCCTGAAAATTGAAATAGTTAATTAACATTTTTAATAGGATTAGGAAAAAGATTTTTTTTTTTTTTACATTTAAAAATTGTTTTTTTTTTTGTTTTTCTTTTTTTGTATTTATATAAATGTCTTCTTAAAATTAATTCGGTCAGTTTCGTTATTGTCATTATTTAAAAAAGAAAAAAAAATTGACATATTTACAAAAATATATATAAAAGTAACTTTGTACATTTTTTTTTTTTTTTGTTATAATATTAAAAGAATATAATAATTTCTTTTAATGAATTTGACAATTATATTTTAATAAATCTTTTTTCTCAACTTGGATACCATAGGTTTGAACTGCTTCGCACAAAGCTGTAAAAAGAAGAAATCGTTTTTTTTTTTTTTTTTTTTTTTTAAAAAGCAACGAAACAAAAAACTCTAAAGAAAAAAAAAACCTTTTTTATTTTATATATTTTAATCGTAAATTTATTTATTTATTTCTAAAAACGACTTTTTTTTTGCTTCTTAAAGTCGATCCGAGGCCGGAATTATTGAATAATAATTAGCTTTTTTTTTAAAAAAAATATTTTTTTGTAGAGAAAAATTTCAATGTTCACAATATATTTTTGAAGAAAATTTCTTTTTTAATTACAATTTTTGTTGAAGAAAAAATGGAAAAAAATTACAATAATTTTTGTTTCATAATTTCTTCGGTTAATGATATATTCTTAAAAAAATTTATGTAAAATTTTTTCTACATTAAATTTAAAGGGAGATTGTAGTTCTTTTTTTTTAAATTCAAAAAAGAAAAAAGAAAAAAGAAAATAAAAAAAAAATAAAAATAAAAAAGAAACAAAAAATTAAACATAAAATTAAAAAAATCGAAAAATAAAAAAGAAAATTGAAAAAATAAAAAACAAAGTAAAAAAATAAAAAAGAAAATAATAAAATTACTTACGAGTACAAGTTGGAACTGATGTATTCCATTGTCCAGCGTTACATTTAATTTCCTGTGAACCAATGAGTACATAACCAGAGTTACATTGTACTCGAACAACAGTGAAATCCTTATTCATTTTTGCCACTCCATTATTTATATGAAGAGGTTGGCAAGCAGCTAAAAATAAAAAAAAAAACAAAATTAAATTATTAAACATTAAAAATTTAATTTACTCTAACGGTCAGGGAAAAGTCAGGGAATTTCTTTAATTTTCTGGAATTTTTTATAAATAAATTATTAAAGTAACTATAAGTTTAAAAAAAAAAAAAAAATTTTACTTTTTTTCCCCAAAGCAAATGCAAATTAAAAAGTTGTCCTTCACACTCAATTATTAAGCATGTGAAAATATATTCATTAAGTAAATAATTATTTACTACTATTTATTGAATAAATGAAATTTTTAAACTTGTATAACAATTAATTAATTTTTTTGCAGTGAAATATTTGGTTTTTTAATATAAATCAAAAATTATTTGAATTTTATTTTAGCGGTTTTAACTTCAAATAAAGTAAATTATTCATTAATACGAATAATTTATTATTTAATTGCTAATACCGAAATTTAATTTATAAAAAATTTTACACCGTCGAATATTAAATTATCGAATTTCTATTTTTGAAAATTGTATAAAGTGGAATTTATATTATTGCAAAATTTTCAATTTACATTTAACTAAAATTCGATTTAATTTCTATTTAGCAAAACTCTTATAATTTTCTTATAGTTTTTAAAATTTTAATTTAATATAATTTCAATTTAACGAAATTTATGTCTGGAAAAATTGACAAAAAGAAACTAAGTAGAATTTTTCTTAAATGAGAAAATTCTGTTAAATAAAAATTAGTTGGAATTAAAATTTTCTTTAATAAAAAACTTTGGTTAATAAAGAATTTTGTTATATAGAAATTCTGTTAATTGTGGATTTAATCAATGACAATTCTTATTAAGTAAATATTTTGATAAATCAAAATTTACTAAAATAAAAATTCTGTTAAAAAAATTTTTTCTTTATGAAAATTTTTTTTTTTTTTTTTTTTTTTATTAATATAAATTCCGTTAAATTTGAAATTGTATTAATTTAAAAAATTTGATATACTACAAAATCTGCCTGATTTAAGTAATTTATTTGAATTAAAATTTTTCATAGTTTTTAATTTTTTATGGTGAAAAAAAAATTACACGCAATACTTTACAATTTTAATTTTTGAAATTAATTCAAATTCAAGTGATTTTTAATTTATTATTTTTTTTAATGATTTCACTAAAAAATTTATTAGAAATTGAAAACAATAATACAATAATTTCAAAACTTTTTGAGCGAAAAATATTTTCAGATAAAAAATAATTGAATTTCAGAAGAGTTATAATTGGAATTAATAAATTTCAAAAAATTTTCAGATGGGAAATTTTAGAAGCTTTTAAATTGAAATTTTTAAAAACAATTGAATTTTAGTTGAAATTTTAGAAAATAATTAAATTCTAGTTGACATTTTGGAAAATAATTGAATTTTAGTTGATTTTGGATTGAAAATATTGAAAATAATTGAATTTCAATTGATATTTTGAAAAAAAAGGAAATTTTATATAATTTTGAATTAAAATTTTTCAAAATAATTGAATATTAATTGATTTTTAATTGAAATTTTGGAAAATAATTGAATTTTTGTTAATTTTAAATTGAAAATTTTAAAAATAATTAGGTTTTACTTAATTTTGGATTGAAAATTTCGAAAAGAATTGAATTCAATTGAAATTTTCAAAAATAATTAAATTTTTGATAATTTTAGGTTGAAAATTTTGAAAATAATTCAATTTTAGTTGATATTGAATTGAAATTTTAAAAAAAAATTAAATTTTGGTTGAGGTTGAATGGCAAAATTTTTAAAATAATTGAATTTTAGTTGATTTTGAATTGAAATTTTGGAAAATAATTGATTTTGAATTGAAAATGTGGAAAATAATTGATTTTAAATCGAAAATTTTAAAAATAATTGAATTTTAGTTGATTTTAAATAGCAAATTTTGAAAATAATTGAATTTTAGTAGATTTTAAATTGAAAATTTGTAAAATAATTGAAATTCAGTTTAAATTTTGGAAAATAATTGTATTTTAGTTAAAATTGTAGTTGATTTTGGATTGAAACTGTTGAAAATAATAGAATTTTAGTTGATTTTAAATTGCAAATTTTGTAAATAATTGAATTTCAATTGAAATTTTAGAAAATTTAGTCTAGAAATTAATTTAGTTTAGAAATTTTTGTCTATTTGGAATTGAAATTTTGGAAAATAAATGAATTTTAGTTGATTTTGAATTGAAATTTTTTTAAATAATTGAATTTTAATTAAAATTTTAGAAAATAATTGAATTTTAATTAAAATTTTAGAAAATAATTGAATTTTAGTTGATTTTGAACTGAAATTTTGAAAAATAATTGAATTTTAGTTAATTTTGGATTGAAAATTCAGAAAAGAATTGAATTCAATTGAAATTTTGGTAAACAATTAAATTTTTGATAATTTTAGATTGAAAATTTGGAAAATAATTGAATTTTAGTTGATATTGAATTGAAATTTTTAAAAACAATTGAATTTTGGTTGAGGTCGAATGGAAAATTTTTAAAATAATTGAATTTTAGATGATATTGAATTGAAATTTTTAAAAACAATTGAATTTTGGTTGAGGTTGAATGGAAAATTTTTAAAATAATTGAATTTTAGTTGATTTTGAATTGAAATTTTGGAAAATAATTGAATTTTAGTTAATTTTTGATTAAAAAAATACAGAAAAGAATTGAATTCAATTGAAATTTTGGTAAACAATTAAATTTTTGATAATTTTAGATTGAAAATTTTGAAAATAATTGAATTTTAATTGATTTTGAATTGAAAATTTTGAAAATAATTAAATTTTAGTTGATATTGAATTGAAATTTTTAAAAACAATTGAATTTTGGTTGAGTTTGAATGGAAAATTTTAAAAATAATTGAGTTTCAGTTGATTTTGTATTGAAAATTTTGAAAATAATTGAATTGAATTGAATTAATTAAATTTTAGTTGATTTTAGATATTAATTTTGAAAATAATTGAATTTTATTTTATTTTTAATAGAAAAATTTGAAAATAATTGAATTTTAATTAAAATTTTAGAAAATAATTGAATTTTAGTTGAATTTAAATTTAAATTTTTGGAAATAATTGAATTTTAATTGAGTTTGAATTGAAATTTTGGAAAATAATTAAATTGTACATAATTTTGGATTAAAATTTTTAAAAATAATTGAATTTCAATTGACATTTTGGAAAATAATTGAATTATTGTTAATTTTGGGATTGAAAATTTTGAAAATAATTGAATTTTGGTTGATTTTTAATTGAAACTTTTGAAAATAATTGAATTTTACTTGAATTTAAAATGAATTTTTTGAAATTAATCGAATTTTAGTTGACTTTGAATTGAAATTTATTATTCAATACTAATACCCACATTTAAATTAATAAAAATTTTAACGGCGTCGAATTTTAAATTGTCGAATTTCAATTTAGCAAAATTGTATAATCTGGAATTTATATTATGCAAAATTTTCAATTTACATTTAACTAAAATTCGATTTAATTTCTATTTATCAGAACTCTTATAAAGCATTTTTTCTAATACTTTTTTTTAAAAAAATTTTAAATTAATATAATTTTAATTTAACGAAATTTATGTCTTGAAAAATTGACAAAAAAAAAAGGAACTAAGTAGAATTTTTCTCAAATGAGAAAATTCTGTTAAATAAGAATTAGTTGGAATTAAAATTTTTTTTAATAAAAACTTTAGTTAATTAAGAATTTTGTTAAATAGAAATTCTGTTAATTGTGGATTTATTCAATGAAAATTTTTATTAAGTAAATATTTTGAAAAAACGAAATTTACTAAAATAACAATTCTGTTAAAAAAAATTGTTCTTTATATGCAATTTTTCGTGACATAAATTCTGTTAAATTTGAAATTGTATTAATTTGAAATTCAATTTAGTAGAAATTCTGTTTTATATAATTTTATTAAATAAAAATTCGATAATTTAAAATTTGACGTCGTAAAAATTCTTTTAAATTAAATATTGAGAATATTTGTACGTTACCAAATATTTGTTTATTTATTTCACTTAAATATTTGATTTTTTACGAAACATTATTTATTTGGTTTCAAATAAATATATGAAATTAGTGAATAATAGACGGGTAAATGATTTAATTGTATCAAAATAAATTTTATTTGATAAAAATAAAATTTTTTTTTAGTGTAATTTAAGTCAGGGAAAAGTGAGTGAAAAGTAAGAGAAATTTTTTTTTTTCTAGCAGTTGTTAGAAATCCTGATAAAGTAATGAAAATAAATAATTACCAACGCAAACTGGAGCAGGCTTAGACCATTGTCCATAACTGCAGGAAATTTCACTGCTTCCTATTAATTCAAAGCCAGCATTACAGCCGAATTGAAAGATTTGTTTATTTTCATCTATTTGATAAAATCCATTTTCAATTTGTAACGCAGGACAATTAGCTGTGGAGAAAGAAAAGTAAAAAATTAAAAATATATATTTTTGATTTAAGAATAATAAATTTTTTTTTTTTTTGTAATTATTCCCAATACAATAATTTTTTTTTTTTTTTGTAAACTTATTGAATTAAAATATTCTTTTTTTTTGTTAATTAATTAATTAATTTTTTTTCAAAATTCAATAAAGTTTTAAAATTCAATTATTGTTTTGCAAAATACAATTATTTTGTAAATTAAATTATTTTTCAAAAAAAAAAAAAAAAAAATATTTTCTTTTTTTGTTAATTTATAAGAAAGAAAAATTATAATTTTTGAAAATTAAAAAAACCAAAAAAAAAAGATAAAAATACTTACGAATACAAACTGGAGTGTCTGCCATCCATTGTCCATTATTGCAAACAGTTTCTTCTGCTCCCAACAAATAAAAACCGGGATTGCAACTAAATGTTGTTGATTCTTTATTAAATGTTGCTTTACCATTCATTAATGTAATTTCTTTGCAGAGAGCTGTAAAATTAAATTATATTCAAATTATTTTTATATTCCCAAAAAAAAAAAATTCAATTTAATTTACTATTTTTATGTATAATTATAAGAGTTGTTAAAAAAAAAATTATTCTTAAATTAAAAATTCACTTTTTTTCCAATTATTTAAAAATTAATTAAAAAATTTTTTTTTTTTTTGAGTCATTTCTAAAATTATTCGAATAAATAAATTGTAATATTTGTATTCTTAAAAAAAAAAAAAACTTACGAATGCACACAGGGATTGGATTAATCCAATGTCCATTGACGCAAGTCGATTCAGTTGATCCCTGAAGTTGGAATCCATCACAACAACCAAAATGTGCAATATTTGATTGATTATTACTTTCAACCCATCCATTTTTAATAAAAAGAGTTTGACAAACAGCTAAAATAACATATATAAATTTTATTTATTTTTATTTCTATAACAAATTCAAAAATATATAATATAAAATTTAATGAAAATGACCGTAAAATAAAAATTCGATAGCGAAAATAATTATTTTATTTATTAAATAAAATATTTTTAATAAAAAAAAAAAAATTTATTTACCAAAAAAAGGTAATTATATATTTTAATAAATATAATTTATTATCACCATCAATAATTTGGAATTAATTTTTTTTTTTTTTTTTAATTTCTAAATTAAAAAATTCTAATAATACTTACGAACACATTGTGGTATATAGGGAATTGGTTCTCCATTCAAAAGGAAACCTTTCTGTTTATCAACAAGTTGAAACATATCATTACATTTGTATACCAATTCATAACCAGTGGATACAATTTTTACACCAACATGTCCATTTTCAAGTACCAAATCATTGGTAGCTATAGAAAAAAAAATTATATTCCACTATTTTAATAATTTCAAAAAAAAAAAAATAAATAAAAAAATACTTACGAACACAAATTGGAACTGCTGCATTGGGTAAATTTTGAGCAATTGGATTTCCATACAAAGTAAATCCAAAATTACATGTAAATGTTATTGTTCCATCAATATTCATTACTCCCTTTCCATTGGGAATGGTTTTAATTGCTAAATTCAAAAAAAAAAAAAATACATTAAAACTTTTGATATTATCTTCTTTATTCAAAAAAAAATATATTGTTAATAAATTTGAATTTTATAAACAAAATTTAATAAATACATTTAATAAATTAATAATAATTATTATAATATTATATTATTATTTGTATTATGTTTAATTATAAAAATTTGTAATAATTTATTAACATTAACGTACCTTTTTGATTAACATCAATATCTTGTGTACTGGGATTGGCAGCTGTAATAATTTCGAAAAAAAAAAAGTTAAGACATATAAATTTCTTTTTCTTAAAAAAAAAATATTATTTATTTAATAATTAATTAAATATTTATTTATTTGTATACTTTTTTTTAAAATGAAATTTTTTATTTCTACTCACGAAGACAAAGGGGAACTGGTGCTGTCCATTGATTATTAATAAAACGAATTTGTTGTTCTCCATGCAATTTAAATCCATCGTTACATTGGAATGTGTAGGTATATCCATTATCAGAAATTTGGAAAATTCCATTATTCAAATGAATACCAGTTGCAATATTAATAACGACAACATGTGTATTGGGAGTTTTATTCTCGGCTGTAAAAAATTAAAAATTGAAATTCAATTATTACCCAAAATTTGCAATTTAAAATCAACCAAAATTCAATTATTTTTAAAATTTTTAATCCAAAATCAAGTAAAATTCAATTACTTTACGAGCGTTTCAATTTAATATTAATTGAAATTTAATTATTTGCCAAATTTCAATTCAAAATCAACTAAAATTCAATAATTTTCCAAAATTTCAATTGAAATTCAATTATTTTTAAAATTTCCAATCCAAAAACCAACTAAAATTTAATTATTTACAAACTTTTCAATCCAAAATCAATTAAAATGCAACTATTTTTAAAATTTTAAATCCATAATTAACAAAAATTCAATATTTTTCAAAAATTTCAATTCAAAATCAATTAAAATTGAATTATTTTCAAAATTTTCAATTCAAAATCAATTAAAATTGAATTATTTTCAAAATTTTCAATTCAAATTCAACTAAAATTCAATTTTTTTTTTAAATTCTCAATTCTTAATTAATAAAAATTCCTTTTTTTTAAAAAAATTTCAATTCAAAATCAACTAAAATTCAATTATTTTCCAAATTTTTCAATTGAAAATCAACTAAAATTCAATTATTTTCAATTGAAATTCAATTATATTCCAAAATTTGCAATTTAAGATTAACTAAAATTCAATTATTTTCAAAATTTGAAATTTAAAATTAACCAAAATTCAATTATTTTTAAAATTTTCAATTCAAAATCAAGTAAAATTCAATTACTTTCCAAAGTTTCAATTTAATATTAATTGAAATTTAATTATTTTCCAAATTTCATTTCAAAATCAACTAAAATTCAATAATTTTCCAAAATTTCAATTGAAATTCAATTATTTTAAAAATTTTCAATTCAAAAACAAATGAAATTCAATAATTTTCCAAAATTTCAATTGAAATTCAATTATTTTAAAAATTTTCAATTCAAAAACAAATGAAATTCAATTACTTTCAAAAATTTTAAATTTAACATCAAAATAAAATTCAATTATTTTCTAAATTTGTATCCAAAATAAAATAACATTTAGTTATTTTTTAAAATTTCAATTAAAATTCAATTATTTTGAAAAATTTTAATTAATAATCAATTGAAATTCAATTATTTTGAAAAATTTTAATTCAAAATCATCTAATATTCAATTATCTTCAAAATTTATATACAAAAATAAAGTAAAATTAAATTATTATCAAAAATTTTAATATGAAAGCTTATAAAATTTTATTATTTATAAAATATCTCATCCAAATTTTTTTTTTAAATTTAATAATTTCAATTATAACTCTCCTGAAATTCAATTATATTTTAAAAAATGTTGTCTAAAATTATTTGATAAATTATTTTTAGTTTTGTAAAATTAAATTATTTTCTGAAAATTAACAAAATCTTCTGAAATTCAATTATATTCAAAATTTTCCATCCCATATTTCAATTAAAATTCAATTATTTTCCAAAATTTTAATTAAAATTCAATTATTTTTCAAAATTTCAATTAAAATTCAATTATTTTCTAAAATTTCAATTAAAAATAAACTAATTTCATTTATTTTTCAAAATTTCAATTAAAATTCAATTATTTTCTAAAATTTCAATTAAAAATAAACTAATTACAATTATTTTTCAAAATTTCAATTAAAATTCAATTATTATCTAAAATTTTAATTAAAATTCAATTATTTGTCAAAATTTTAATTCAAAATCATTTTATATTCAATTAGTTTTAACAAAAATTCAATTATTTTCCAAACATTCCAATTGAAATTCAATTCTTTTCCAAAATTTGCAATTTAAAATCAACCAAAATTCAATTATTTTCAAAATTTTCAATTCAAAATCAACTAAAATTCAATTATTTTCTAAAATTTCAATTAAAATTCAATTATTTTAAAAATTTTCAATTGAAAATCAACTAAAATTCAATTATTTTCAATTTTAATTCAATTACTTTCCAAAATTTCAATTGAAATTCAATTATTTTAAAAATTTCCAATCCAAAATCAACTAAAATTTTAATTATTTACAAACTTTTCAATCCAAAATCAACTAAAATGCAACTATTTTCAAAATTTTAAATCCATAATTAACAAAAATTCAATTTTTTTCAAAAATTTCAAATTCAAAATCAATTAAAATTCAATTATTTTCTAAAATTTCAATTAAAAATAAACTAATTTCAATTATTTTTCAAAATTTACATCCAAAAATGAAATAAAATTAAATTATTATCAAAAATTTCACAATAAAAAATTATAAAATTAAATTATTTTTAAAATTTCCTATGCAAAATTTTTTTTTAAATTTAATAATTTCAATTATAACTCTCCTGAAAGTCAATTACATTTTTAAAAAAATGTGGTCTAAAATTATTTGATAAATTATTTTTAGTTTTGTAAAATTAAATAAATTCCCTGACTTATTTCTGACCGTTAGACACCCTGAATAATAATAATAATAATAATAATAATAAAATAATATTAATAATAATAATAATAATAATAATAATAATAATAATAATAATAATAATAATAACTTAAATATTTAAATTTAAAATATTAAAATAATATTCAATAAAATATTTAAGTAAATTACAAAGTTATTGAATAAAATATAATTGAATTACAGAATAAATGAATTTTAAATTTAAATCTCGAATCAACTTTAAAGTACAATAAACAAATTTTATTAATTGAATTTAAAAATTAATTAATTGAAAAAAGAAAAAAAAAATTTTTTTTTTCAACTCACGAAGACAAAGGGGAACAGCCGCTGTCCATTTATTGTTAATGAAACGAATTTGTTGTTCTCCATGCAATTTAAATCCATCGTTACATTGGAATGTGTAGGTATATCCATTATCAGAAATTTGGAAAATTCCATTATTCAAATGAATACCATTTGGAATTTTAATATCGATGACTTGTGTATCGGGAGTTTTATTCTTGGCTGTAAAATTTCAAAAAAGTATAATTAAATTTCAAGAGATTATTGTTTAAAATTTTTTTTAAATTATTTCTCATACTCAAGAATCTATTAGAAATTAAAGGCAAAAATTGAATTTTTAGTTTTAGTCAAAAATTACTTTTTTTTATTCAATAAAAATGTAAAATAAAGAATTTTGCCAAATAAAAATTCATCAGTATATTTAGAATAAATAAATAAATTAAAAAAAAAAAAAAAAATTCTAAATTAAAAAAAAAAAGAATTAAAAAATTCTAATAATACTTACGAACACATTGTGGTTTATTGATAATTTCTTGTTTTGTCAAAATCATATTTTTCTCATCACCGACAAGTTGATACATATCATTGCATTTGTATACCAATTGATAACCAGTGGAAACAATTGTTACATCAACTTTTCCATTTTCAAGTACCAAATCATTGGTAGCTATAGAAAAAAAAAATTATATTCCACTATTTTAATAATGTCAAAAAAAAAAAAAATAAATAAAAAAATACTTACAAATGCAAAATGGAACTGCTGCATTGGGTAAATTTTGAGCAATTGGATTTCCGTACAAAATGAATCCAAAATTGCATGTAAATGTTATTGTTCCATCAATATTCATTATTCCCTTTCCATTGGGGATGGTTTTAATTGCTAAAATTAAAAACAAAGTGAATTTTAAGTTATTTTTATACAATTGAATTAAAAAAAAAAAAAGATTTCAACTCACGAAGGCAAAGAGGAACAGGTGCTGTCCATTGATTGTTGATGAAACGAATTTCTTGTTCTCCATGCAATTTAAATCCATCGTTACATTGGAATGTATATTTACGTCCATTGTCAGAAGCATTGATTATTCCATTATCTAAATTTACATTATGCTGGATTTCCGATTCTGAAAGTAATTGTAGAAATTAAAAAAAAAATACAATTTTTACATTTAATAAACATTTTAAAATATTATTTTATTTACACTAAATTTTTATTGATTTACTAGGAAAATTAAACGCGCGCAAGAGCGCCAAATTGAGTACTTAATTGTTCGTTATAAAGAAATTAAAAATTAATATTATCAATAATAATTTAATTTATTAGAATATTATTACATATTAAATGATAATAATGAAAATTATATGTTTTACAGGCCTCCGATTATATACGACTTTTTTTTCAAAAATACGACTTTTATCGACTTATTTTAATAAAATGCGACATTTTTTTTTACATTTGAAAAAAAATGTAAATAAAATACATTTTTTTTTAGTATAAAATGTAGATCTTCTTCAGATCTTCTTCAATTCAATTATTTAACAAATTTTCAACTAAAATGATTCTTCACTAACTTAATTATTTTTAATTAATTTTAATGAAATACATCACAAATTCGATTATATCAAAATTATTTTTCAATTCAAATTTTTATGAAATTTAACAATTCCCGTGTGGAAAAGTGATGTGGGCCCCCAGCGGGGGCCCTTATGGATCGCCCTCATGCCATGAGGGCCGCATATGGATGATCCATAGGGGCCCCTCATGGAAACGACATGCTCATCGATGAGGGCGCCCGCATGGGCGATCCATGAGGGTGCCCCTACGGGCGCCCTTATGGGCCCTCACGTTTGCCCTCATCTTGCCCTCAAGTTTGCCATAATGTTTTTTAATCAATAATATTAATAATAAAAGTTAATTAATAATAAATAAGCTTAAGTTATGAATAAATAACATATTTATTTAATAATTATTCAATTTTAAATTAAATTCTTACTCAAATTGAATTTATTAATTAACGTTCTAATTAATTAACTGTCGGATATAATTAAAAGTAATAATAAATTAATTAATTAAAAAATTAAAAAATATTTAATTTATGCATACTATTAACGGATATTTTCATTTTTCAATTAATTCATACATAGAATTAATGATTAAACGCAAACCTGAGAAATAAATAAATCTAACGCATGGGGGGAATCGAACCTACGACCTACGGACTATGAGTCTAACGCTTTACCAACTACGCTACGTACGCTACTTCAAAACGAATGCTAACTTCTTGATGCTATTTAAACTTCAAAAATACCTAACAAAGAAAAGTGCTTAACATCATTTAGTTAAAGTTAAGATATTAAATTATATTTTCCAATCAAATGCAATTTATAAAATATAATTAATTATATGCTTTATGATTATTATCATCAATCATCTCAGGTGAATTTTCAAAAAAGTGTAAATATATTTTTATTAAAAACGCGTTTTTCGTTGTTTTGAATCATTGGAAACATTCATTTTTTGTTGATGAAAAAATATTTGACTTTTGGACTTAGAAAATTTTGCTAATCGATCATGAGGGCGATCCATGCGGGGCCCCTACGGTGCCCCTCATGGATTCGCCATAAGTGTGAGTGTTATTTTCAAAAAAAGTGAAAATATATTTTAATTAAAAACGCGTTTTTCATTGTTGTGAATCATTATAAACATTAATTTTTTGGTGATAAAAAAATATTTGACTTTTGGACTTAGAAAATTTTGCTAATCGATCATGAGGGCGATCCATGCGGGGCCCCTCATGGATTCGCCATATGGATCAGCCCTCATGGGCCCCCGCCGGGGGCCCCGAACTCTTGAGGGCAAGATCGTGGCTTTTTCCACACGGGTTGTTTATAATTTAAAACAAAAAAAATATCACAATAAAATTGAATTATTTTTTGAAAAATTTCAATTCAAAATAAACTAAAATTCAATTATTACCCGAAATTTTAATTCAAAATCAAATTAAAAATCCAATAATTATCCAAAATTTTCAATTTAAAATTTAATTATTTACCAAGTTTTCAATTTAAAATGAAATAAAATTCAATTATTTTCTAAAATTTCTATTCAAAATTAATTATCCAAATTTTCAATAAAAAATGAACTTAAATTAAATTATTATCTAAAATTTCAATTAAAATCCAATTATTTCCCAAAATTTTCAATTCAAAATGAACTGAAATTCAATTATTTTTAAAATTTTCAATTCAAAATCAACTAAATTCAATAATTTTTGAAAATTTCAATTTAAAATTTACTATAATCAAATAATTTTCGAAAATTTCAATTCAAAATTTACTACAATCCAATAATTTTTGAAAATTTCAATTCAAAATCAAATAAAATTCAACTAATGTACAATTATTATTTTCCAAAATTTAAACTGAAATTAAATTATTTTCCAAATTTTCAATTCAAAATCAAATAAAATTCAATTATTTCCCAAAATTTTCAATTCAAAATCAATTAAAATTCAATTATTTTGAAGAATTTTAATTGAAATCCAATTATTTTCCAAAATTTTCAATTCAAAATCAATTATTTTCCAAAATTTCAATTGAAAATCAACTAAAATTCAATTATTTTCCAAAATTACAATTGAAATTCAATTATTTTTAAAATTTTCAATCCAAAATCAACTAAAATTCAATTATTTTTCAAAATTACAATTGAAATTCAATTATTTTTAAAATTTTCAATCCAAAATCAACTAAAATTCCATTATTTTCAAAATTTTTAATCCAAAATCAAGTAAAATTCAATTACATTCCAAAGTTTCAATTTAATATTAATTGAAATTCAATTATTTTTCAAATTTCAATTGAAAATCAAATAAAATTCAATAATTTTCCAAAATTACAATTGAAATTCAATTATTTTTAAAATTTTCAATCCAAAATCAACTAAAATTCAATTATTTTCAAAATTTTAAATCCAAAATTGACAAAAATTCAATTATTATCGAAAATGTCAATAGAAATTTAATTATTTTCAAAATTTTCAATTCAAAATAAACTAAAATTCAATTATGTTCCAAAATTTCAATTGAAATTCAATTATTTTTAAAATTTTTAATCCAAAATTGACAAAAATTCAATTATTTTCCAAAATGTCAATAGAAATTCAATTATTTTCAAAATTTTCAATTCAAAATAAACTAAAATGCAATTATGTTCCAAAATTTCAATTGAAATTCAATTATTTTTAAAATTTTTAATCCAAAATCAACTAAAATTCAACTATTTTTAAAATTTTAAATCCAAAATTAACAAAAATTCATTTTTTTTTTAAATTTCTTTTTAAAATCAACTAAAATTGAATTATTTTCAAAATTTCCAATTCAAATTTAACTAAAATTAAATTTTTTAAAAAATTTTCAATTCTTAATTAATAAAAATTCCATTTTTTTCAAAAATTTCAATTCAAAATCACCTAAAATTCAATTATTTTCACAATTTAAATTCAAAATCAACTAAAAATTCAATTATTTTAATTTTAATTAAAATTCAATTATTTTTAAAATTTTCAAATCCAAAATCAACTAAAATTTAATTATTTACAAACTTTTCAATCCAAAATCAACTAAAATTCAATTATTTTCAAAATTTTAAATCCAAAATTAACAAAAATTTAATTTTTTTAAAAAATTTCAATTCAAAATCAATTAAATTTGAATTATTTTCAAAATTTCCAATTCAAATTCAACTAAAATTAAATTTTTTTAAAAATTTTCAATTCTTAATAAAAATTCCATTTTTTTCAAAAATTTCAATTCAAAATCGACTAAAATTCAATTATTTTCCCAATTTAAATTTAAAATCAACTAAAAATTAACTAAAATTCAATTATTTTCCTAAATTTCAATTGAAATTTAATTATTTCCCAAAAATTTTTAAACTAAAATCAAATAAAATTTCATTATTCTCAAAAATTTGAATTCAAAATTAATTGAATTTTCAATAATTTGAATTTAAAAGCATCTAAAATTTAATTCTTTCTAAAATTATCCATCGAAATTTTTTTTTTGAAATTTAATAATTTCAATTATAACTCTAAGGAAATTCAATTATATTTAACTGTTTTAATAATATTCTTTGAAAATTCAACTATCTGATACCATTTTTCAATTAAAAATGATTTTCAAATTATTATATTTTGTCCGCTTTTTCTAATAAAGTTTTAGTGAAATCATCTAAAATTTTAAATCTTTGAAAATCCACTTTTTTTTGGAATATAAATCGACTAAAACGACTTTTTTGTGTCTTTAAGTTGATTCGAGGCCTGTGTTTTTATAATTAATATTTAATAGATATTCGTTGGCCCCTGGTACCTTAAAAATAAATTTTTAAAAATATTTTTTTTTCAAATTACTATCTTGTACGAAATTTCCTGGCGCATCTTTTTTCTCATCATAAATTTTTTCTATTTGTATACAATTTTTGAATGAATATACAAGTTTGAAAAAAATTTTCGTTGGTAAACGTTGTGTACTTGAGCTTCGTGAATTGAATTTTCGAATTTGAAATTTTAAAGAAACTTATTTCGAAATTTTGAAACACAATTATACAAGTTTGGCAAAAATGAGAAAAAGAATTGTCCAAATTTGACACGGCATAAGATTACAATTAAAAAAAAAAAAAAAGCACGTGAAATCAGAAAAGGCCAACTTCAAGTTAGGACAGAAGGACAGACCAAGCATTTTATTATTATATAATTTTCAAATTAATAGAGAGATAAATTTTTTTTTTTTTTTTTGATAATAACTTTTTTTCATATAAATTCGAAAATAATTAATTTTTTATTGTTAAATAATAAATAAAATACTACTTACTGATACACTTTACAACATCAGGTGTATAAGTTGAAAATACTTTGGCACCAATAAGAATGTATTCACTATTGCAATCAGCAACATAAAATTCACCAGATTTTGTGATAATTCCATTTTCCAAATTAATATTAACATTAATTGCCTCAGTTTCGTTTATATTTTGTTTTGCTATTTATTTGAAAATACAAAAAAAAATTAATTTTTATAAATATACTTTATGTGAGAAAATTTTTTTAATTCGAATTTAAATTACAAAAAGTTTTCATTAAATTTTTTTAATTACTCTTTTTTACTTTTAATTCTTTTAATTTAATTAGTAATTGATTAAAAATTCTATTTTGTATTTCTGTTTGGTAAATTAATTAATTAAAAAATTCTACTTTTTTGTTTTTAATTTAATAAATATTAAATTAATTAAAAATTCAATTTTGTATTTTATTTTTTAATTTAATAAAGAAATTAATTAAAAATTCAATTTTGTTTAAAACAAGTAAAAAAAAATATCGTAGACTATTTTTAGATTCAAATTTTTGAAAATTGAATTTGTTTTTTTTTTTTTTTTTTTGAAATACTTACGAATACATGAGGGTGAAGTACCAAACCATCGATTACTTAGAAAAATCATTTGATTTTTTCCAGAAATTTGATATCCCTCATTGCATACATAATAACATATAAGAGTGTGGCCATTTTTAAAAAATTTTTTAACACCATTATCGATATCTATTAAGCCATAATTAGCTAGAGAACAAAAAAAAATTATCACAATTAATGAATTTTCATTTATATTAAGTGTGAGAAAAAAAAAATTGATAAAAAAATATATTTAATTACAATTTTTAAAAAGTAGATAAAACAAATATTAATTAACATTTTTAGAATTAGATAACAAATATTGATTAACATTTTTAGAATTAGATAACAAATATTGATTAACATTTTTAGAATTAGATAACAAATATTGATTAACATTTTTAAAGTAGATAAAAAAAAAAAACATTAATTACACATTTTCAAAATTTGATTTACAAAAACATTAACGTTAAAAAAAATTATTAAAAAAAAAAACAATTACCATTTTCAAAATTTGATTAAAAAAACATTAATTAATTAAAAATTAATTAAATGAATTATTATTCATTAACATTCTTTACTGGATTACTAATAAATAAATTAATTTATATTTGTTTATTTTAATCCCATTTCTGTTCAAATAAATAAAATAAAAAATAAATAATTAATTAAATTGAATAATATTCAATTGTAAATAATAATAAAAAAAAAATGTAAAAAAAAATTCATACTTTTATTAACACAAGTTGGCCAAATTGATTCAAGAGTAATTATTTTTTCTCCCACAAGTTCGAATCCAGCTTTACATTCGGCAAGTAATTTTTTATCATCGATTAAAGTGACAAATCCATTTTCTATTGTTTTTACAATATTTTCATCTGTATTCAATTTTTATATATTAATAAAGTATTAAAATATTTTACAATCACAAATTTATTAAATAGAATAATTTTTGTTTCTCTTTCTATTCAGATTTTTTTTTTTTTATTTTATACATTTTTTTTTTGTACTTTGTAATTTAACTAATAAACGCAAAGAAAATAAAAAATAAGATATCGAAAAAAAAATAATATAAAAAAAATTTGTAATTGAAAATAAAAAATTAAAAAATATAATTGAAAGATATATTAAAAATATTTTATTGAAAAAAAAATATATATATATATATATTTTTCCTTACTAGCGCAGGAAGGATTTGGATTGCTCCATTGTCCATTGTAACATGTTGAAATTGTTTTGCCAACGGGAATAAATCCATTACCACAATTGAAGCTGAATTTTTGAATTCCATTAATTTGGATGTTCCTTACATTTCCATTTTGCACTGACAAAGATTGACAATTGTCTGGAAAGTAATAATTAAAAATTTTTTTTGTTATTAATCAAAAAAATAAAATTGCGTAATTTTAGTTCTTTTTTTTTCAAATTTTAAATCTCTATTTTTTACGATTTTTTTATACTGTAAATTTTTTTAAAATATATTTTATTTTTAAAATAAAAAAAAAAATAATAAAATTTGAAAACAAAAAAAAAAATTCACAAAATAAAACAAACTAATAAAAAATTTTGAATTAAAAAAAAAATTATTTTTATTATTTTAGAAAATAAATATAAATAAATGTATTAGAATAATAAATGCAATGGAAATTTTGAGTTAACTAGACACGTAAACAAAATTATAAATTACTTTTTCCAAATATCATAAAAGATAAAATTTTGCAGGAAAATCCGCACCTAATCCTTAAAAATACACAATTATGACGCAGGCATTGGAGCGATGAATAGAAAAATATTTGGCGCCGTATAATCTTTTGTATAATAAATAATACCTTCCTTAATATGTTTATAATCGCCCTTAAATTTATGATTTTAAAATCTTTGGTCAAAACATATATATACAATATTTATTTTGCGTCTCGACTGTTCAAAAATAATAAAATTCGAAAATATCTTTCGAAAGCAAGGCAAAAACTTTCTCTTTAATTCATAAATAGTTAAAAATAAATAAATAAATAAATTTGTAATTTACAAAAAAATTTATAATAAATAAATAGAAAATTTTGTTTATTTCTTTTTAATTTTTTATCATTATTGTTAACACTATTTATTATTATTATTATTATTATTATTATTATTATAAATCGCAAAAAAATTTTCATAAAATAAAGAAAAAAATTTTTTATTTACAGTAAATAAAATAAAAATAGAAAAGTTTTTTCTGGAAAAAAATTTTTTTATTTACAGTAAATAAAAGAAAAATAGAAACTTTGTTTCTGAAAAAAAATTTTTTTATTTACAGTAAATAAAAGAAAAATAGAAAATTTGTTTCTAGAAAAAAATTTTTTTATTTACAGTAAATAAAATAAAAAAATTTTATTCTAGAAAAAAAAATTTTTATTTATAATAAATAAAATAAAAATTGAAAATTTGTTTCTAGAAAAAAAATTTTTATTTACAATAAATAAAATAAAATTAGAAAATTTGTTTCTAGAAAAAATTTTTTTTTTTTTTTACAGTAAATAAAATAAAAATAGAAAATTTGTTTCTAGAAAAAAAATTAGGAACGATAAAATTTCACTAATTTGAAAAGAAATGAAAAAAATAAATTATTAAATAAATAGAAAATAAAATTTAAAAAAAAATTAATAGAAAATTAAAAAAAAAAAATGAAATAGAAAAAATAAAATTAAAATAAATAAAAAACAAAAAAGAAAAAAATAGAAAAAATTTGTAATATTAAAAAGAAAAAGAAAGAATAATACTTTTTGTTTTGTAAAAACTCACTTTCATTGTTGATGATTGTTTGTGCCAAATTTTGTTGCACAATTGCAATGATGAAAAGGGTGAACACTGACGAGAAAGCCATTTCTCTAGCGATGTTCCTTCAGCAAAAGATGAAGAGGAAATGCGAGGGAATAATGGTCAAAATGGATCCTTATATACACTTTCAAGGGGGATGTCATTAAGCACATATATATATATTTATATATATACTAGAGGGGCTACGCCCCCCTGCGCGCTTCGCGCGCCAACCCCCTATTTTTGGCGGGAAATACAGAGAGAGATGAGGGAAGGGTCATTTAGGTCATTTTTGATGGAGGAGGTGAAATGAGAGGAGGGAGGGGGACTTGCGGCTATATTCAGAGCCTTAAAACGAACATAACCTCAAAATTAGGTCATTTCTGGCGGGGGAGGGGACTTGCGGCTATATTCAGAGTCTTGAAACGAACATAACCTCAAAATTTAGGTCATTTTTGACGGAGGAGGGGAAATGAGAGGAGGGAGGCGGACTTGCGGCTAAATTCAGAGCCTTAAAACGAACATAACCTCAAAATTTAGGAGGGGGGACTCCCCCCTCCTAGGTCAAGAATTCTTGAAACAGCGGCGGCGGCGGAGGCGGCGGCGGCGATATCTTTTTGTAATATAAGAAGATGTATATATATAATTAAGAAATTTTAAAATAGACACTACACTAATTTATATAATTAAGACACAAAAATTTACAAAAATTAATTTCAAATTAATAAATAAATGGAATAATTAAACATTTACAAAATAAAATATAAGAATTAAGATTAAAAAAAAAAAAACATAAAAAAAATTTAATTCAACTTTCTGTTTTTAGAAAATTTATAATATAATAAGTTTCTTTAAAATTCCAAATTCGAAAATTCAATTCACGAAGCTGAAGTACACAACGTTTACCAACGACATTTTTTTTAAAGTTGTATATTCATTCAAAAATTGTATACAAATACAAAAAATTTATGATGAGCAAAAAAGATGCGCCAGGAAATTTCGTACAAAATAGTAATTTGAAAAAAATTTATTTTTCAAAATTAATTTTTAAGGTACCAGGGGCCAACGAATATCTATTAAATTTTAATTATAAAAACACAGGCCTCGAATCAATTTAAAGACACAAAAAAGTCGTTTTAGTCGATTTATATTCCAAAAAAAAAGTGGATTTGTTTTTTATTTTAACAAAAATATTTTACAGATTTTTAAATAAAAAATTTTTTTTTTTTAATAATTATCCATTTCGAAGGGTTAAAGTTGAAATTTTTATAAATAATTAAATTTCAAAAGATATTGTTAATTTTCAAAAACAATTATTAAATTTTACAGAACTAAAAATAATTTATCAAAACAATTTTTGGAAAACATTTTTTAAATTTAATTGAATTTTCAAAGATTTAAAATTGAGATTTTTGAAATTAATTGAAACTTTAAGTGATTTTTAATTAAAATTTTAGATGATTTCACTAAAAATTTATTAGAAAATGCGAAAAAAATATAATAATTTGAAAATCATTTTTAATTAAAAAATGGTTTCAGATAGTTGAATTTTCAAAGAATATTATTAAAATAGTTAAAAATACATTGAATTTCCTTAGAGTTATAATTGAAATTATTAAATTTCAAAAAATAATAATTTCGATGGAAAATTTTAGAAATAATTAAATTTTAGATGCTTTTAAATTCAAATTATTGAAAATTCAATTAATTTTGAATTCAAATTTTTGAGAATAATGAAATTTTATTTGATTTTAAATTGAAAATTTTTGGGAAATAATTGAATTTTATTTGAAATTTTGAATAATAATTTAATTAAAGTTCATTTTTGATTGAAAATTTGGATAATTAATTTTGAATAGAAATTTTAGAAAATAATTGAATTTCAATTAAAATTTTTCAAAATAATTGAATTTTAATTGATTATGAATTGAAAGTTTGGAAAATAATTGAATTTCAATTAATATTAAATTTAAACTTTTTAAATAATTGAATATTACTTGATTTTGGATTGAAATTTTTGGAAAATAATTAAATTTTAGTTGATTTTCAATTGAAATTTTGGAAAATAATTGAATTTCAATTAATATTAAATTGAAACTTTGGAAAGTAATTGAATTTTACTTGATTTTGGATTAAAAATTTTGAAAATAATGGAATTTTAGTTGATTTTGGATTGAAAATTTTAAAAATAATTGAATTTCAATTGTAATTTTGAAAAATAATTGAATTTTAGTTGATTTTGGATTGAAAATTTTAAAAATAATTGAATTTCAATTGTAATTTTGGAAAATAATTAAATTTTAGTTGATTTTCAATTGAAATTTTGAAAAATAATTGATTTTGAATTGAAAATTTTGGAAAATAATTGAATTTCAATTAAAATTCTTCAAAATAATTGAATTTTAATTGATTTTGAATTGAAAATTTTGGGAAATAATTGAATTTTATTTGATTTTGAATTGAAAATTTAGAAAATAATTTAATTTCAGTTTAAATTTTGGAAAATAATAATTGTACATTAGTTGAATTTTATTTGATTTTGAATTGAAATTTTCGAAAATTACTGAATTTTATTTCATTTTGAATGCGATTTTAGAAAAAAATTGAATTTTAATTTGATTTTAAATTAATAATATTGAAAATAATGAAATTTTAAATGAGATTTTGAAGAATAATTGAATTTTAGTTAATTTTGAAAATAATTGATTTTAAATTGAAATTTTAAAAACAATTTAATTTTAGTTGATTTTGAATTGAAAATTTTGATAATAATTAAAATTTAGTAAATTTTGAATTGAAAATTTGGAAAATAATTGAATTTCAATTTAAATTTTAAAAATAATTGAATTTTTATTGATATAAATTAAAAATTTTGAAAATAATTGAATTTTATTTGACGTTGAATAGAAATTTTGGGAAATAATTGAATTTTAGTTAATTTTCAATTGAAATTTTCTAAAATAATTGAATTTTAGTTGATTTTGAATTGAAAATTTTTAAAATAATTAAATTTTAATTGAAATTTTAGAAAATAATTGAATTTTCTTTCATTTTAAATTAAAAACTTGGTAAATAATTAAATTTTAAATTGAAAATTTTTGGATAATTATTGGATTTTTAATTGATTTTGAATTAAAATTTCGGGTAATAATTGAATTTTAGTTTATTTTGAATTGAAATTTTTCCAAAAATAATTCAATTTTATTGTGATATTTTTTTTGTTTTAAATTATAAACAATTGTTAAATTTCATAAAAATTTTAATTGAAAAATAATTTTGATATAATTTGAATTTGTGATGTATTTCATTAAAATTATTAAAAATAATTAATTTAGTGAAGAATCATTTTAGTTGAAAATTTGTTAAATAATTGAATTGAAGAAGATCTGAAGAAGATATAAATTTTATACTAAAAAAATGTATTTTATTTACATTTTTTTCAAATGTAAAAAAAAATGTCGCATTTTATTAAAATAAGTCGATAAAAGTCGTATTTTGGAAAAAAGTCGGAAAAAGTCGTATAATCCGAGGCCTGTAAACATATATAATTTTCATTATTATCATTTAATATGTAATAATATTCTAATAAGATAAATTATTATTGATAATATTAATCTTTAATTTCTTTATAACAAACAATTAAATACTCAATTTGGCGCGTTTAATTTTGCTTATTTAATAAATAATTATTTAGCTATATATGGAAAAATTTGGATTTTTATAAAAAGAAACTGAAAACGAAGAAATCTAAAAGTAAAGAAAATTAAAACGAAAAAAACTAAAAACAAAAAGAAAAAAAAAGAAAACTATAACTAAAATAAAATTAGAAAATTAAATTATATAATAATAATTATAAATATAAAATATTTAAAGATTATATTGCGAAAAAGGTGACAAAAATGCGATCAAAAAAAAACCTGTTTTTATTTTACATCAAAAATCAATTTGAAAAAAAAAAAATCAAAATCTTATTGGGAAACAGAAATAATAGAAAATAAATAAAAAAAAAAAATGAAATAAAATAAAAATATCTTTTAAACTATTTTTAATTATATTTGAAAGAAAAATCATTTTCACATATTTACTTAATGGATAAAATCTTTAGTTTATTGTGCGTTGGCAATTAAAATCAAATTTAACGCCAAACAGCCTCTGAAAAAAACAACAACAAAAAAATAAAAATAAAAATACTTTGATAAAAATAATAATTATACAGCAAAATATTAACTAAATTTCAAATTATATTTTGGGAATTACCATTTTTTTCTTACGACTTTTGAAAAATAAAATTTCAATTCAAAATATATATTGTTTTTTTTCAAAATAGAATTAAAAATTTATTTTAACTTCTATTAAATAAAAGTATCGAATGTATTAAAAAAAATTTAGTAAAAAAAAAAAATTATATTTTATAATTGTAATAAAAAAATTATATTAAATGTTAATATAAATTCCCATTTTCCTAATATTAATAAATTTGTAGTAAAAAAAAAAAATTTGTATTACTTTCACCTGAAAAAAATATTCCAAATTAATATTTTATAAAAATCTTGGAATTAAAAATTGCTGTCAATTAAAATTGTTTAATTGCTAAATGAAAAAAAAATCTTAAAAAAATATCAATTTTCATTTTTTTAATATTTTAACAAAATTTTATTAAAAAAAAAAAAATTAGTAATATTTTCCATGATTTTTTTTACTATATTTAAAAATCCACAGTTATTAAAAAAAAAAAAAAGAAAACATTGTTTAGAAAATTAAAGATTAATAACATATAGAAAAATAATAATAATTATTATAATTTTTAAAAATAATAATTATTATTAATATTTTTATTATTATTAAATAAAAAAAATTAGTTTTTATATTATTATTTTATGAATTAATAAAAGTTACAAATTAAAAATGTCCTTTTTTTCGAAATAATTATACAAACAAAAAAGGAGACGTTTAGACAAAAAAAAAAAAAAATTAGTGAAACTTACAAAATTGTTTATTAATCTTTAAGATTTTTTTTTTAATATATATTTATATATATATATATAGATTCTGATAGATAAGAAATACGACCTTTTTTTTCTCAAAAGCATTCATTCACACTTCTTTTTTTCTTCCATTCAGTCTGTTTCCGTTTTTCTATTTTTCTGTATTTTATTCTTTTTTATTTTTTTTTGTTTCTTTATTTGTCGCGTTTTTTCTGGGCTCGTTTATTACCACAACGTTCCAAAATTCCGCGTACATGTCCTTGATGTTGAAAAATTGCAACCAATTGCGTTCGTGCCTCATTCATACCTTCGCTTATTAAACTACTTCTCTGCATGTTGCCTTTTATTAATTCATTTGCTCTTTCAATTCCATCGTCCTGTCTGCCTCGAACATTTTGTTGCGATTCCAATATTGCGAGTGTTGATTTTAATTTATCATGCACCTGAGGAAAAAAGGTACAAATAATAAAAAAAAAATAAAAAATGTCATCAAAAACGATTTTTTTCTATATTATGGAATTTTGTATATAAAACCAAAAAAAAAAAAAATCCCTACATAGAATTTTTTATTTGTTCAAATTATTATTTGATTAAATTTTCATAAAACTGATTTTTCTGCAGAATTTTTACATAACTGAAAAATCATTTAACAGAATTTCTAATTGATAGAATTTTCATTTTTACGAAACTAAAAATTGCCGAATAATAAACAATCGACAGAAAATTAAAGGGAAAATTTAATTATTTCGGATAATTTCAATTGAAATTCAATTATTTCGGATAATTTCAATTGAAATTCAATTATTTTCCAAAATTTCAATTCAAAATAAACTGAAATTCAATTATTTTCCAAAATTTCCATTCAAAATCAACTAAAATTCAATTATTTTCTAAAATTTTTCAATTCAAAATCAACTACAATTCAATGATTTTCCAAAATTTTAATTCAAATTAAATTATTTTCAAAATTGGCAGTTTAAAATCAACTAAATTTCAATTATATTCAAAATTTCTAATCCAAAATCAACTAAAATTTAACTAAAATACAATTATTTTCCAAAATTTAAACTAAAATTCAATTAATTTCCAAATTTTCATTTCAAATTCTACTAAAATTCAATTATTTTCTAAAATTTCAATTGAAATTCAACTAAATTTCAATTATTTTCCAGAATTTCATTTGAAATTCAATTATTTTCCAAAATTTTCAATTCAAACTCAACCAAAATTCAACAATTTTTCAAAATTTCAATTGAAAATCAAAAAAAATTCAATTATTTTCAAAATTTTCAATCCAAAATCAACTAAAATTCAATTATTTACAAAATTTTAAATCAAAAATCGACTAAAATTGATTTATTCTCAAAAGTTTTAATTATAAATCCAATTATTTTCAAATATTTATATTTAAAACTAAATAAAATTCAATTATTTTCAATTAAAATTCAATTATTTTCAATTAAAATTTAATAATTTTCAAAATTTTAAATTGAAAATTAACTATAATTCAATTATTTTCCAAAATCTTCAATTTAAAATCAACTATTTAACAAAATTTTCAATTCAAAATAAATTATTTTCTAAAATTTCAATTCAAAATAAACTGAAATTCAATTATTTTCAAAATTTTTAATTAAAAATTAACTAAAATTCAAATAATTTTCCAAAATTTTCAATTTAAAATCAATTATTTAACAAAATTTTCAATTCAAAATAAATTATTTTCTAAAATTTCAATTGAAAATAAACTAAAATTTAACTAAAATACAATTATTTTCCAAAATTTAAACTGAAATTCAATTATTTTCAAAATTTTCAATTCAAAATCAATTAAAATTTAATTATTTTCTAAAAGTCCTATTAGAATTCAATTATTTCCCAAATTTTCAATTCAAAATCATTTCAAATTCAATTATATTGTAAAATTTCAATTAAGATTTATCAAAAATTGAAATTTTTTTAAAAAGTTTCGTTTAATTTAGCCAAAAACTTTAATTTAAATTAGTAATACATTGGACAAAAAATTTAATTATTTTCAAAAATTTTTTGTCAAATTTTTACTAATTCAAATTAGAATTTTTAAAAATTAAATTTTTGGCATGAATTAAATAGAAATTTTGAAAAATTATTCCATTTTTTGATAAATTTTAATTGAAATTTTAGAAAATAATTGAATTTTAGTTAATTTTCAATTGAAAATTATTAAAATAATTGAATTTTACTTGATATTGAATTGAAATTTGGAAAATACTTGAATTTTAGTTGAGTTTGAATTGAAAATTTTGGAAAAAAAATTGGATTTTGAAATAAAAATTTTGAGAAAAATTGAATTTTAGTTGATTTTGGATTAAAAAATTTTGTAAATAATTGAATTTTAATTGAGTTTGAGTTGAAATTTTGGAAAATAAGTTAATTTTCGTTGATTTTGAATTGAAAAATTTTTAAATAATTTAATCACAATGTAAATTTTGGAAAATAATTGAATTTTAATTTATTTTGAATTAAAAATTTTTTAAATAATTGAATTTTAGTTGATTTTGAATTGAAAATTTTGTAAAATAATTGATTTTTAGTTTATTTTCAATTAAAAAAGTTTTAAATAATTGAATTTTAGTTAATTCAGAGTTGAAAATATTGAAAATAATTGACTTTTAGTTGATTTTGAATTGAAATTTTTGAAAATAATTCAATTTCAATTGATTTTGGATTGAACATTTTAAAAATATTTGAATTTTAGTTGATTATGATTTAATAATTTTCAAAATAATTGAATTTAAGTTGATTTTGAATTGAAAATTTTAAAAAATAATTGAATTTTAGTGAATTTTAAATTGAAATTTAAGAAATTAATTGAATTTCAAATAAAATTTTTAAAATAATTGAATTTTAGTTGATTTTTAATTGAAATTTTGGAAAATAATTGATTTTGAATTGAAAATTTTGGAAAATATTTGAAATTCAATAAAAATTTTGGTAAATAATTGTATTTTAGTTAAATTTTAGTTGATTTTGAATTGAAATTTTGAAAAACAATTGAAATTTAGTTGATTTTCAATTAAAATATTGGAAAATAATTGAATTTTAGTTGTTTTTCAAATTTAAAATTTTGCACAATAATTGAATTTTAGTGGATTTTGAATTTAAATTTTTGGAAAATAATTGAATTTTAGCAGATTTTGAATTGAAAATTTGTATAATAATTGAATTTTGTCTGAAATTTTTTAAAATAATTTAATTTTAGTTGATTTCAAATTGAAATTTTGAAAAATAATTGATTTTGAATTGAAAATTTTGGAAAATATTTGAAATTCAATAAAAATTTTGGTAAATAATTGTATTTTAGTTAAATTTTAGTTGATTTTGAATTGAAATTTTGAAAAACAATTGAAATTTAGTTGATTTTCAATTAAAATATTGGAAAATAATTGAATTTTAGTTGTTTTTCAAATTTAAAATTTTGCACAATAATTGAATTTTAGTGGATTTTGAATTTAAATTTTTGGAAAATAATTGAATTTTATCAGATTTTGAATTAAAAATTTGAAAAATAATTGAATTTTGTCTGAAATTTTTAAAAATAATTTAATTTTAGTTGATTTCAAATTGAAATTTTGGAAAATAATTGATTTTGAATTGAAAATTTTGGAAAATATTTGAAATTCAATAAAAATTTTGGTAAATAATTGTATTTTAGTTAAATTTTAGTTGATTTTGAATTGAAATTTTGAAAAACAATTGAAATTTAGTTGATTTTCAATTAAAATATTGGAAAATAATTGAATTTTAGTTGTTTTTCAAATTTAAAATTTTGCACAATAATTGAATTTTAGTGGATTTTGAATTTAAATTTTTGGAAAATAATTGAATTTTAGCAGATTTTGAATTGAAAATTTGTAAAATAATTGAATTTTGTCTGAAATTTTTTAAAATAATTTAATTTTAGTTGATTTCAAATTGAAATTTTGGAAAATAATTGATTTTGAATTGAAAATTTTGGAAAATAATTAAATTTCAGTATAAATTTTGAAAAATAATTGTACTTTAGTTGAATTTTAGTAGATTTTAAATTAAAAATTTCGAAAATAATTTAATTTCAGTTTAAATTTTGGAAAATAATTGTATTTTAGTTAAATTTTAGTTTATTTTGAATTGAAATTTCGAAAAATAATTGAATTTTAGTTGATTTTGGATTGAAATTTTAGAAAATAATTGAATTTTGGTTGATTTTCAATTGAAATTTTGTTTATTTTTCTCTCTATTGTTTATTCGTTAATTTTCAATTTCGTACAAATGAAAATTCTATCATTTAGAAATTCCACTAAATGATTTGTCAATTAATTAAAAATTTTGTTGAAAAATCGGTTTTATGAAAATTCAATCAAATAATAATTCGAACAAATGAAAATTCATCTGAAGAAATAAAATGAAAAATCCATGCAATGAAATTCTCAGAAAATAATTATTTCTTATAGAAAAAAAAAAAAAAAAAAAAAAAAAAACACAAAAATAAATCTAATAATAAAACGAAATAATAAATCTAATAATAAAATAAATAAAATAGAAAATAAAATAAATGTAAGTATAAAGAAAATTTTATATAAAGAATAAAATAAAAATATATTTTGTATTTAAAAAAAAAAAAAAAAAAAATTAAATTTAAAAAATTTTTTTGAACGTAATTTTCTAATATACACTTACTTCTTTCTCTATTTCTGCGAGATCCTCCATTTGCGCACTAAGATGATAAATTTTCCATCCATTTAATTTTTGTATAACTTGCTTTTGTTGCGCCAATTCGGCAACAGTCGGTCTTCTTTCCTCCCTTGGTCTCACATCGCTTGGCCTTCTATAATGATGTAATCTTCCACCCCATCTATTTTTCCAAGATGATCCTGTGTAATTTTCATAAACAATTAATTCATAATTTCTATTTTTAATATAATAATAATAATAATAATAATAATAATAATAATAATAATTTTCTTACTTTTCGAGGATTTTTTCTCATTTATAAAATTCACTGACTCCTTTAAATCATTTTTTTTTTTTTTTAATTTGTAAATGTATGTGACTTTTCCCGAATTTTTTTAAAAATATTTTTATTAAAGTCCCTGACTTTTTTTTTAAATTTATTAAAAATTCCCTTAGCTTTTCTAGGGCTTTTTTCTAATTTATAAAATTCCCTAACTCTTCCCTAAATTTTCCAAATTTATCAAAAAATTTCCAAATAGCGTGGCAAAATTTAATTTAAAAAAAAAAAAAAAAAAAAAAAAAACGCACTTACCTAACAAACTGGGAGTAGGTCGTGTTCGTACGGGCGTTGCTTCCGATTCCTGTTTAACTGGGAAATTAATTTTCTTTTCACTTGCATTTTTATCGCGTTCCTTTTCTTTTTCTTCTTTTTCCTTTTTAATTTTCTCCTCGGTTATAAATTGCATTTCCTCATCGGTGCCACGCGATTCAGTTAATTCAACACTTGACAATTGTTGTTTACGTGGTTTTTTTCGTGGTGACATTTCCACAGTTGTACCACCAAGATTAAGATTTAAATTCATATTGATATTCATATTGATACGCGTTTGTTCAAGTTCATCGTCAAGTCCTGGTGATGATGTTGCCGATACAGTCGTTGATCCTGAACTTTGACAACCGCCTGCATCGCGATCAATTCGCGGCGAACCCGGTGGACTGTTGCATGTCGCGTTTGTTAACGGTAAATTTGCTAGAACTGGTGTCAAATTTTTCGCTACTCCTGGAAGGAAGAAAAAAAAAAGTAATGAAATTTTTGACTTCATAATTATATCCAATAAAAATTATTATTAATTCGAATTTTCATTTTAAAGAATTTTATTAGAAATAATATTAGAAAATAAATCTATTGGAAATAATTATTTTTTTTAGTTTTTATTTTTTTTAACATTCTAATGTTTTTTTTTTTTTTTTTTTTTTTAAAGACGAATTTGCATTTTTCGAATTAAAATTTGACAAATAATGAATTTTTAAATAAAAATTTTTAGTTACCGAATTTTTGCAAGAATTTTTATTTTACAGTCATTTTTTTTTTTTTTTTTTTTTTTTTTTTTTTTTTTTTTTTTACAGAACTTTTTATTTACAGAGAATTTTCAAATTAACATAATTCTCATTCCAATCGAATTTTATTCTTATTCGAATTTTTAAATTGACAAAAATTACAATTCACCGAATTTTTATTTGTACAAATTTTTAATTATAAATCTTTGAAAATTCAATTATATTTCAATATTTTTTTATTTAATTACAATTTGTCGAAAACTTATTTATTTTTTTTTAAATATTAATGAAAATTTTGATAAAAATACAATTATTTCTAAAAAAAAAAATAAAAATAATTTGTTATCTGTAAAAGAAATTCTACTATTTTCAAAAAATTCAATAAAATTACAAAAATTCAGTTATATATCAAAATTGAAATTATAAAATTGGTCAAAAACTTTTTTTTATTTATTTTTAAAAAAATGTTTATTGTCTTTTGTTGTAAATTTTTTTTTTTTTGTTTTTAAATCTCAATAAAAATAAAAATTCAATTCAAAATAAACTAAAATTTAACTAAAATACAATTATTTTACAAAATTTAAACTGAAATTCAATTATTTTCCAAATTTTCAATTCAAAATCTAGTAAAATTCAATTATTTTCAAAAATATTCAATTCAAATTCAACTAACATTCAATTATTTTCAAAAATTTTAAATTTAAAATCAATAAAAAATTCAATTATTTTTTAAATTTTAAATTTAAATTCAATTATTTTCAAAATTTTCAATTTAAAATCAACTAAAAGTCAATTATTTTAGATAATTTAGAATTCACAATCTAGTAAAATTCAATAATTTTCCAAAATTTCAATTCAAAATCAATTATTTTCTAAAATTTCAAATAAAATTCAATTATTTTAAAAATTTTCAATTAAAAATAAACTAAAATTTAATTATTTTCCAAAATTTCACTTGAAAAACAACAAAAATTCAATTATTTTCCAAATTTCAATTCAATATCAAGTAAAATTCAGTTATTTTTAAAATTTTCAATTGAAAATTCACTAAAATTCAATTATTTTTTAAAATTTCAATTGAAATTCAATTATTTTCCAAAATTTCAATTCAAAATCAATTATTTTCCAAAATTTCCATTCAAAATCAACTAAAATTCCATTATTTTCCAAAAATTTCAATTCAAAATAAACTAAAATTTAACTAAAATACAATTATTTTCCAAAATTTAAATTGAAATTCAATTATTTTCAAATTTTGCAATTTGAAATCAACAAAAATTAAATTATTTTTCAAAATTTTCTATTGAGAATCAACTAAAATTCAATTATTTTCTAAAATTTCAATTAAAAAAAAAATAAAATTCAATTATTTTTCAAAATTAACTAAAATTCCATTATTTCTTAAAATTTAAATTGAAATTCAATTTTTTTCAAAATTTCAATTTAAAATCAAATAAAATTCAATTATTTTCCAAAATTGCAATTCAAAATCAACTGAAATTCAATTATTTTCAATATTTTCCATTCAGAATCAACTAAAATTCAATTATTTACAAAAATTTTAATTCAAAATCAACTAAAATTCAATTATATTCCAAAATTTTAATTGAAATTTATCAAAAATTTTAGTTTAATTCAGACAAAAATTTAATTTTCAAAAATTTTAATTCGAATTAGTAATAAATTGGGACAAAAAAATTATATTATTTTCTAAAATTGTAGTTCAAATCTGCCAAAAAAAAAATACAATTATTTCTAAAAAAAAAATATTTATTATAATTTAAAAATTCTACTATTTTTCAAAAATTAAATTATTTTTTAAAATTATAATTATATGTAATTGGTAAAAAAAAAAAAAAAAATGTAAACAAAAAAAAAGCCCCTCAATGAAAATTGGGCAAAATATTCAATTATTTTCCAAAATATTCAATAGAAATTCTAAAAAAGTAAATTATTTTTTTCAAAATTTTTAATTATATTTTATCGAAAATTATAAGGAATTATAAATTTTTTCCTTTTTTTTCTATAGCTAAGCCTACAGCGAATTAAGATGATAAATAATTGAATGATTATTAAATTTTTTTTTTGTTTTTTTTGTTTTTTGTCTTTTTAAATTAGAAGAAAAAATTTCAAAAATAAATTATCGTTACCTTTAGCTGGTGAATTGTCATGATCACGTTTTCTTAAAATACTTGGCCTCGGCGATGCATTTGGTTTGTGTTGAGGTTCCTCGTATCCTGATTCAACCAAAAGTCTCACGGGTTGCACAGTTGCTGGTCGGTATTGCGAATAAGTAGCTAAAATTTTCACAAAAAAAAAATATATATATATAATTTACGGAGGAAAATTTTTTGTAAATTTTCAATTAGTAATAAATAATAATAATAATAATTATTATTATTATTATTATCATTATTTGTCAATTATTATTCTTACCTAGAACGGGTGGAGGAGTATTGGTGACAATTGTGCTATTTGTCGAGGAACTAGTAGCACCAGTTGTAACAATTCTCAATGTTGATTGTTGAATTGCTTGTTTTGGTTGTAATGTTTGTGTGACATTTAATACTGGTGTTGTTTTAATTGTTGCCGATGTTGTGCGCGTTGGTGTCAATGGTAATGGATGCATTGAAATTCCAGTGATTCTTGCAACGGACGTTGGGCCAGGTTGTGTAACTCTCGTTACATTCGATGTATTTGCCGCTGTTGTTATTACACGTGAAACTTGTCCAAGTGTTGAGACAGACGCAACAGTTTGAACAACTCGCGGTATTGTTGGCTAAAAAGCAAAAAAATTATGTAAATTCATTTCTCAATTTTTATAATTCATTTCAATTTGTTTTCCACAATTTACTATTTAGTTATTATTTATTTATTAATACATTTCCCGCGGTTATTACTATTTACTATTAACATTTATTTTATTAGTTATACTAGCAAAATTAATCGCGCGAAAAATTGAGTATTTAATTGTTTGTTATAAAGAAATTAATATTATCAATAATAATTTAATTTATTAGAATATTATTACATATTAAATGATAATAATGAAAATTATATATGTTTACAGGCCTCGGATTATAGGACTTTTTCCGACTTTTTTCAAAAATACCACTTTTATCGACTTATTTTAATAAAATGCGACATTTTCTTTTTATATTTGAAAAAAAATGTAAATAAAATACATTTTTTTTAGCATAACATGTAGATCTTCTTCAATTCAATTATTTAACAAATTTTCAACTAAAATGACTCTTCACTAAATTAATTATTTTTAATAATTTTAATTAAATACATCACAAATTCAATTATATCAAAATTATTTTTCAATTAAAATTTTTATGAAATTTAACAATTGTTTATAATTTAAAACAAAAAAAATATAACAATAAAATTGAGTTATTTTTGGAAAAATTTCAATTCAAAATAAACTAAAATTCAATTATTACCCGAAATTTTAATTAAAAATCAAATTAAAAATCCAATAATTATCCAAAATTTTCAATTTAAAATTTAATTATTTACCAAGTTTTCAATTTAAAATGAAATAAAATTCAATTATTTTCTAAAATTTCGATTCAAAATTAATTATCCTTTTCGATTAAAAATGAACTTAAATTAAATTATTATCCAAAATTTCAATTAAAATTCAATTATTTCCCAAAATTTTCAATTCAAAATCAATGAAAATTCAATTATTTAAAAAAATTTCAATTTAAAGTCAACTAATTTTATTTGTTTTTCAAAATTTCAATTCACAATCACCAAAATTGAATTGTTTTCGAAAATTTCAATTCAAAATAAACTGAAATTCAATTATTTTCAAAATTTTTAATTGAAATTCAATTATTTTTAAATTTTTCAATTCAAAATCAACTAAAATTCAATTATTTTAAAAATTTTAAATTCTAAATTAATTTAAATTCAATTTTTTTTTTCTCAATAATTTCAATCCAAACTCAAATAAAATTCAATTATTTTTAAAATTTTCAATCCAAAATCTACCAAAATTCAATTATTTTTTAAAATGTCAATTTAAATTCAATTATTTTCAAAATTTTCAATCCAAAATTAACAAAAATTCAATTATTTTCTAAAATGTCCATTGAAATTAAATTATTTTCAAATTTTTTAATTCAAAATAAACTAAAATTTAATTATTTTCAAAATTTTCAATCCAAAATCAACTAAAATTCAAATTTTTTCAAAATTTTCAAACCAAAATCAAATAAAATTTAATTATTTTTCTAAATTTCAATTCAATGTCAACTAAATTTAAATTATTTTCAAAATTTTCAATTAAAATTCAATTATTTTCAAATTTATCAATTCAAAATCAACTAAAATTGTATTATTTTCAAAATTTGCAATTTAAAATCAACTAAAATTCAATTTTTTTTATAATTTGGAATTTAAAATCAACTAAAAAGTAATTATTTTCGAAATTTTCGATTTAACTTCAATTATTTTCCAAATTTTCAATTCAAAATCAATTATTTTCCAAAATTTCAAATCAAAATCAACTAAAATTCAATTATTTTCCAAAAATTTCAATTGAAATTCAATTATTTTCCAAAATTTGCCATTTAAAATCAACTAAAATTCAGTTATTTTCAAAATTTTCAATCCAAAATCAAGTAAAATTCAATTACTTTCCAAAGTTTCAATTTAATATTAATTGAAATTCAATTATTTTCCAAAATTTCAATTCAAAATCAATTAAAATTCATTTTTTTTTGGAAAAATTTCGAATTCAAATTCAATTATTTTCTAAAATTTCTATTCAAAATTAATTATCCAAATTTTCAATCAAAAATGAACTTCAATTAAATTATTATCCAAATTTTCATTTAAAATTCAATTATTTTCCAAAAATTTTCAATTAATAAAAATTCTATTTTTTTCAAAAATTTCAATTCAAAATCAACTAAAATTCAATTCTCTTCTAAATTTAAATTCAAAATCAACTAAAAATTAACTAAAATTCAATTATTTTCCAAAATTTCAATTGAAATTTAATTATTTCCCAAAAATTTTCAATTTAAAATCAAATAAAATTTCATTATTCTCAAAAATTTGAATTCAAAATTAATTAAATTTTCAATAATTTGAATTTAAAAGCATCTAAAATTTAATTATTTCTAAAATTTTCCATTGAAATTTTTTTTTTTTTTTGAATAATTTCAATTATAACTCTAAAGAAATTGAATTTTTTTTTTAACTATTTTAATAATATTCTTTGAAAATTCAACTATCTGAAAACATTTTTCAATAAAAATGATTTTCAAATTATTGTATTTTGTATTTTATTTATTTTTTTTTTATTTTCTAATAAATTTTTAGTGAAATCATGTAAAATTTTAATTAAAAATCACTTAAAGTTTCAATTAATTTCAAAAATCTCAATTTTAAATCTTTGAAAATTCAATTAAATTTAAAAAATATTTTCCAAAAATTATTTGATAAATTATTTTTAGTTCTGTAAAATTTAATAATTGTTTGAAAATTAACAATATCTTTTGAAATTTAAGTATTTCTTAAAATTTCAACTTTAACCCTTCGAAAAGGATTATTATTTTAAAAAAAAATTATTTAAAAATCTGTAAAATATTTTTGTTAAAATAAAAAACAAATCCACTTTTTTTTTGGAATATAAATCGACTAATACGACTTTTTTGTGTCATTAAGTTGATTCGAGGCCTGTGTTTTTATAATTAATATTTAATAGGTATTCGTTGACCCCTGGTACATTAAAAATAAATTTTTAAAAATTAATTTTTTTCAAATTACTATCTTGTACGAAATTTCCTGGCGCATCTTTTTTCTCATCATAAATTTTTTCTATTTGTATACAATTTTTGGAATGAATATACAAGTTTAAAAAAAATTTCGTTGGTAAACGTTGTGTACTTGAGCTTCGTGAATTGAATTTTCGAATTTGGAATTTTAAAGAAACTTATTCCGAAATTTTGAAACACAATTATACAACTTTGGCAAAAATGAGAAAAAGAATTGTCCAAATTTGACACGGCATAAGATTACTATTCAAAAAAAAAAAAAAAAACACGTGAAATCAGAAAAGCCCAACTTCAAGTTAGGACAGAAGGACAGACCAAGAATTTTATTATTATATAATAATAATTATTATTATTCCTTTTTTTATCGAGAAATAAAAATATTAAAATTCTGAAAATAATTGAGTTTAGAAAAAAAGAAAATTGAATTTAGAAAATAATTTAGACATAAATAGAAAAAATATAATAAAAAAAAAATTACCTGTTGTTGAGGAAGAACAATACGGCTGACGGTGGCGGGAACATTTGTAGTTACAGGAGTTGTACTGACTGTTACTTGTCTATTGATAACTGGCTGAACAGAAGCGACGCTTGTTATTCTGCTCGGAGCACCAATAACAGGCGCCGTTACAGCAATACGACTCACTGTTGTCGCTGTTGTTAGAGTCCTCGTTGTTTGTGTCAACTGTGTAAAAAATAGTAAAAAATAGTAAAAAATAGTAAAAAATAGTACAAATGTAATGAATAGTAAAAAGTAGTAAAAAAAATAGTTATTAATGAATAATAATTTTAAAAAAAGTACAAAAATTGGAAAAGACAGTAAACAAAAAAAAAAAAAAAATAGTAAAAATTGTACAAAAAAATAGTAAAACAATAATAAATAGTACAAAAATAGTACAAATGTAATCAATAGTAAAAAGTAGTAAAAAAAATAGTTATTAATGAATAATAATTTTAAAAAAAGTACAAAAATTGGAAAAGACAGTAAACAAAAAAAAAAAAAAATAGTAAAAATTGTACAAAAAAATAGTAAAACAATAATAAATAGTACAAAAATAGTACAAATGTAATTAATAGTAAAAAGTAGTAAAAAAAATAGTTATTAATGAATAATAATTTTAAAAAAAGTACAAAAATTGGAAAAGACAGTAAACAAAAAAAAAAAAAATAGTAAAAATTGTACAAAAAAATAGTAAAACAATAATAAATAGTACAAAAATAGTACAAATGTAATCAATAGTAAAAAGTAGTAAAAAAAATAGTTATTAATAAATAATTAATAATTAAGAAAAAAAAAACAGTAAATAAATACCTGAATTGGTTGGGGAATTGTTCTTGGTACTTGTGAAATTTGCGCAACACTTTCCTGTGGTGTTGTTGGCCTCGCTTGAGGCACATTTATTCTTGGCACAATATTATTATTCGTTTGAAGAACCGGAGCACGTAGTCTACAGGGTGCACCTGAAACACCAGGAACTGCAGTGACAACCGCTGCCTGAACTGCCTGAATCGGACGACCTGGTGTTGGAGTAACAATACGTGGTTGTTGACCACCGCTATAAACTGTTGTCGCCATTATTGGTCTCGTTACTCGTTGTACAATTGGTAAATTTGGATGTCTTTGCGGTGGAACATATAAATATGGCGTTTTTGCCGGCCACTGTTGACTGGCAACTGTTGTACTTAATCTAGATCAAATAAATAAATAAATACACCTTGCAATTTAATTTACCAAAAAAAAAAAAGAATCTAAAAAAACTAAAATAATAATATTTATTATTATTACAATAATTAATTATGAAATTAATAAATAATAATAAAAATTATTGTTGAATTAATTTTAAACATGTTTTCCGTTTGAATGCCTAGAAAAAAAACGATAATAAATTATATACAAAAAAAAAAAATACCAAAACTACATAAAAAATAATTATATAAACAAAATAATAAATTATACAGAAAAGTAAAAAAAAAAAAAATTGATAGTAAAATAGAATTACAGTAAAAAATTTGTTATATTTAAAATAGAAAAAGAAAAAAAGAAAAATTGTAAAAAATTTACCCGGGTGGTCGTGATATTGGTACAGTTTGACCTGTAGTCGATCTAACAATGGGAGTCGCGACAGTTGCTCTTGGCGATGAGATATTTGCCACAGCAGCTGGACCACGAGGAACGTGATAAGTCGCTGGAATGCTCGTCACAATTTGCTGCTGTTGCTCTTGAATTGGCGGCTGTGATTGACGTTCAACATTGCTTATCATATTTGGACTTATTATGCGAAGAGGGCTCATCAACTGTAAAAAGAAAAAAAAAAATTATTTCAATTTAATAATGTAAAAAATTTAAAAAAAAAAAAAATTGCTACCAATTTTTAACGATTAAAAAATAAATATTTTTATCGATTAAATAATGTAACAATTTTTTATCATCTATAGAATAAAAAAATAAAAACAAAAGAGCGAAATAAAAAAAAAAAAATTAATTAGAAAAAAATTGTTTACCAATTTTTATCTCATAGAGTAAAAACTAGAAATTAAATAGTAAAAAAAAAGTAAATACATGAGAAATAGTAAAAATAGTACAAAAATAGTAAAAATATAATTTATAGTAAAAAAAAGTAAATAATAAATTATTTATTAATAATAATAATAATTATTATTTATTATTATAAATTAAAAATAAAACAATTTTGGAATTAATTGCAAAAAAAAAGAATAAAAAATTTGTTGAAAATTTGAAAATCAGGCCTTTGGATAGACTTTAAGGCACAAGAAATAAAGTCGTTTTAGTCGATTTATATTCGAAAAACAGTCGAATACGACGATTTTTTTAATTTTGTACAAAATTTAATTGGTTAATAAATATTTTACTTAAAATAACTAATGTTATTTGATATTAAATTCATTTTTATTAATTCTATAATAAGAATAATTATAAAAGAACATTATTAAAGAATTATTAGAAATAATTGAATTTCAAAAAGATTTTGTTAATTTTCAGAGAATAAATAAATTTTACAGAATTAAAAATAATTTATGTTTTGGAAATAAAAAAATGATTTCACATAGTGGAATTTTCGAAAAATTGAATTTTAATTTTAATTGATTTTAAATTGAAATTTTTTAAAAATAACTGAATATCAATTGATATTGAATGCAAATTTTGGAAAATAATTGAATTTCCATTGAAGTTTTAAAAAATAATTGAATTTTAGTTGATTTCGAATTGAAAATTTAAGAAAATAATTGAATTTTAGTTAATTTTAAGTAGAAAAATTTGAAAATAATTGAATTTTAATTGAAAATTTTGAAAAATAATTGAATTTTAATTAATTCAGAATTTAAAATTTTGAAAATAAATTAATTTTAGTTGATTTTGAATTGAAATTTTAAAAAATAATTGAAATTAGTTGATTTTAAATTAAAATTTTTAAAAAATTGAATTTCAATTGAAAATTTTCGAAAATAATTGACTTTCAGTTAAATTTTAGTTAATTTTGAATTGAAATTTTTGAAAATAATTAAATTTTAGTTGATTTTGAATGGAAAATATTGAAAATAATTAATGATTGATTTTGAATTAAAAAATTTGAAAATAATTGAATTTCAATTGAAAATTTGAAAAATAATTTAATTTTAATTGATTTTCGATTGAAAATTTTGAAAGTATTTGAATTTGAATTGAAATTTGGAAAATAATTGAATTTTATTTGATTTTGAATTGAAATTTTCAATAATAATTGAATTTTAGTTGATTTTGAATGGAAAATATTGAAAATAATTGAATTTTAGTTGATTTTGAATTGAAAAATTTGAAAATAATTGAATTTCAATTGACATTTTGGAAAATAATTTAATTTTAATTGATTTTCGATTGAAAATTTTGAAAATATTTGAATTTGAATTGAAATTTTGAAAATAATTGAATTTTATTTCATTTTGAATTGAAATTTTCAATAATAATTGAAATTAGTTGATTTTAAATTAATAATTTTTAAAAATAATTGAATTTCAATTAAAATTGTGAAAAATAATTGTATTTTAATTAAATTTTAGTCGATTTTGAATTGAAATTTTTGAAAATAATTGAATTTTAGTTGATTTTAAATTGCAAATTTTGAAAATAATTGAATTTCATTTGAAATTTTAGAAAGTAATTGAATTTTAGTTAATTTTCAATTGAAATTTTGGAAAATAATTGAATTTTAGTTGATTTTGAATTGAAATTATTAAAAAGAATTGAATTTTAATTAATTCAGAATTAAAAATTTTTAAAATAATTAAATTTTAGTTGATTTTGAATTGAAATTTTTGAAAACAATTGAATTTTAGTTGATTTTAAATTGAAATTTTTAGAGATTTAGAGAATTTAAAAAAATTTTACATGTAAAATTTTAGAAATAATTAATTTTTAAAAACCTTTTAAATTGAAATTTTCGAAATAATTGGAATTTTAAAAGATTGTGTTAAATTTCAAAGAAAAAGTATAATAAGTAAAATTTCTAATCATTTCTGTTAATGAATAATTTATTAGAAATCACATTAAAAAAAAAAAAAAATTGAATTCCAAAAGTTTTTAATTTTAAAAATTTGCTTTCAGATAATTGAATTTTCAAAGAATATTATAAAAATCATTAAAAAAAGTAATTGAAATTTTTGCAAATAATTAAATTTCAAATGATTTTGAATGAAAAAATTTTTGGTAATTTTATTTGGTAATTTTTTTTTTTTTTTTTTTGAAATTATAAACAATTATTAAATTTAACTTAAAAATTTGAATTTGAAAAATAGTTTAACAAAAATTTGAATTTTTGTGGTGAATTTCATTAAAATTATTAAAAATAATTAATTTAGTGAAGAATTTTAGTTAAAAATTTGTTAAATAATTGAAATAAAGAAGATCTGAAGAATATCTGCATTATATACTGAAAAAACGTATTTTGTTTAAAATTTTTGTTTAAAAATGTAAAAAAAAGTCGAAAAATTCGCATTTGTTGTTTTATTAAAAATAAGTCGAAAAATGTTGTATTTTAAAATGAAAATCATATAATCCGAGGCCTGGAAAATGATTAAGTAAAAAAAAAATGAAACTTACAGTTGTCGTCAATTTATTTGAATCTGTCGACGAGACAATATTCGATGGTATACCAGTTTTTGCAATGGACAATTTTTGATTAAGATCAAGTGAAACTGATTTTCCAACAATTGTTCCAGATTGTCCAACATTGCCAATTATTGCCTGTGTCGATTGAATTGTTTGTATATTACTTTGTATAACATTTTGTGTGCTTTGCACTGTTTGTATTGTTGTTAAATTCTGAGCAATTGTTTGTACTGTCGCTTCAGGTTGACGTTTATCACTGCCTTCCCCTGAATTTGTATTCACATTCATTATTTATAACTGAAAAAAGAAAAAAAAGAAACAAAAAAATTCATTATTATATTTATATATAGAAAAATTTTAACGAAAAAAAAAATTCTTTTAAATAACAAAATTTATTACAAATAAAAAAACAAAAAAATTATATTCAATTTATATGAAATTTTTAAAACTTAGAAACCAAAAAACAAAAAATTCATTATAATAATAAGTATAATAAATAATTTATAAAAAAAAAAATAATATTAAATTTACTTTCCTTAAAAAAAAAAAAAAATTTCAGATCGTAATTTATGAGAATTATTTATAAATAACTTTTTAAAAATAAAAACAAATAATAAAAAAAAATAAAAAAATAATAAAAAAATAAAATAAAATAAAAATAATAAAACTAAATAAAAACAAATAATAAAAAAATAAAATAAAAAAAAATAATAAAAAAAAATAAATAAATAAAAGAAATAAAATAAAATAAAAATTTAATTTAATAAATTAATTAATTTTTTTTTATTTTTATAAAAATAAATCGAAAAAGTCGTATTTTTTTCCGAAAATTAATATAAATTATTATTTATTCAATAATAATAATTATAAAATTAATTAATTAATTATAATAATAATGTTTATAATAATAATAATAATAATAATAATAATAATAATAATAATAATAATAATAATAGTTAATCCTCGTTAAAAAAAATATAATTAATTCTCGTTATTTTTATTTATTAATAATTTATGTTTATCAATTTATATAAATTAAGTAAATATTAAGTAAAAATTAGTAAAAATAAAGAATTTTTATAAATTATTATTTATAACGCTTTAGTTATTAAAACAATAATAAAAAAATTTAAAAAAAAAATCCGCGAGATAAAGAAATAAAAAAAAAACAAATAAAAACAAAAAACATTTTTTAAATCGAACAATCGAATAAAATTTTGACACACTTATCGCATAAATATATATATATATATGTATATTGTTTATTTTTTCTTACCTTTTTTTTTTTTAAACAAAAAGCTTGTTTACATAACACATATGGAATAAAAAACTTTCCGGAAAAAAACAAAATAGATTTTACATAACCTATACAAACGAGCAAAAAATTTTTTTTTTCGATATTAAAACAAATCTTTTTTTAAAAAAAAAAAAAACAAAATAATTTCGAAACTAAAAGATTTGATTTAATATACGCATTTTATTTCAAAATGACAGAAATCTGTTAGAAATTTAATCGTATATGTTAAGAGAGTGAGTGAGAGATATTAAAAAGTGACAGTTTGAGGTTAAGAAACACGGGAAATAAATAAAAGAATAAAAAATATTGTTATTTGTAAAGAAATTCACTATAGTTAAAGGAAAATTATAAATAATATAAAACAATGTAATTAATAATAAGAGAGGGAATTTTATCAAGTTGCTTTTTTTCTTTTTTTTTATTTGTGATTGTCTTGTTGCCACTGTAGTGTATGTCAAAAACTTGTTTAAGATGAATTTTCATACTAACCTTTTATTATTAACAGCACTGATTATTAATAAGATTCTTCTAGGATCCAAATTGTTTATTTTTTTCATAAAATAGACGAATTTCATTGAATTTTTGAAAGAAAAATGAATTTTTCGAAAAAACACAACTTCCACACATATTCGTTTGCTCTGTCACAATTGGAATTTTTGGTTAATTAACACAGCGCACGCAAGATGGCGAACGATATTTGTTCTAACTATATATATATATATAAATTATTCAAATTATTTATTTTCTCTTAAAATAATTAAATATTTAATAGTTATTTTTTATTAAGAGATTTTTTTTTAGACATTTTTTCTTTTTTATTATTTTGCAAAAAAAAATTAGATAATACGATAATAAATTCTCCCTCTTAACTGCGCATGCATATATTAGTCAAATGAATACTTAAATATTTTTTTTTTATTTTTATTTTTTCGTTTTAATCTTTCTTTTTTTTTTTTGTATAATTAAAAAGTGAAAAATTCTAAATATTTAAAAATTAGTTCTTATATTGTATTAATATGAAGATAGGAGTTTTTTTTTTTTTTTTTAAATTCGGTTAATTAAAATTTGAAAAATAGTTTCTATATTGATTTGGGAAGTTATATGCAGGGCTGGCACACAAAAATGTCACTGTCGGTTAAAAAAAAAATGTTATCGACCGAGTTCTGTTAGAGTTACTTTTATTTTTTAGTTACTAGGAATAGTGACAGACTGACAATTGTATTTGATTTTTAGAAAAAACATTGTTTTATTATTTACATTATTTTTAGTAGAATTATAAATTAAATTTACTTGAATAATTTGTTAAATGTGTAAAATAATTTTGTATAGAATTATAAAAACTCGTCAAAGTGTTTTGAAAAAATAAGGTAAATATGAATATAATTATAATTATTATAGTAAATGTTAATTATATATTTATAATTGCTTTTTAGAGGTTATGTTATAAAATAATGTTTTCTGCTTTTTACGCTTTTTAATTAAATAATTGTGTGAAATATAAATAATAAAGTAATTAAAAATTAATATTTATAATAATTTAAATAATATACGGGGTGATTAAAATGTTTCAGACTTTTAAAACATTTTTTTTTTTTTTGGTTAATAATAAAAAAACGATGATATTCGGACAAATAGATTATAATAAATTTTCTCCAATGTTTCGCAATTAAAATGATTTCTTTTTCAGGGAGTTTAATAATTATTTTAATAATAATAATAATAATAATAATAATAATAATAATAATACCTAATAATAATAATAATAATAATAATAATAATAATAATAATAATAATAATAATAATAATAATAATAATATTTTTCAATCCTAAATAAATAAATAAAATAAAAATTAAAAAAATTACCAACAAATAAAATTTTAATAAAAAAATAAAAACAATAAAAAGACGAAAGATAATAAAAAAATTCAAAATATAATTAACAAAACTAAACATAAAATAAATTTGAAAAAATAAAATTTGATAGAAAATACAAAAAAAAAATAAAATAAAATAACAAAATTTGACAAAAAATTCGAAAAAAATATACGAAAAATTAAAAATAATATTAAAAATAATAAAATTTTACAATAATATACGAAAAAATAAATTAAAAAACAAAGAAACATATACAAAAATAATAAAAATATACACAGAAATAAAAAATCATTAATTAACTAAATATATAAAAAAAAAAATTAAAAATAAGAAAATAAAAACGAAAAAAGAAAAATTAAAAATAAATAAAATTTAGTACATTAATAAACAAATAATAAAAAAAAAATAAAAAAAAAATAAATAACTAAATAAACAAAATTTAATAAAAATACGAAAAAATTAAATAAAAAAAAAAAGTCAAACTTCATGATATAAAAATATTTTTCATAGAAAAAAGAAAAAAAAAATATAAAAAAATAATTTTTTATTGTATTTTTCCTAATTTTATTTTAATTAATTTAACAAATTATTTAGTAAATTTTTTTTTTAAATTAAATTTTTGTAAACATTAAACGACAATTTTAATTAAATAATTCTTCTATTTAATTAATAAATAATAATAATAATAATAATAATAATAATAATAATAATAAATAAAAAATTTATTTAGTAATTTTTTTTTAAACTAAATTTTTGTAAACAGTAAACGACAATTTTAATTAAATAATTCTTCTATTTTATAAATAAAAAATAATAATAATTAAATTTAATTTAATAAAAATTATACTGAAAAAAAATTTATTTGATTCAAGTAAATATTTATTTGATAAACAGTCAAGTAATTTGAATCAAATTAATTTTTTTTGTTTTATCAATTATTTTTGTTCTTTGTATTTTTTGTAAAAAAAGAAAAAAATTTCTAAACTTTCAGATATATAGTAAAAAAGAATTTTAATCAAAAATCCGTGTGTGAAAAAAAAATTCTAAAAAAAATTTTTTTCTATTTTTAGTCACATAAATTGTATATTAAAGTGATAATTTCACAGGATTTTGTAATATTAATTAAAAATTCACAGAGTCATTACAGTGATTATAAATATGTATATGAATTTTTTTTTTTTTTCAAAATGGAACAATAATGCTAAAGAACTTTCATTTTAATTTTTTTTTTTTTTCATTTCATATAATTTATATAGGTGAGAATGAAAAAAATAGTAATAATAATACATAAATAAATAAATAAATAAATAATACTAATATTAATAATATAATAATAATAATAATAATAATAATAATAATTTTGGACTTTATTTTTCGACCCACACTGTAAAAAGAAGGTACTAAAAGAGTATCGATTTTAGGTATCAAAATAGAACCAAATAACAATTTTGTACCTAAAGTCGGATCCTAAAAAGCCACTAAAGATTTTATGCAACAATAATAATAATAATAATAATAATAATAATAATAATAATAATAATAATAATAATAATAGTAACTGTTAATAATAATAACAATACTACACTCAAAAAAATAAGTAGTAGATTTGACTACTTTTTAACTACCCTGTGTAGTACAATAGGTCCTCAACTTAATTTTAAAAGTTGTATTAACTACTAAAAAGTAGTTAAAATAACTAAGAATGTAGTTGATATAATAAAATTTTGTTGAAATTCTAACTACATTTTTAAATTAATTCTACTGCTAATTTTTAACTTCTTAAGAAATAATTAAATTAACTACACAAACATTGTTAAACTAACTAAGAATGTAATTGTTTTAACTTCTTTTCACTTAACTATTATCCTAAGGTAGTTGAAGATTTCGGAAAAATTTTTTTCATTGTATACTAATAATAACAATAATAGTAATTATAAAAAAAATAAATTACCAATAAAAACAAAAAAATTTGAAGCATAGACGCATGTAGGTGTGATATGTGGACCTCTGAAAAAAAGAAAGAAAGAAAGAAAGAAAGAAAGAAAAAAAAACACATTGAACCGTTGTATTTGAGGTAAAATGCTGAAAGGAGATGGTGTAAAGATGGAGCAACCTTTCGCCTTGTGGTTATGTAAGGCCTCGGGCTGAGTGACCTTTAGTTCGTCCAAGGCATGCGGCATTTACGTATATTCAACCGTTTACGATTACGATGTATATATATATATATACGAGACTCTTCTTCTTCTTCTTCTTCACTTTAAAGAAGAGATGCTTCTTCTATATACCGACGATTCCAATCGTCCTCTCCTCTCTCTCTCTCTAGTCCCCTTAAATCTAACTGCGGCGATCAAGAGCGTGTTGCCTGCATTATCAGGAATGCCATGACGATTATAGATTGTCACTTACGCAATTGGAATTCCTCATCCTCTATATACTATATATATATATATGCCGCATGCACCTGAAAGACACTCCTAATCTTTTTAAATAAATGATAAATATTTCTAATCTTTTGTTATCAATTAAAAGGTGTTTAATTGACACCCGCACAACTTCCAAGAAAATTACATTCTTAAAATCAATTTACTTTTTTTTAGATTACAAAAGGCCTCAAAAATTTAGGTGCAGAAAAAATCTTTATTTGGAATAGCGATATGTTTCTCTAAAATAGCGAAAACTTTATCTTTTTTTTTTTAGTAAATTATATTCCAGGTGAACATTTTTTTCCGTAAATAGAATTTTATTTATTAATAATTCTTTTATCAATTTTTTCCTTTTTGTACACAGAAAATTAAAAAGCATTAAAATATGCTGCAACGCTTCTTATTTTAATCCATTTTGGTATATTAAAATATGCAAAATTGGATTAAAATAAGAAGCGTTGCAGCTTATTTTAATGGCTTTTAATTTTCTGTGTAATCGTGGATTAGCACTGCAAAAATTGACCGTTTTAAAAGTATAAAAAAAAAATTTTGTTTTAAGATTTTATGTCTAAAGCACCAAATAATGTGTTTTAAAGACGTTTTTTTTTTTTTTTTTTTTGATACTTTTTGAAAACGGCCAGTTTTTGCAGTGACAATTACAGGATTACAAAAAGGTGAAAAAAAAGAGATTGATAAAGAATTATTATTCAAAGTTCGAAAATTGAGAAATCAACTCGCGGATGACAGATAAAAAAAAAAAAAAAAAATTCTAGTAGTAACTTTTAAAACCATATAATTAAGTACCAGAAAATTTATCATTTTTTTTACGATCAATTTATTATTTTATTTTCTAATTTATTAACTCACAAATATATCCTTTCAAATAGGAATATAGTATTAGTGTTTATTGCAAAATAAATGATTACAAGTTATTTTTTTATTTTTTCTAGATTTCTACATCGGATTCGTCGGAGGAAAAAATTTTTAAAAAAAAGTTCCAAATCGTAATAATATATACTGAAACTGGAGTAACCAAATCGTAATTAAAATTCCATAGAACAAATCGTAATTAGAACTGCAACAATACTGTCCAAGGTAAAAAACCAAGTCACTTTTCCGTAAGGGTGAAATTCGTTTGATTTAATCTATCGATTTTCGAACTTATGGAAAAGTGACTTACTGGAATTTTTTACTTGCGGGACATAGAGTATTTTAATCTGACATCATCTCTCCTACCAGGTGGTAATTTTGCGCAGATATTTAATTTACCGACGTTTAGATAAATATGATACACTGATTTCTATATATATATATATATACTATAAATTAGTGTTATTATTATTTTTAAATAAACGTTGGTAAAATCAG